ATATATATATATATACAGTGGTGGCCAAAAGTGTGGACACTTTTTGAAAGTTTCATGTTTTTCAACTTTGTGTGCTTGTAGAATATATTAATTTTCACTTAAAAACAAACGTTTATATATCAAATTGAAGGTAATTTAATGTAGAATTTAGTAATAAATACAGTATTACAATATCTGTATTACAAAAAAAGTAATGCAACTAATAGAGGGATCTATCTTAGATTTGCATGTTTTTAAAGTGATACTTACACAATCAATACTTAGTAGGACAACCCTTATTTTTTTAAGACAGCTTCACAGCGTCTTTTCATCTGGTGAACGAGTGTTTGGAGTTCATCTTTCGTAATCACATGGCGCCAGGAATTAATTATAGCTTCACTTAGTTGTCTTTTGGATGGAAGTTTTTTTCGTACAAGAATTTTCAAACGTCGCCACAAATTTTCAATTGGATTGAGATCAGGGCTGTTTCCTGGCCATGGTAATATATCTATGCCTTTATTTTGAAAGCATGCTTTGCATACTTATGCTGTGTGGCACGGAGCTGAATCCTGCTGAAAAATAAATGGTGCGTTGTTGGGGAAGAGATCCTTGATGTATCAATTTTGTTTTCAGGACAGTTTCAATGTATTTTTTGGCATTCAGGATGCCAAATCAGGCCGAGGGGAAATTCACAAGTGCTACTACCGAAAGAAAAATTAAATGGCTATGCCTTCAAGATAGAAAAATGTCATCAGATGCCATTAGATGTAAATGAATGCAGCTGGTATTGCAGCAAGTTCAAGAACAATAAGAAGAAGGTTATCAGGATTTGGACTACAAGCTAGAATTCCAGGGAAAAAACCATATTTAAATCAAAAGCAACGCGAAAAATGAGTTAAGTCGGCAAAAGAATACATAAATGGTCAGAAAATCAATGGAAGCAAGTAATCTGGAGGGATGAGAGTAAAATATCGCTCTTTGGAAGTGATGGTAGACAATACGTGAGACGTAGTGTAGGTGAAGCGCTTCATCCTGATTGCAATCAAGCAACTACAAAAAATCCAACAAATGTCATCAATCATGTATGTCTGCAAATGGTGTGGGCCGAATTCAAGTGATTGATGGCATCCTGAATGCCAAAAAATACATCGAAACTGCCCTGAAACCAAAATTGATACCTTCAATCAGGGATCTCTTCTCCAACAACGGACCATTATTTTTTCAGCAGGATTCAGCTCCATGCCACACAACAAAAGCAAAGCATGCTTTCAAAATAAAGGCATAGATATATTACCATGGCCAGGAAACAGCCCTGATCTCAATCCAATTGAAAATTTGCAGCGACGTTTGAAAATTCTTGTACGAAAAAAGCGTCCATCCAATAGAAGACAACTAAGTGAAGCTATAATTGATTCTTGACACCATGTGATTACGAAAGATGAACTCCAAACACTCGTTCACTAGATGAAAAGACGCTGTGAAGCTGTCTTAAAAATAAGGGTTATTGATTGTGTAAGTATCACTTTAAAAACATGCACATCTAAGATAGATCTGACTATTTGTAGCATTACCTTTTTTGTAATACAGATATTGTAATACTCTATTTATTAATAAATTCTTCATTAAATTACCTTCAATTTGATATGTAAACGTTTGTTTTTAAGTAAAAATTAATATATTCTACAAGCACACAAAGTTGAGAAACATGAAACTTTCAAAAAGTGTTCACACTTTTGGCCACCATTGTATATATATATACTCCGCATGTGTTGTAAGTACATAGAACTCATAAAATTAGTTAAAAATATAGNTATATATATATAGGGATATGCACACACATACAGCAGTTGAACAAAATAATAAAAACATATCTATGTGAACACAATTTTTTATCTTTCTCAAAAAATACTTAGAGAATCATTTTATAACTTTAGAAGTGTTTAGGTTATGGGATTTCTCATACTTCTCAATGGAGTTTAAAGCTTTTAGAGGTTCGAGGGGCCGACACTAAATTAGACAGGGAAAATAGTGTTTCAGAATACCCCGTGCCAAAAAATATAGTATTGAATGTAATATTGAATTTGTAGCTTGTAACAATTATTTTTAATTACGATATGCAATAATTGCACGAAATTTCATCAATCTAGCTTATATATTTATGAGGGTATGGACATTTTTATTAAGAACTTATTATTTCGTCGTATGTTTTTTTGCTATAATTTTAAAAATATTCAATTATTACTTACAAATATTCAATGTTTAAGATATTCAAATCAGAAATTTATTATCAGTTGCCGAATATGATTCACTGCAAAAAATTACAAAACAAAAATTATGTAATTAATTTTGTTTATTTTTATTGAACATTTTTAAAATTATAGCAAAAAAGTAAGACAAAAAATTAGTCTTTTTATAAAAATGTACATATCTTGATAAGTATTTAAGCTAGTCTCACGAAATTTTGTGTAATTACTGAATGTAATAACCAAAATAATTGCTGCAAGTGACAAATTTATTGCTACATTTTTTGGCATAGGGTGTTCAAAAACACTATTTTCTGTTTGTAATTTATTGTTGTTTCCTTTAAATATCTAAAAGCTTTAAACTGATTGAAAAGTATGAGAAATCACATAAATCTATACACTTCTAAAGTTATAAAATGATTCTTGAATTATTTCTTGAGAAATGTGAGAAAATTAATTAGTATAAAAGTGTTTCCATTATTATGTCCATTCCCTGTATATATATATATGTTACCATTAAAGTATATAATGCAGTTATTTCGTAGAGTACCTAGTTATTACATGAAATAACTGATCGTGACTGTTGAAGTGTGTAATATGTTATTAATTTGACACTTTAACTAGTTATTCTATGAAATAACTAGGTATTCTATAAATTAACTAATGAGAGACAGTTAAAGTGTAAAATAAACGATTTATCTAAAATGAAGTAACTAGGTATTTTATGAATAAACTAATGATCGACAATTAAAATGAAAATGAAGCAATTTATCTAATTTATGCAGCGTATAAATGGTATTTATGGAAACGTATGATAAAATCATTTGTTACAACAAGGATTACTAAAATGACACTTGGAATTACAAAGAACATTATTTCTAAAACAAAAACATTTTTTGTTGACTCACTTGGTTTTACACGAACATTTTTTTAAATCCCTGACCAGTACCTAAACTTTGAGCTGTAGCAACCGACTGGAGCGATATTTCTGCATCCGGTACTTCTTCGATTTTAATTAATATTTGTTCGCAGACACTGAACTGGGATCGGGAATATAATTGTTTTATGCAGCCGTTTCTTGTGCCCAATTGGAAAAATCCTTCTTCGGTTATTTTTATGATGATAGCTAAAATAGATTTGGCATCACCTTTTCCTGTGTCAACTTCAGGCACTGGGATACGGACGGTAAACCCCACAGAGGCTTCAGAATGAGATTTATCCGACATTAATTTAATCTTTTTCGCTTGAATTTCTAAGCATTTTTTAGACTTTTCTCTTTCTCTTTGAACATTAAGTTATAGATTATTTTACACTTTAACGAATTGCAGATCGTTATTCTATGAAATAACTAGTTAAACCATGAAATACAAGAGAGTTTTACACTTTAATGGACACGATCAGTTATTTCATGGAATAACTAGGTATTCTATAAAATAACGGATTTCATACTTTAACGGTAACATATACATGTGCACACATATATGTGTATGTACGCACATATATATGTGCACACATACTTGTATATGTGGTTATATGTGAAATTGGTGTACATCATGATGAAAAACGAAATGAACCTTTTTTTTTATTTTAGCAATATGTGCTGATGGGAGCTATTACAAATTTTTATTCAATGCAAAAGGAGAATGTACGAGAGATATTTATGCTCAATTTTTGGAATTAAGTGATGACACTTCAATTATGGACATTTATGGAAAGAACAGATGAACTTCTTTTTATCAGCATGTAAATTTAACTAGATGTATAATGTGTACTATTCACGTTGCAGCTGAATGTATCATAATTTCAATTTATTTCTTAATGTCTTTCAGACAGCTGTTTATGTTGTAATTTGACAAAAGGCATTAGTGTAAGGAAGTATTTGTGTTCATATTTCCTTCTGTGTAATGTCTTTCTAATTTTCCCTCCCCCTTTTTTTTTTTTAAGTTTTGCTTAAAAATTAAGTGAATGACCAGAATGCAAGACCAGATTGGTTATTGCTTAAAAAAGTTGTGTATAAATGTAATAAGGACAAATTTTTAAACATTTGCTGAAAAATATATGCTGTTATTGTTTTATAACTGTCTCAGATAAAATTTAAGAAGAAAAAAACAATTTTAATCCTTTTAAAGGAATAAATGGTTTAATATTTGCACATGGAAAAAAAACTGTTAAATCATTTTTTGAGATATTTTAACTGTTGTTGTGTAGCATAGTCCTTTTTATTTTTGTAAACTCATATGTCAAATTATATACCGTTAGTAATAACATTTAATCTATATCATTAATTCTTTTGTTTTGTTAAAATATTTAAACTGTTTATTTCTTCACATTTTCATTTAAAAATGTGTTTTTCTGTATATTGTAAAAATGTGTTTCGTGTCTTTCTAGTCATAAGTTAGATTAAGCTGGTGTCTTTAAAATTATTACAAGTTTATACTTCTGTGATAAACATAAGCAAAATATTTATATTATTGTAATGCAATTGAGATCAGTAGCTTGCAATTTCTTTCTTTTTTCATAACTTTTGAATTTTAAAGTTTCTTTTTTTCCTTCATTCTTGTATTTCATAATTTTAGGCTTCAACTTAAAATTTGAAAATATTTATGGAAATGAAAATGTTGAAAATAATCAGGTACTCTGAATTTATTTCTGTAAAAAATAAGTGCTCAACCTGCTGTCTTTAAAGAGTCAGTGTGTAACATCGTACGAAAGATCTTTCTTTCATAATTTTTTTTCTTTAATATAAAAATTATAACACCAAATTTCAAATATATTGCAATACCAATTTAAGCAGATATAAATTTTTAATCTATTCCTTTTCTTTTTCTTTTTGCAGTATATGTAACCAAAACAAAACAATAGTTCAAGGATTTATTTTGAACATAAAAGATTTAAGCAGTTAAATTGCAATAAAAAAAATAATAGAATTAATTTTCTATTGAAAAAAGTTTAAAGCTTACTATTATTTTACTAAACAAGACAACATGTGCAAAATGGAAAAGATTTGTTCATTGAAACTAATATATATACAGTTTATACATAGTATATATACAGTTTAAACAGAGTAAATGTAATTTTCTATACTTAGTCTTTTTATTTACATGACAAATTGTTATTGTTCTTATTTTAAAGAATAATTAAGGTATTCTTAATTGATATTAGAGCTAAATTCAGCTTGACCCTCAAGCCATAGTTGTTTTTTCCTTCGGTCCTCCTTCAAAAAGTATTGTATACTCCTGTTTTAAGATTCCAAAATGAAGTTTTACAAATAATTTAAATCTATTTATTTTATAAATGAAATTTCTAAATTGTTTTCCATAATAAATGTAATATTTATAGAATCATATCTGATGCATGACTTGAATGTTAGTTCATTATTTATGGCACTAAATGTTAATAGGATTTGTGAGATATGTAAATTGTATATTACTTGTCGGACCCATATTTTTGTGATACATTGTAATATATTTTGTTAAGAAAATTAATAAAATGTATAAATGATGTTATTTTTGTCTCTGTTGTTCATTGTTTGTTATACAGTAGTAAAGTTTGCTATGGAAAGTCTAAACCAATTAAAATCTGCCGAATTTTAGGCAAATCGTTTTTTAAAAAGATAGATTAAACCTTGCCTATTAGTAACTTTCAAATAAATAGCTTAAAAATAAGTACAAAAGAATAAAATTCTTTAAAAAAATAAGAAAAAAATAAATATGAGTTTTATTATGTATTTATTTTGTTAAGTTCACAAATGTTTATGTTTTTACATTTCATTAATTTTTTTCTCCAAGAATTGAGGATGAAGAAATATTAAAATTCTGATTTAAGCCAATGTCACCAAGTTCATTACTATGGTCTGAAAAAGAAATTTTAAACTTTTGGCAAAAATAAATTAAAAGTTCAATTATAACCTTTTTTTTTGAGCAATAATTTTGATGTTGACATTAAAATAGTATCTTTGCTATTTGAGCCACTCTAGTTACGTTTTTAATTTGAAAGATCAAAAAAAAAAAAAAAAAAGTTTTACAAAAAATCTACTATAAGTATAAACTATCTAGTAATGTCCAAAGGTGTTGTGTCACCTCTTAATTTAACCTAAAATTATAAATTTGCATGCTTGTTTTTATTTCTTCATTCTCTTATTTATATTTTCTTTCTTAAATTAAAAAAAATTACATTTGCGGCTCTTATTTTTTTTTTTTTTTTTTTTTTTAAACAATCAAAATTTTATTACCTTATTTACCTGCAGATTTGAGGAATTTATGAACAATGATAAGTATGCGATATTATCTATGCTAAATAATCTTAGAAAATTAGAAATGAAATTTAAGGTGGTCTGTACTTTTATTGTAAAGAACCAAAGTACTGAAAATACTTGGTATTGCTTTATTAATTTGAGAGAGTATCTTCTTTGATATGAAATTGGTATTTCTCATCATTATAATTAAAAGGAGAAATTTCTTATTCACTTACAAAATTCAAAAAGCTTTTTTCGATGTATTTATTTAACTCTTTCAGATGGAATAATTAACTTGACACAATTCTATGAGAGCTATCTAGTTTTGACTTGTCAAAAGTATAATGAAAAATGAAATTCATAGTGAGGCAATTTTGGTAATTAAAATCAGTCCATATCAAAGAATTAAAAAAAAAAGTAATATATCTTATTTTAGGGTTAGGAGTATGATTTTTTCGTTCTGAAATATTGGTAAAACAATTTATTGTATGTTCTGCTTTTCTTTTATCTATTATAATATAGTCAGCAATTAACATGTGCTTCATAAAATTTTTTTGCTAAGTGCCAACCGTCTTCGATGTCCTCTTTTTAAATATAATTTGGTGCCGGGGTGTATTAAAAGGATAGAAGCTGTTTGATTTTTTTTAAAAATATGATCATTGAGATTACTTTTCAGGTGACAAAAAAAAAGGTACAGGATAAGGCCATGAAATACAAAAGTTGCTGTCTACAAATGATGTCCCGCTTGGAGGGATAATAGAAATTATTATAAAGGGGTGGAAAAGAAGAGATGCAACATTTCACATTTTCAGATTAAAATAACTGTACATTTAAAATTAACAGGTTTAATATTTATGCATAAATTTTTTTATATATGTCTCATGTGTTCATCTTTTTATATCAGTACTTATGTCATCATTGTTATTATGCTTGCTAACGTCACTAAAATGCATAGTTAAAGCATAAAAATAAAGTATGAAGAGTGATCAACAATGGAGTGCTTTTTTTCTGAATTGCAAGTAGTACTATGTTTATGAAATTTAGTGTGGAGAGACTCTCTTTGAGAGAGAGGTTAAAAAAAAGTGTAGCATTATTTATAACGTTAATCCATAACGTACGCTATGTTTTTATATTAATTTTGTGAACTAAAAAGAATGGTGGGTAGAAACTTTATTTACGTAGCACTAAAGCTGCCCAATGGGTATTGGCCATGGTCTGGGAAACAACACTGAAGATGATCCGAAGACATGCCATTGCAATTTTGATCCTCAGCAGAGGGGATGGCGGATGTCTCCCTTGCTTTGGTAGTAAGACAACCGGTTCAGAAACTACATGTAAGAGTAATTTCTCGCGCATATTCGAATTGCATTGACTTAAAATTGCATGCAGTTCGCAAGCAAGAAGAGACTCAAAAATTATTAGACTTTACTTGCTCGGCTACAGTGGCGACCATGGGTCATTCGCCTTTTCAATATTAAAATAAATAAATGGCAACACCATTTATAAGCTATCTCTTGGCTATAATTTCGCGACTGTTCTGTGATCTCCGGTATTTCTTAAATCTTAAACTAAAATTTATCATTATTTCTGAAAGAAAGATTATTTTAGCTTTATAATTTATTGGAACTAATAAAACTATTGTAATTTTGTGTTTTTACATTATGGCTCGGAAGGGAGGCACAAAGGGTAAGTGCAAAAACGAAGTATTCACAACGAGAAAGAAACATTTTTTTAAAATTAAAGATAAAAGAAAAAATTAAATTTCAGAAAAATATTACAATTTAATATTATTGATGGACTATTATTTATTGTTGCATCATATTTTGCATTATTTTTTGGAATGCAATTACTTCTGTTTTAGTATCGTAACTAATATTTCCATTCAATATTTTAGTCAAGCTAAAAAAAAGGCATTGGAAAAAATATTATTTGCATTTAATAGTTGAAACAAGTAGCACTTCGATGCCTTTTTATTATTGCTTTAAAGGAAAGCCACTTTTACTTACTTAATTACATAATATTTGCTCGTGCAGCCAATCGCCTAATGATCATTAATTTATTAAACATTTCAAGAATTTGTTTTCCAGTCAATAAATGTGAAATTACCTTTGATGTAAATAAATTTTTTTATTTATTTTCTTACGCTGATATTTTGTTGCTTAAAGCTCTTATTCTATTATTGTCAATCTTTTCATTAATGTTAAATTGAATAGTTTCATCAATCTTGAGAAGTATTTAATTTAGTTTGAAGAATTAAGTAATTCATAGAAAGTGCCAATGTTAAGTTTGCGTTGTTTTACGTGTCACTTAAAAGGGTTTTCCCCCAGATTTCTTGTGTGAGATATTTTATCTGATAAATTTTGACACCTTATCATATGTGATCAATCATACTATCAAAGATTTTTTCTGCTTAAGAGTTTTCCTTTAAAGTAAAAATAAATTTTCCATTACCAGTTGTTGCTGTATTTTGATTTAAATTTTTATCAAGAGCTTTGCTAAATTTTGTAAGCTTACTTTATTTTTATTCTTTTACTTCTTAAAGTATTTTTCTTTGTTGTGAAATTCTCACAATCTTTGCTTCTTATGTTTATATATTTAAACTATAATTCTTTTTCATAAATCAGCTAGTAGCTTGTGTTATTTTTGAAGAGTTTGTATTAAGAAAGAAAATTAAAATATTTTTAAACTTTTTATTTTTAACTGGTTGTAGTTATAAAGGAATCCTTTAGATGCCATCTTTTAATTAGATTGTTACTTTCTATGGTATAAGAATTGAAATGCTAGGTGTATTCAAGTTAATTATGTTATATTTTCCAGTTGTTATTTATGTTATATAATAGTTAATCTCATGTTGCATATTTTGAAATGTCTTGGAATTGGCTCAAAGAAATTGGATATTTCTGTATTGTCATCTGTTGTGCCAACTACACTTGCAAATTTTTTAAAAAAAAGCATGTATCCTTTAGCCTAGAGGTAGCTATGAGTTATACCCTTCGAGTTGGTCCTTTTAAAATTTCTGACAGTCTGCTTTAGTTTCTGCCAAGACTTGGTGATTATTTTGCTGCAATTGCAATTCAGAAATCTTCTCAGGATTGTTTATAGATATGAGTAAAAGAAATATACTGTTGTATGTTGTCCTCTTTTTTATTTTTTATTTTTAAATATCGTTCTGTGGTTGCCTTGCGTGTTTGCAACCTTTTATTTTAGGAAAAATTTACATGCTTGTTTTCTTATGTTACCCAACATTACTTGCTGGTTGATATTTATTTTTGGTAAGTTAGGTTGATCTTTTTCCAAATACAGGTGAAATTGTAAGAACATCTAAAACTTTCTAAAGAAAAAATAAACCTTCAACTTTCCTAGTCTTTTCATATTTAGTTTCATTGTAAATATATCTACATATTTATTTAGTAGTAGAAAATAATTCTATGTGAGAATTATAAAAGTTACGTTATATGTATTAAATATTGAAAATTTTTTTTAATTATCAACATACAATTTATGACTGGATTTTTTAAGATTACACAGTGAGGAAGTTATCTTGCATTTTGATATTTTAAAAGTATTTATTTCAACATTTGAAATTCTATCATTTACTATGGATTTACTAGAACTCATTTTTTTCTAGACTTTAAATCTTAAAAAAGCTGAAACAGAATTTATTTCGCCAATCTGTTATTTTATTTCTCCGATGTTGGCTAGTATGTTCTTATGGAGAATGAGTTTTTAATGAATATAATGTATAGTCTAACTGGTATTAGTGGCTTATCTAGTAAGGCCTTGTCCAACTTCATTTCTGTAATCTTAACACTCCATCGGGTGCGTTGATCTGACAGATACAGGCTCATACAATATCTCTGTTTTTGTCCTTTAAAATATTTTCTCACGACCTTGACCTTACCAGTATCTGTCCATCTGGCCACCTGCTACATCGGAATGTAGTAACGAACAGTTCCGTGAAGAAGTATTTTCTATTTTGAAGCTTGTATGAAGTTATTGTATCTGTTAGATACACACGCCCGATAACGTTTGTTTCTTGAAGCTTTACGGACATATCGAGATTCCCTGTGTGTTTTTGATTTTTCTTTTCCCATGATGAGTACTAAACGCTTTTTAGATATGAATAATCAAAAAGACTTTGAGCTAGTTCATAGTATTCTTATTTAGCGATGGGAATGAGGAATTTAATGCTGTAGAATTTGATGATGACAAAGAAATTTTAGAAACATGTGAAGTTGATTCTGATAGCAGTGATAGTTCTGAAGCTAATAATGATGAACTTTATGTAGAAATGGACAATAGTACTAAATGGGAAAATTGGATAGAAAGAAAAAATGTGAAAGTTAGATCGAAGAACATTATCACAAAATTACCTGGAGTAATCGAATGTACGAAAGGGATAAAAACTATATATGGCTCTTGGAACTGTGCTCTTTCTGACGAAGTATTGGAAATAATTGTGAAATGCACTAACAAATACATTTCTACGGTTTCTAATATATTTAGTAGAAAAAAGTAGAGAAAAAGATGCTAGACTAACATATAATATTGAAATAAAAGCATTTAATGAGAAAAATTAAAAAATGAAAAAATTTGTAAAAAAAACTGAAAAAAGGTCTGGGTGTAAAAGCCTGGACCTAAATGAAATAAAAATAGAAGATTTAAAGTAATACATATTAACAAAAAACACATAAAACAGAAATGTATCCGACAGATACACCGCGCCCAATCCCGTAAGTTTCAAGACGCGCCCGCCGGAGTGTTAAAGCCTAGGCTCTGGCTAGCATTCAAACCAAGCAGTTAGCTGTATTCTTAGCACTCAGTTATTTTTTCAAGATTATTTTAACACTTGCTTAAAGCGAAGGTTAAACAGTAAAGAATGATGTGTTGCTAGTCTTTGTAGTAGAAAATAAACTTTGGTTATTGTTTCTCAAAAGTATCTTATGATTTAGGAAAAATATATAATGAACAATTATTGATTGACACAGTATTTTTTTTCTCTTTTGATTTAAAATAAATTTTGTTTTTCATACCAGGATTTCCTAATCTGGGGTCTGCAATCAGGGGTCTGTCCAGACCGAATTTACTACCGTTTAGCGGTACCTTCACAAATTCAACTTTAGGGAAAACGTTTCACAAATTTAATTTTAGGAAAAACAGTAGTTTCACAAAATACTTTTTCTTAAAATTTTATTTTTGTATTCATTAAGAAATGATAAATCTGTATTCTTGCCATATTTTTGTGTTGGATTTTTAAATCTAATTTTTAATTTTTCACAAATTATGTCTAAATTTTCACAAAATAGAGGTACCTCTCAGAAAAATCTAGACAGACCCCCGGCAATAAACTCTGAGAAAAAATTATTACCATAAATAATTATAAATTAAATAAAAAAGGTGGGACTTTCTTTGGAGGCAAAGAGTAGCACAACTTTTAAGGTTAATGATAATGTTCTTAGCTTCAGGAGAAAAATCTAATTTTACATAGAATCTGTTAGAAAGAATAAGATGAGTTTAAGTGCGTTGAATGATTTTTTTTAAAGACATGTACTTAAAAAATTTTTTTTTTTATTGTAAGCCTTAAAAAACCTTTTCAAATAAATATTTTAAAGGAAAAGTTTTAAAACAACTCGCATATCAAGATGTCTGACCACTCTTAACAACAGCTTGAGGTACGATCTCAAATCTGTTGTTTAACAGTTTTTGCTTCAAAGCTAACCAGTCTATCATTAAGGGAATGTTTGAGAGACAAATCTTAATCTATACTTTGAATTCCATGTACCAGGTTGATATCAACAACGGTGCAAACTATTAAGATTTCTGTGAAATTATTACAATCTCAAACTACTCTTTTCGAAAGTTTTGTAATTATTCTTTAAAAATAAGTTTGTAGGAATTTGGGGCTCATTTCAACCCTTTAACTTCAGTCAGATATTCCTAATTTTGCATCATTGCACATGTCTAGGCTTTGGTGCTTTTTAGATGTATGCACTTCTATTATATACATTCATGTCTCAGCCCTCATCAGAATAGAGGCTGCTTGTATTTTTTATTCATATTTTTCCTGTTACATTTTTCTTTATCTTTAATAATAAAATATATTCCTCTTAGTTAAAATTATTCTGGAGTTAAATCACTATTTTTCTATCACTATTATTTGTTAGTAATTGCATCTACAATGATTTTTTTCAACTCTTTAAAAATTTTTAAAATCAGTTAATAAAAAAAGAATGAAACTGGATAAAAATAAATTAAAAAACTTAATTATTAAATTGTTTCTCTCTCCATTCCAAAAGGCTGTTCCAAAACTTAATGTTCTCTTCTAAAAGAAAATTAAAAGAACATACACTGAAATCCTGATAGAAAGTTTTAGTGGTTAAAATGTAAGATGATAAAAAGTACTACAGACTAGTTCTAATTTAATCAGAAACTAAAACATTCGAAGCAATCAATTATATTTTCTGGTGAAATAAAAAGTTTCGGTATTTAATTTAATTTTACAGTTTTGCAATTTACAGTTTTGTCAAAATTTCATTTTGTCTAGTGTAGGGATGCACAATCTTTTTAAGTGAAGGGGCCACTTGCACAGCAGGTTAACTAACGCAGGGCCGCACACATATTTAGATATTTTGAGGCAAATATAGTAATATTTAATTAAACATTAGTGTTTTAAGCGCTAACTTTTTTTAATCTGTAAACTTAGTAATATATTTGTAAAATGTGCAAATATGAATGAAAGTTCATGCGCTTGCAAATTTATCTTCTGGAAGACAAATGGAAAAATGAAATGTGAAGAATTGAAACATTAGTTACTTTATACTAAACCACAAGTTTTCATACTTCTGGTTTTTAAAAAAAAAATTATATTTGGGCAAGTCAATTTTGTAATTTTTTTTTGTTGACACTTTGAGTTCTAAGAATTGAGATTGTTTCTTCTTCTTTTGTTCTGGTTTGTATAATTTTTGTGATTTTTCTGTTTTTATTATGGCGCACAGCATTTTAACGGAACATTTCAGATAGTCCATTTGTTGATTGGCACTTTTTTCATGAAGTTCTTTTTAACGCACACTAGGACTGTCACGATTTAGCTTGTCATTTACTATCAGAGTTGCGACATTACTCATGGGTGATTTTGCCATAGAGGTTGACTATAGATGCCCTCATTGATATAGGAGAGATTCCCAAGGCTGGCTATAGAAAACAGCACCGGAGCCAGCCCGTGCTGCTTCTTCAGCCAGCTCATTTCCAGGAATGCCCATATGTCCAGGTAACCAATGTAGGTTTACCTCGTTACGAGTAGAGAGGTAACAGAGTACCACAAAGCACCAGATGTTACTTCAGGTGAAGTTTTACTCATAATAAGTTATGTCAAAGGATTGGCAAGGTTAGAGAAACTGCTGCCTATAGTAAATATTTAGGGTTTGTTCTTTATCATTGACTGTTTGAAAAAACTAAAGCTGAAGAAATACAATTTGGAAATGTATTTACAAATATGTCTGAATTCAAAATGATCAATTACTGAAATGCATATCTCATAATTCTAAGAATTTATATTTATTTTGTGTGATGAAAAAAATATGCAATATGCAATAAAATGAATCTTATGAAAATAAGATCACATTTAATAATCAAAAAGGTCAATAAATAATAATAAATGTAAAAAAAAAAAAAAGAATTATTTTAGCTTTATTCATTGTATTGGTATGTATTTAAATTTTGTGCATGATTTTAGTGGTATCAAGTATTTTTTTTTTAACCCATTGGAAGAACGGGGTGAAAAAATATCTTTGAAGCATTTAGAGCGTACAACATGGGAAAATAAAACACAGAGCATTAAATAAATTTAGTCAGCTTTATTTTGCTTTATTTATTATTTGGGAATAAAATTAATGATTATTAATTTTGTTTATTGAAATGTCATAATATTAGTAATTTGTAAATAATCTTCAAATTAAAAAAATATTTTGTGCATTAATATATTTTTCTTTAAATCAAAATTTTACTTTATTCTTAGTCTATTCTTACTTTCTATGTAGAGTTGGCAAAATTGTTTTTTATAAAAGAAAACGAAATCAGTTTTTTTCTTACATGTGCCAATCATTTGAAGTTCTGATGAAAGAAATATATTAATAATGCTTAATACTATTTAAACAATACTAAACTAAAGTATTTAATTTTTCTAACTGAAATGGTTAAAATAATTATTACACACTAATCACAGAAAAAATATTTCGCTTTTAATTAAACTCAATAATTGCATGAATTTATAAAGACAGGAAACCAATTTATCACTTGAATATCAAATGAAGAATAAATCTTATAACATCAGGAATATTTTTATAAATTATCCTATACAAAAGATATTTTTGACTTTAATCAATGTTTTTTTTTTCTTTATAGAATCAGTTAATTTAAATCATGACATAAATCAAGTGATTTAAATCATATGAACCTTGTTTTGATCCTATATTCTCAAATATCTTGTTAAGCTCTAGATAGTTTGTCTATAAGAATTTTCTTGAATTAAACACGTTTAGGCAAATATCAATAAATGTGCCCCATCTTCACATGCAGTCAATTGTTCATTATGTTTATTCAGCAAAGCAGGTGAAATGATGCAGACAATCAAAACAAACAACTACCTTGGCTATATAATGTCTTGATTTCAGTTCTTATTTTCAATCTTGCTTTGGAATTTTCAAATACCCTGCCGATAAGCCTTTATTTATTTTTATGATATTTTTTGCCTCCTTCATTTGTTTGATTTCTCTCATATAATCATGTAAAAAAATTGTTTTGTTGAAATTTTGTTGCTTTCTACAGAAGGTTTCTCTCACGATTCTTCTATAAGTATGCCCTCTGAACAAAGAACTAGTGAATCAACAAAGCAAAAAGTAAGATGATTTATTTTTGTCATTTCAGGCTTTCATTACAGTGTATAAAAATTCATATGGATATATATTATATGTATTTATTTAAATAGTTTTAATATATTTTCAAGAAATCAAACTTATATTTTTTATTGATTAATTCTAAAATTTGAGTTATTCAAAAGTATCTGCTTATTATAATAAAACGAATATGCTCTTTAATTTCTGGTTCGATAAAATGCTAATAAATTGTTAGAAAAAATCTGACTGTCATTTCCTAGTTTTTATTTTTTCATTTTGTATAGATGTACCTAATAGAATAGAAAAAAATTAAGTCTTGATATGTTACCTTACCTGTTAGTTAGGATATTAATATATTTTTAATGATCATGTGACTGACTCCTGTTAAGTATTCCTCATAAGATTAGTATTCCTCATAAGATTTAGTTTTTCAAGTCGTAGCGAAATTGAAGTTTTGAAATGTAATTCTTTGTCAAAAATCCTTTAATCAATTTTTCAAACTATTTTGACTGCCATTACATATAACTATTTTGACTACGGTTACTTATAAAGGATTTATTCTGATGAGAATAAATTCTGGCAACTCATGATTATTAATTTATTTTATTACATTTTTGATTACCAATTAAATTTTTAATTTAATGCCTAAGTATGTAAAAATGCCCATTTACATTGCATCTCTTTTTTTTTTTTAATTTCCAATACCTTATTTATTTTTATTAGTTTCTTACAAACTAAAGATGTAGAAACTTTCCTGGATAATTATGTAATTATTCTTCAATATATAAAAAAATAACAACTTGGTATTTAGTTTTACTATCTTCAAAGAGATCTTAACATAAAAGTTATAATTAATCTGTTCATTCTATTGTTGTATAAAAATAACTAAATTGTAATTTTTTATTAAAGCAGATAGAAGTAACTTGTTACAATTTACAGGGTTGGGTTTTTGTTAGGGAAAAACCAGCTTTTACTAGGACATGGTAAAAACTAGGTTTTTTTTAGAGGTAAAAACTAGGTTTTTACCTCTAAAATCCTGGTAAATACTGTTAGCTATTTATTTATTTACATATATACTAGTTTGTAACTTATAGTTGATAGGGATATATGTTATTTCCATACTGAAGCAAATATTAAGAATTATTAGATAATTCATATACATTTATATACTTGTATTGTATATCTGCAATTAAATAACTGTTTGACAAGTGTATTGACAGATTAGGATGTAAGCTGTCTCCTAAATCATAATTGAAAAGTTATACTTTATTATAGTTTTCTTGTATAATAAATTAGGCGATGAAAAAAAGTTATAATAAGCAAATACATTCATTTAATGAGTATTCATTAGTAGTATTTATTAAAACTGAACATAATGACGAAGAATGAATTGTCAAAACATAACAAGTTTTTGCAATATGCAAGGAAAAAAAGAAAATAAAGTGCAATAGCTTTGACTTCACCAATGACACTGAATGTTGATCTGAATAGTTAGCTATTTAAATGAATGGAGAATAGTAAACATGATTAATTGGGATTGACAAAAGCTGCATACTTTTGAAGTGCGCAGCATAATTTCCAAAAAGAGTGGATTAATTTTTTAAAGGATTAAGTCAACTTATCGGGTGGTCACGTGTATATGTTTGCACCATAAACATTTCTATTTAAGATTGCAAAAAGAAAGCAAAGTTAAATGTTTGCTTTTCAATTTTCTATATTGATATCAGGACAAAAATGTTTTTTTATTTATCTTTATTTAAAATAATATTGCTCACTTAAACATCAAAAAGCTATTTCCCGAAATAAAAGTTGTCAGGAAGGCTAGTAATTTTTGACTTGTTATAGACATTAATTCTTGTACATTTAATATTTTGAAGGGGATCTCATAATTTGCTGTACTCGTTTTATTGAGTTTTTACTGTATTATAGTGGAGTCATAATACCGCTCAATAAAAGAAAAAGAAAAAAATGAAAAAGATTTCAAATGACAAATTAGGACATATTTTTTTATTAGGAATATTAGAACAACTTAGTACACTGCAAAAATCTTTAGAACATTAATTTGTAAAATGATCAGATATTATATTGCAATGCTTACAGGACTGTTTTTTTAATGTTTCAAGCTATTGTTTCGGTACTGCCTTAAATGTACGCTTTAATGTGTTCACAGAAAAGCAGAAAGAATGCGAAATTTTTCTAAGGATGGGAAAAGTGTTTATTTTTATGAAACAGTTAACAGTTTAACTCTTGGGAAACTTAATAGACTAAAATCCATGGAAAAAACAGGTTTTTCTCAAGATGGTAAAAACCATGAGTAATAGTAGTAAAAAAACTCACATGGTAAACGCCATGCCAACCCTGATAATTTAATGCTTATTTTTACTCTTAATCTTTAGGTAGATGCTCTTATTTGCACAATCACGATGCATGCACAAGCTAGCAAAATCATACTCTCTTCAATGTATTGCAGTCTTGTTTCAGATCTCAACACAGCAGCTGCTTATTTTTTTTAGCTATATGTATATTGTTTACATGATGGTTTTTAATGTTTATTGGTAAAAATAAAATACTTTGGTACTAACCCTGCTCTGAAAATTAAAATTTAAAATTTCCCATCATAGTTGCTGATAATTTTGAACTTTGACAATATTTAGCCAGGTTTATTATTTTAGTTATTGATCCACTGCCACTGTTCCACTGCCTAGTGTACCCAAGTATTTATGAATAACTGGTCTACATGTGTAATAAAATCTTAATAATTTTGATTATATTTATGTTTTAATTAGTTTGTTACATTTTCGTTTGCATCTAAATTTACTTGTATCATGACATAGTAGTAAGAGAATGATTTAAATTTATTTCAGATTTCAAGGATACATGATACTTTTCCTGAAACTAAGAAGGAAACTATTGCTAAAATTCTTCAGTTTTATGATGATGATGAAAATAAAGCCATAGATGCAATAACTAGAGGTATTTCTATTATTAATTTTTTACTTGTGATTTTATGATAATATAAAGTTGGGATAAAAGTTTTTCTTTAATCATCTGAGTTTTAGATTTGAGTGGTAGATTAGATTTGACCTAATGCTTACGCCTGGCACAACGTGTGAACCAGAATAACAGGTTTCACCAAGCAAAGGGTTTATAATTTGTATAATAATAATACATCTTTCATAACAGTTTATATGTTAATGTTCCAAAAAAGGAAGAAGGACTGAGGGTTTAAATTTAATGAGCATTGAAAGTCTGAATAAGCTTTCATACATTACAATGTGAAGTATTTTTTTTAATTTAATTTCGTTTTGTTTCCATAATTATTTGATTTTTCTTGATGAATTTTAGAGAGTTGTAATTAGTGAATTTTTATCTTACTTGTTATGTAATTTATCAAAACTCCAATTTTTGTAACACAGCTACACTACTTAAAAGCTTTTAACCTTTTGTCCTAAGCAAAAGGTTAAAGGGATAATATCACTCTCTGTTAGGCACCAGTTTCAAAATATTATTTTAAAATTTTAAAGTCAATATATTAGTTTAAAGCCATTTGTTCCATTTTTGGAACATTAAACTTTCAAGGGTTCAACAAACTATTGCTTTGTTAGAAAACATAATTTGATTTGAATTTGGAAGATTTGATTATATAGATATTTGTCAGCTAGAACCTGATAAAACCAGGAGTTTTAATTGATACGGAAAACGCAGGTTAAAGTAACTTAGTCTGTTATCAGGGTTGCCACTCAACAGGGAGAACAGGGAAATACCTGGAAAATACAGGGAATTTAAAAATCACCTAAAATAATAGTGAAAATGCAGGGAATTTTGATTTTTTCTGTACCAACTGGGAAAATACAAGGAATTTTGTTTCTTATTTTTGTCTTTTAAAAAATGGTGACCACTCAAAAGCGTAATCTATGGGATGTTTGACCATGATATTTCAGCCATGCTAAACTATTTCATTTACTATAGCATTATTTAAGTATGTTCAGCTGTTCTTCCTGCAATTAAAACTAATAAATATAGTTTAGTTAGCTCAACAATTGCTCACACAAGAGCCCAGTAATTGTGGTTTTCTCTTAATATATTGTGCATAATATGTACAGGGGAAACACAGGGAATTTTTTTTTTAGATTTGAGTGGCAACCCTGGTTATGCCATTCTATGCCTGTAGAATATTGTGTTTAAAAGTTGCATTGCAGAAGAAGAAAATTATATCCTAGAGTCGAGTGCAAATTGAAAACAAAAAGTGAAAGCCTAATCATGAAATTGAATAAGAAGGTGAAATTGCTAAGGAATAATGAGATAATGGAATTGAAAAAGCTGGAAATATCGTAAAAATATTGTGAATTCATCAATTGCGCATGTCTTTTAAAAGGCTATTCCTGGAGAATTTGTAGAATATCTTGCCAATCTATAATCATTTTATCCATTAGAAAAGAGTTTAATTTATTAATGTATTTTTCAAAATGATATTTTACATTTTCATGGACTTTTAAATAGACACCAATTTGTTTTGACCGAAGGTATGTATTGGAACACAGCTGAAGCGATCTTGACCACTGCCAGTAAGAAATGCCCCTGTCAGATGCCAGTGTTTCAACATTGTTAAAATCACGTAAAATTTTTTTTTTTATGGTCTTTAGATGCTCTTTAGTAGTAAATTCATCAAATTTCAAGTTATTGGTTTACCCTATTTTAATTCAGTATTTAAATAGTTATTAACAATGCATAGCTTCACTCCATCAATGCTAGTAATAATCAATTTCTCTTATTTATTCTAAAAATGAAATTGTTAATGTAGGGATATTAATATTTTTTTCTACAGATTACTAACAGGAATATTCATCTGTTTTCGTTAATATACATTCAAACATTATGTTTAGGCTTGTAAAATGCTCATTTGTGATACTTATTAGTAGACTCATGCTCTGTAAGGCATGTTAAAAATTTTGAGATATTTTTTAGTCCTGGTATGAAAAAAAAAACAATACCTGCTATTGTTTATTTTCTAATTAAAATCAGCAGTAGTAAAAAAATTAATTGTATTTTGTGCAAATGGAGTTGTAGTAATATGGTATGTTTAGTAAAGTATTGTATACTTTTTGGTTAACCTATTTTTTTTTTCTTTTTTTGGCAATATTTAGATCTCTATATGAGATCCATACCTAAGCCATATTTTCATGTAAGAAAATAAATCCTAAAGCTTTCATCAATATACAAAAAATATTTACTTTCATGAATTTATAAAACAAAAAGAAATATTTCTGCTTTTATGTGACTGTTCTCAAATATGAAAATGTCTTTGATGTTAAAGGGTGTTGTTAACTTCAGTTTTCTAGAAGAAAAAAACTCATTTATGAATTTTTTTTTTTAGATGGAGGCCGGGAAGCTTTAAGTCATTTAGCTGAAACTGGAAGCCTAAAAAACAAGGTATGTAATTTTTTATATTCTTTATTGGTCATGTATATTTTTGATGTATTTCTTATTTGCTTTGTTAGTGAATTTAGGTTAACATTTTCCAATATATAATTAATTACAGTACTACTTTATTACGCTATTTCTGTGTTAATGTACCTAAAAGCTATTTTAGTGTATATTATCAAATGGAAGATAATTTTCGATTGGCTTAATATAAATGCTGGATGTTGCTTTATTACCAATATATACATACAGTGAAACCTCGGTGAAGCGAATTAGGACTAAAAAAAATTTTCCACTCCAAGGAAATTTCTGTTTATGGGAAGGGTACACTAACAAAGTTTAAGGCCGTAAATCGTCTTAATTTTGTTAATAGCAGTGATATTGAAATAATCAAATAATCTGCAATAGCTATTTACAATATTTATTTAAACTTTAAAATATACTTATTTTTCAATATAGAAAGAATATATGAAAAAGTTTTATCTATGCATACATAATTTTAGATGCAGCTACAGAGAAATGGATATATATTTTTTTTATTTACACACATTCAAGTTAGTCATATATAGTACCAAATAGGCACTTTTAGTTCTATGTCACTTTGTCAGACCGTTTAATTACTGTGTTGTGAAAATTAAAGAGTTAAACATTTAATTTTTTCATTTACTTCCTTGAAATATGTGCTTTTGGATAAGAAATTTGATCTAGATTGCCTTTTGAGCTCCATTTGAGGTATATTAATTTTTTTTCAAAACTACCCTTATTGATAATGGGCTAGAACATGAAATTAAAATTTACTGAAACATAGTAAATTACTTCCTGATGAATAGTACTGAGTCTTAGCATCTTAGACTCTATACAAGAATAAGATGTATAATATATTCTTGTTTCAGAACAATAAAAACAAAAAGAAGAAAAAGAAGCCCAAGAAGGATGTAGGTGGAATTACTGCTACTGCTTCATTTGATGCTGATGATAGCTCTAGTCTTCATAGTAGTGGAAATGTTGATGCTGATATTGAAAAAGAATGCCAGCGAGTTGAAAATGGAAATGGTAAGATAGAATTAATATAATTATAATGCTAGGGTTTGCAAATTTACTTTGTTATATTTTATTGTTACTTGTTCTCATTTGCTAACCAACCCACACATATTATTTCTTGAGCTTTTTTATTTCTTAATGATAAACGTAAGGTTAAATTAAAATTTAAAATTATTCAATTACCAGAGTTGTATTAACCGGGTTGGCAAGTTTTTGACACATGACGGTTTTTACCATGGTTTTTACCGTCATGTCAAAAACCCCTCTGTCAAAAACCCATAGTGTTGGTAAAATAATTTTGAGTATTTTGTAAAATAATTTATAGGTATTTGGAAAATAATTTTGTATCTTCTCGAATTTTGGACTCATTCATACTAGATTTAGAAATTGACTGGGCAATGAAAAATGCACAAAATTAGTCACTTGCTATCGTATGCTTTGGCACGGTGACCCCGACTACTGAACATGTAATTTTGTTTGTAATTAAGTTTTGTTTAATATGCTTTTTCAACTGAATTAAAGTTTTTAACTTGACAAAATAGCAGTAATTCTTGACTTAGAGTTTGTTAGTAGTTACAAGTTTTGAAAGTTTTGTTTAGCTTATTTCTATATTTAAAAAATGCCAAATTTTAAATTCTTTTTAATTCTTGAATTTATTAATAGTTCCAAGCTTTTTTGTTTGTTTGTTTATTTCTAACAATTAGGAAGTGCAAAATTTTGAATCATTTGCAAATCAAGCTATTATGATAAAAGTAAGTATCACTATTTTCAATAAGTATATTGCAATATTTCTATATGAATGTATATCCTTCTATAAGAATACATGTATATAGTTGCAAAATCAATAGCAATCATTTACAACATTCATTTATAAAGGCAATTATGTGAAAATAATATATTACCCCTATATGCCATAAATTAAAGAAAACAGTAGGTTTTTGACGGTTTTTACCACTGTCATGTCAAAAACCAGTTTTTGACGGCAAAAACCCTACCCTGGTATTAACTCAGATTTGATTTTAAAGAATTTTTTTTCTTCGAGCCTTTCTTCTTTAATGAGAGAAAATTACTTTTTGAAATTAGCACCTAATATAGCATAAGAGTGTAATTAAAAATTTTTTTAGAATAAACTTCAGTTATAACATATTAGAATACTGAAATTATTTTTCTATTTAGGTTTTCTCCCTGATGCTGTTGATGAAATAGAAAGTGTAAATTCAACTCATACCAATCATGAGAGGTTACAGGATTCTGAACCTCTGAGCTTGAATCTTGACACAAGATCAGCAGCCAGCACGCCAGATCAAGAACTGACCCAGTCACTTCCATTATCTGGTTATGAAAAACCTAATCCACTTGGTAGCAAGCAAGAGCCAGAAAACATACCTTGTAATTCTCCTCTTTCTGATAATTCAGATAAACATGATGAGCTGGATAAAATTAAAAATAGAGCAGCCAATGAACAACATTATAAACAATCTCTTAGGCAGAGGTAACTACAACTTAATCATGATTTTTAAAAAAACCTTTTATTTATAATGCTAAATATTGACTTATTGTTTTCATTTGATTGTTTAGGACGAGCAGTTTCCGACGTAGTAAAACCTCATCACTATCTGAAGATTCATCTAGTCAGTATAGTTCTCAAAATGCTGCTGCTAAAAGAGGTTTGTGGTTTTAATTTCTGTGGGTAATTGGTCTTTTGTCTTTACGAGGATAAATGCTCAAATGAACTATGAAGAATTTTACTTGTTAAAATAACAATTTTTCAATAATACTTTGTAAGTTTTGTTATGTGTAGAGTAGACTAATGTTAAATGTCGTGAAATAAACTAGAAAATTAGAATAAAAAAGTTAAAAGAATTATCATTTGTTTTCCTTGAAAATTGAAAAATCCAAAAATTAAAAGATGTTCTGCAAAATATTAAAAAATAATTAATGTCTGAAAAACTTTTTATATGTACATGTATTTGCTAAAATATTTGTTATATATTTTATATAACTTATTCCTTTTTTTTCTTTGTAAAATTGTAAAACCATATTATCAAAAAAGCATTTGATATTACAGGGACATAAAATCATGTGATTAAATTTTTTTACTAAATTCAGTCATTTTTACAATAATTCTTTTTTCCTAAAATAAAATGCCTTGAAGTGGTGATAATCTTGTGTGCAAGCGTATCTTAAAATGACAAATTGACATCACTATGCTAGTTTAATGTTTTTATTTACTTATTAATGTAATTAGTGACAATACAATAAAAGTTTAATGTTTGAATTTCTAAGTCTTTATCTCTTTAAAAGTAAGTATAAAATATTAAATTCACTCCATTGTCATAACCTAAACATTCGAGATTCTTGCATACTGTTTTTTTTTTCAAGTGGTGCTAAAAATCAAAAGTAGAAATTTTTAAAAAATTATTTGCTTAAATTATTTATTGGTAGTCTTACCTTTGCTACCACTAAAAAAATCCTGTACTAGTTAAAGGGTACGCATTGTATGTCTTACTAATTTTGCTCTTCTTCCTTTTTTAGGAATTGATAGGTGTAAAAAAGATTTAAATAGACAAGCTATCTCTCTTCAAAGGATACATTCTCAAGTTGAGAAAGGTTTAGAAGAATCTGCTAAAAAAATAAAAAATGTGTTTGGTGATTTACAAAAGCAGTAAGTGACCATTTTCTGTTTATAGTTTGGCTTTTTGTTTAGTTAATAATAAATGAATGTTAAAAAAAAATGAAACTCTTTTTGATTCACTTAAAAATTATTTATGATAGATTTCTTATTCAATCTATTTCATTTTGAAAAAAGTATCTTTTAAATTCAACTTATTTTGAGACCATATTAGTTCTCCCATAATTTTGTTTCTTCTACACTACCCATTTTACTCGATAAGAGTTTGTCACTCTTATGAAACTTACTGTACATTTAATTACTGGTACTCAATTAAGTCCCTAAGACAGTTAATTTTCTACTTTTTTTTTTTAATTTAAAAGCTCTTCTATGTGTCATGATAAATAACAGAATCAGTACTTAAAATTTTATTCAGTGTGTAGCATGGTATAGTCTGATATTTGACGAATTAAAGATAATTAAAAATTTATCTTGACTCAGTGCTGGTGGGTCAACTACTAATTGGCCGGGCTGTACAACCAACTGTCAAGAATGTATTTAATATTGAAACTAACATTTTTTTACTAATCAAATACATCTTGTGCACATCAGCTTTATCTTACAAAGCTTAAAAACAAATTTTAAAAGTGCTGTTAATTTTTTGTTAGAATTTGAATGCACTATTTATCTTTTTTATTGTGAAACTGGCTAAATCCTTACCAAATTAGGGATGTACAGAATGTTCGGCCACTATTCGGTATTCGGCCCTTTTGCCGAATGCCGAAGCTATTCGGCCGAATAATGAAGTTATTCGGCTTAACATGAATATTATTAGATATTTGGCTGAATAAATTCATAATAATAAAGATATTTTTTTAAACGTGCTTTTAAATATATATAATCATGAATATTGCAGAGTTACATTTCACTGCATTAATTATTAGAAAATCTAACATTTACTCAATTTAAGTTGTATAACACTTAAGTGTATTAAATAATGTTATATAAATAAAAACGTTTTCTTGTTGGAAAATTATCATATGTATTTAAACAAGCATTGGAAATTTTTACATTAAAATAGAAATATATATAGTTTGTTAAATAGAAGTGTGAATACTATCTGAATCGGCAATTAAAATTTATTTGTGATTCCCTTAATAATATCTATTTATCAATAATATGCACTAATTTATCATAAATCAAGTTGTTAAAATTTTTTTAAATATTCAAAGATTAAAAAGCAATTTTGTTCATATTTATTTCATTTTTAATTTAAAATTTGGAAATTTCTTTAATTACAAAATTACAATCAAAAGAGAAATTTTTAAAAAGTAAGTATTTGGCCACCGAATATTCGGTATTCGGCCTAAAATTTGGCCGAATATTCGGCTATTCGCCCCCATCACTATTCGTTACATCACTATACCGAATGCATGACTTCCATCTGTATTCTACTTCAAAGTTAAAAAAATATGTAAAACTCAGATCTTTTATTTAAAAAAAAAAGAAAAGATTCAGTCATTGTGAAATATCTTTGCAAACAAATTATTTGGAAGAAAAATTTGAATTTTTTATCTAGATTGTGCAATCTTGTGTGCCGATTTGTGTTATACATTAAAAAAAAAATCCTGTGACTGCTATAGTTCTGAAAAATTTGATTTAAAAGAAAAGGTTCTCAAGTGCATTTTTAAATAAAATTTAAGAAACTGTATTGTTGGTCATTTCTATCCGATTTTTTCTCCCGCCAAATCACTTGTTGCACATTTTTATTGCTGCCACTCTCTTCTCATGTCAATAAAGGAATCTATAAATATACCAAAAGCAATTATTTAATGGTAATAATTAAAACCAAAAGCAATTATTTAATGGCTCAAAACGGGCTTTTAAACTACTACTATAAACACATTAAAGTTTCTCACTTATGAAACGTGTATCCTATTTCTTTTTTTTAAAATACCTTAAAATGATACCAATTTTAATCATCATTTTAGCAAATGCATAGTAATGCTAAGACAATGAAGTCACATACTGCAAGTCTATTTCTTAAAGCTCAACGCATATTTGCAGACTCTATTCAAAATAAAAGGTCTCTAATTAAAATTAGTTCCTCACGTAAATGAATGTGCATTCTGCACTTCAAAAATTATTTAAGCATTAATTTATCTGGGCAGTGTAGATAAATTAAAAAATATATCCAGGCGACTCTTTAACTTTAAAAAATACCAATGTAGTGAATTTCTGGGCAATCAATTTGTATACCCCCTTAAAGTTAACATGAATATTCACTACTAATTAAAACAACTGCCATCTTACTCGCATGATCATTACATCCCACCATACGAGCACAAACTCCACATTTACAGTTATTGCCTCACGGGTTCGATCCCCGGCCCAGACATCGGATTTTCGGGATGCAGAAAATCCTCAGCGGCCATGTCGTATGATTATGCGGCATGTAAAATATCCCTGGAGTGCCTTTTTGGATCTTGGCATTTCCGGCAAAATTAAATTCCTAGTGCTCTTTGGCATCCAAATAGAGTCTCGGTGCTGCCATCTAGTGTGGCAGAAACTAGACGTCCAAATTAACATGACCAACGGTATCTCACCCATTGTGGTGGTCCTGAAAGAGTGGATACCACCTCTGGAGAACGCACTAGGCCTGCTCATTTGCAAGACCGATTGTGCAGCTTATTGGAAATAATAATAATAAAAAAAAAATTTAAAAAAAAAAGTTATTGCCTCTACTGGCTAGAAAAATAATCACAAAAAAATGGGTGCCAGATGTATTTAATTTACTTAATGTGCTTAATCTGAATTGGTTAAGTTTTGTTCATGCCAAGTATAATTTTTAAGAAATAAAACAATTAAAGGAAAAAATCCTAAAAATATCTTATTTAAAAATTAAGTCTAAACATAATGCTGAAATATTAACCTTTTTCATTTAGACTAGAAAATAGAAAGAAAGAAGTAGAAGCAGAGTTAGAGAAACGTAAAGTTGAAGCTCGTGAGTATGTTTTTAATTGTGAAATAGAAGCACCAGGTGTATAAATAACTTTACTTATATATTGATTGTTTTTGAATTCCAGTAAACCTTATCAAAAGTAGGCAAGATTTAGCAGTTGAGCTGAAGAGACGTGTTGATCGCTCTCCTTCTATGACAGACAATGAATGGAATGAACTTAGATCTGATATTAAAGTATATAAAAATTGTTTATTCACTTGATCATTCTCTGATTGTGTTTTTTAATGCACATTCTTATTTATTTGAATCTTTGAGGCAGAATTTTCATTAAGCATATTTTTCATGCTTTTTCCAGGAATTTGTATTAATTTAGGTCAAAAGTAGTGAAAAATATTATAATTAACATTTTAATAAATTATGGTTTAGAAACACGAGTGCCTTTTTCTATGTTAAAGGTAAAATGGTTCAATTACTGTTCACTTCCAAACAGTAATTTTTAAATTTGCACTTATTTGTAGTTACTTAGATCTAAGACAAACAATTTTTCATCATTGAAAATTCTGTGATTCAATGATATTTATGAATATGAGTGGAAAAAAAAGTTTTCAAACTACTTTTTTTATATTTTAGTATAAATATAAACTGATAATTTAAATTTTTTTTGTTTAGTTACTATGAGACTGTTTTTATACTTAAAAATATCAAAATATATTTTTCTTGTAAATAAAGCGGCAGAAAAAAATGAATAAAAAGGACATCTGTGTCTAAGAGTTAACTTCTTATTGGTGTCTACTCAATTTGAAAAAAATTTTTTTTTAATAAGTTACAATAATTTTTATTATTTTTGTTTCATTTTTCAAGTCATAAAATTTTTTATTTTCAAGAGAACAGGTTAAAAGTCAAGGAATATTATCCGAATACCCCAAATGAAGCGAAAATGCATAATTTGAGTTTTAAGTTGTTAAAGCCTTTGTCTTTCTAAAGCCTTAGCCTTTGTCTTTCCTAAAAAATTGGTATAAAATTTAATGAGGAATTTTTCTTATGTTCAGTTTCATTTCAAATTCTTTTATTTTCAAAAGCTCTTTTACCTTGTTTATTTATTATTAATATCTACCTAAATCCTTCTGTTTAATTTATTCTGGTAATTTTTTTTAAATCTATAGTTTTATCTTCAATATCTAATAGTTAAAAATACTTTGTACTAATTATCAAGCAAGTTGTTGATGTTTGGTAATCGTTGAAGAAAATAATAAATAACCAATTGTCTATATCTAATTCTTGAGTAAAAAAGATTAATATCTCATCTCATCTTATTTCTATCCCCGGGCAATAATTTTATTTCTTATATTGTTTAGAATTAAGTAATCTGTCATCTAAACATAATTTAATACAAATTAGTGATCTACTTTTTTAGTAAATATGTCTATTTTGCAGATATTATTGATCAACAGAGTTAAGTAACTGACTTCTTGCAACTCGCCCCTTCAATTTCAAAAACATTATAGTCTTGAAGATGCATACACAGAGATGTGATGCAAATCATAATATAAAATGAAACTGAAAATCAATGGCAAAATTTTTATCAGTTACATTAGTCTGAAAATTTTTTAAACCAGTCTTATTTATATGAAAAGTATCATTAAGTATTAGGATATTTGTATATTTTAAAATTTTGTGAACTTATTATTTTAAGTTTATTTTAAACAAGCAGAGCATTAATTTATTTTATTTTATAGTTGTTTGTCACAGAACGAAAGTATGATGATGATCTTGGTAAAACAATTTGGTTCCAATGGACAGATATATCAGATGTAAGTGACATTTTCTTCTATTTTATGTAGTGTTAGTTAACTTAAATTCCGCATGGATTTTAACCTCATTTTTTATTTAAAAATGTGAATCGTAAAATATAAATTCTCTTTTCAGTACTGCATCTAAATTTTCAAAATTAAAAATGTGTTGGAACTTAAGATATTATAAAGTATAAAGGTGTAATTAAACAAGAAAACTAACTAGGTAGTTTTTTTTTATCTTTAAAAAAATTTTGAAAATTAATTTTTCTTCATTAAATAAATTTGTCAGTCTTTTTGAATTATTGAATACAAAGGGCATTCCGTTATTTTTATTTATTTTTTTTGTCTTGCTTTTTCGCCTTAGTAAGTTTTTATACATTTTAATTTCATACACTTTATTATTTTTAAGCCTCATTCTTTCTTCGATACAATACATGTGAAATTTAAGAAGCATTAAAATTCAATGCAGAAAAAACACACACACACACGTTTTTATTCGTGAAATGTGCGATCTCCAAAAACATTTTTGATAATTTGAAATTGGAAGAATTTTTAATTTTTTGCAAATTTCATTTTTAAGTATTTTTTAATCTGTGACATTATGCATAATATGTATGCAGAGATTTTATACTCCCGTACTATCTTATAAAATCCCGTATGCAGGGATTTTATACTCCCGTAGTCTGAAAAAAAATATTCTAAAATTTTTACAAAACAATCAACAGTTGTAAATATTTTTACTTTTTACAAATATTGATGTCTCTTATCTATATGCATGGATAGAAATAAAATTAGCTTCATGTTTATTTAACTTCTATATTAATCAGTTTTCATGATTATGCCCACTAATTTTATTAAGTTGGATTTTTGTTTTAATAAACAAAAGTAGCTAATGGAAATATTTTACAGCACCAAAATATGCAAAGAAAGAGTTAGTAAAATAAATTCAAATGCTTTTTATTTTTATAAATTTGTCAATTTAGTACTAATTCTTTAAATTTGCTAATTCTTCAGGTGCATCACATTTAAAGACTGAATTTGGTTCAAGGTTAATAATAAAGAGGTTAATGTTTAGCAACAATGCAGCTTTGATTCTTTCAATAAAAACAATGCTCCTTTCTTATGTTCACTAAATATTCGTCTAAGAGTCATAGATTTTGCCAGTTTTTAGAATTCAAGTTGTTGCTGTATTATTCTTAACATCTTCTAAAATTGTGGAAGTGTTAATTTTTGTAATTTATCTATGTTTTAATAAAAATTTAGGACTATTTTCCATAAGTCAACTTCTTTGTTTGACAAAAATAATGGAAGTGCAAAATAAAGCATGTTTCTAATTCATAGTCTATCTGACAAGCATTTATTTAAGTTTAACTATTAAAGATTAAAAAGTTTTCAATGATATCTAAGTTTTTTTTAAATTTTTTAATTTTATATAGAAGAAATCAATTCATACAAATATTAAGGAAAATACTTACAAAAGTAAAATTTGAAAGAAAAAAGAAAGAAATATATATAATATCTAAAAATACCTGCAAGCTTAACTAGTGTTAGAAACAGTTTTTAATTTAGATATTTTTTTCATTTTATTAAATAGAAAAGTTTTGAGTAATATATTCATGTGTTTTGTAATTTTGTTAACAATCTTGTTATTTCTTTCAGAGTATCAAGAGCTTTGGAGAAGGTAAGCAAACCATATATAATTACTTGTGTTTTTATAGTTTTTATATTGCATTTGAGTGATTGTATTCTGGGGCAACCTCAGAATTTCTGTTTTTTTTTTGTATTATCTTTCCGGGATTAAAATTTAAGAGTATGCATATAATTTTCTGGAAATATCGCGAAGCTCCACATTTTTTAAGACCATTGGTTCTCAGCCTTTTGCTTAGAAACTTTCACTTATTCTCGTTAACGAGATGCTTACATACTCGTGATTCTTTGACCCTTTTAATTTTGCGGATTTTCACTACTTTGAATATTTGGAAATGTGCCAGAATCCACTAATATCGAAATTCCTATTCATGCAGTTTAAATATCAAACATAGATTTTCGTATAAACCTAATCTAAAAGTCACACGTTGCGATTTAAATTCACGTAGTTTAAGAATCGTGCATCGAGATTCATATTTATTTGAATTAAAAATACAATGTCACAATTTTAAAAATCCATTATCCCAATTCATATTCGCACGATTTTAGAATCTGATATTGATATTCTTATTCTCGGGATTTTTAAATCCAATATCTATTCATTTTCATGCTATCTTAAAACTCCAACACGATTCTTGAAAGAATTTACGATTAATCACAATTCTTCTAAGATTTTTTTAAAAATTAGTTACTATAAAGTTGTGATATTCTTCATGGGTAGGTAATTTAATTATAAGTCGTATATTAAAAAAATGTGTTAAATATGAAACATGTCTGGTATATAAATTGATATAGATTTTTTGCACACAGAATTGTCGGGGTTTTTCACTTTGTGTCACTATTACCCATGGTGTTTATTTGTAATTATTTTGAAAATCAAAATTCTTGTTTAGTTTCCCCTACTGTTGCTAAGTTTTATTTACATCAACTAAAGACTGGAATAATGATAAATTGTTTATTTTTTATATTTTAGGGACTAATTTTTGATTAAAATTTCCCCTTTGTAAATACTTTTCATTGAAGTGCTAAATAAGTGTTATTTTTGTTATTTATTTTTTTGAAAATTATCCTTTTTTGATATTACTTTTTTCTGTTGCTAAGTAGTTTTATTTAACTTAAAAAGTTATAATTTGTGACTATTATTTTCTGTTTAAATTAAAGTTTGTATTTGTTTTTTCTTGTGTCAAAGTAATTTTATTTACCACAATAAGAGTTAAATAATAATTTGTGATTAGAATCATTATTTTGAAAAGGAAATCTTTTCATTATATTTCAGCTTCTGATAAATAATTTGATTTACAATAATTAGCAAATTAAACAGTAATCTTTAAATAGTAATAATTTTGCTTTGCATATATTGTAATGTAACGTTTTATTTTTCTTAATAGATATTTTTTTATCATTAAGAGAATACACTCTTGACCGAAAAATTGTCCATTTATAGAAAACGTGCACTAATAATGAAGCTTAATGCCAATAATTGTTTTGAGTATAATGGAAATGGTATATAAATAATTTATAAAAGCAATAATACTTACCTGTGAGGCAGCAGGCTCTATAGAGTTGTATTCACAATGGACCATTTGTCAAGCATGAATAAATATAATATTCTTATGATCACCTTAATGAATAGATTCTGTTCTCTCCCTCTTTTTAAACTCAGCTGAGTTAATACAGGAGTAAAATTGATTAGAGCTAGAAAATAATTTTCACTGAGAAAGAGGAATTGAGTATTTAAAGTATCATTTAAACTTGTGGAGTTTCATAACCTTTATCGTCTCCTACCAAAAAAAAGAAGAAAAAAAAAAAGAAAAAAAAAGATCAGAATGTACCGCTGTCAAAGATATTTCACATAAGCAGTGTCCTTTTCTCTCCTCAATTTGCAAAGATAAAGGAAGGCGAAAGAATGAAGAAAAGAATGATTGATTCATTATTCATATTCATCATCATTCAATATAAATATACATATATATATATTGATCTTAATAGTGAAATAGCTTAACAATATTTTTTGTTACATATAAAGCAAAATTAATTTTCTTCAGTAATTTTCTTCATTTTTAAATTAATTTTCTTCAGTTTCTTCATTAATGAACATTATTAAATTACAGTGCAGCATCTTATTGCATATCTTTTTTTAAATTCCAGTTCAACCTGTGAAGAATGTGTACAGTCAGCGATCTAATTCTGTTTTGGCTAGTTGTGAAAATCCTCAAAACAACCCTGAACCTAGTCCTTCATCTTCTCTCGCTAATGAAGATATAAATGACAGTACTGGTAAAAATGGTTTGTACCTCTTTTTTTTTTATATGCAGAGAGATAAATGTGTACAGTTGTGGGGCTTTGTTTATAAAACAGATATAAGATATTTCATTAAACCACATGTTTCTGTTTTTTTGGTCTTTTAGTTTTAATGTTTCTATTATATTGAAGTATTTTATTACATTTCTTAGCATTTTGAAACACAATGACATTTCCAAAAATTTTATATCTTGCACTTTTTGAAATGCATAAAATTAATTTAAAGATAAAGATTCATGGTTAGATAAAGATACTTATCAGAATCTGGCCAATTTAGATTTTACCATGTGGTTTATCAGAGGATTATTCATTTTTTTATTTACATGCTGTGCCAATTAAACTACACTTTCACTGGTCAGGTTTACTTTATTAGATTTTCATTTTTATTTTGTTATTTTTATGTATTTAATTTAATTAAGGTATGCAGTATTAAACTTCTCATCCCATGAAACAGCATTGAAACAAAAATATTGTTCGTTAACATGTTTCTACATACAAAGGTTTTTTTTTAAATGTGTTCTTTAAATTTTTTTTTCATATGTTAAATAAAAATATAATTATAAGTTAAGAAGAAAAAAAATTTATTTTTTTGTTTCATTCACTTTTATTGTCATAAGACCTTAATATTTTGATAGGAAAGACATTTTGTTTATTATTATACTTTGATCTACATTATTTTTATGAACTGTATTTAAAATGTAAAAAAACATTTAAGACAGGCTGCTATGGAGATTTTGCTGTTTAAAACCTGAAATTTTATTTACAGTTTTGTCTTATTCTAGTGTACTTTCAATTTTCTAAATAGTATATGTTGTTCATAGGAAATACTATTAACATAAATTTTTTTTTTCTAAATTACAATCAAAGATTTTCTGGTATAAGTATGTTTTTAACATATTCTTTCTTGGAGCATTGAACTGAAGTCCATTTGACCTCTATTTGGCCATTCCGTAGTTTTTTGAATTTAAAATAAAAATTATGCTAAAGAAAATTTTTTAGTGAAAATGAAAAAAAAATTACTAATTTTGAGGCGTGCAATGGGAGATTTATGAGTAAACTTTTATTTTGCAAATAATTTATTATTTTGTGCTGATTTACAAAAAGATGAGAAGTATTTACTTAAAAATTTGTTATGGAAATTATTTTCAAAAAATGTTATCGTTTTTGTAGTTTTTCCAATTAAATGTTATGCTAAGTTGTATGTTTAATTTATTATATTTTGCTTAGTCCCAAATGTTCATTCACAATATTATATCAATAATTTCCTCAGCATTTCTTTGCATTTCTTAGCATTATCTTTAAATGAAATTTTAAAGAACATTAAGAATTCTGCATTCGGCTAGTTATCTTATCTTGTCTGATTATAACTTTTTTAATAATTTGAGTTTCAAAACTAAGAAAGAAGGAATCAGAAATGTTGGAATCCAAAGAAGGGAATCCAAGTGCCTGGAAATTCCTAAATCTTAATTATTTTATCACCAAAGCAAAAAAGTAATAAATAAATAATTAATATTAATAAATAAAAATAACATCATGTAATTGAACTATATAATCCAATCTTTAATTTTAAATTTTCTAAATTAGATCTGTGTGTCTATATATTTCTAACTCTTTGTGAGATAGATAAAATAAGTTGTTACTTCAGTAATTTTTGCAAGTTTCAATACTTGTGTATTTGTTAGAAGTATGAAATTTAACAGTTTGCTTAGGTATGAAATTTAACATTTTGCATGGTGTATAATGTTTTTAAAAAGTGTTCAAAGGTGCTTTTTTTATTTTCGTTTTTTAAAAGCCTTTAAAGAGGCTTTTTTCATTGGGTATTTTTAAAAAGTGCTTAATTTTCCCTTTTTGAAAATGAGATTTTTTTTCTTTGAAAAAGTACTTAAAAGGTGCTTATTTTTTGTTGAAAGATTTGGCTACACACCCTGATAATATTGCTTTAATTTTTTTCTACCTATCTATGATGTAACTTTCATTTTTAAATTTTGTTTAGCTTGATTTTTATTGTTTTTCTTTGAATTGAATTTATTGTGTGCTAGCTGATGTTTTAATTTAAAAATTTCCACTAATTTTGTAACAATAAATGCATTGCTATACTTAATTCATACTTAAGCTTTTATTTCTCCTCCCACAGATGTTGCAGTGATATCTGATACTGTAGAAGATGAAACTCTAGCAGGAACCAAAGTAAGATACTTGAAATGGTTTATTATCATAAGTTTTGTAGNGTTAAGATTGAATTCCTAAGTGTAAATTTAATTAGATCTGTGTGTCTATATATTTCTAACTCTTTATGAGATAGATAAAATAAGTTGTTACTTCAGTAATGTTTGCAAGTTTCAATGCTCGTGTATTTGTTAGAAGTATGAAATTTAACAGTTTGCATGGTGTATAATTTTTTTAAAAAGTGTTCAAAGGTGGTTTTTTTATTTTCGTTTTTTAAAAGCCTTTAAAGGGGCTTTTTTCATTGGGTATTTTTAAAAAGTGCTTAATTTTCCCTTTTTGAAAATGATTTTTTTTCTTTGAAAAAGTACTTAAAAGGTGCTTTTTTTTTGTTGAAAGATTTGGCTACACACCCTGATAATATTGCTTTGATCTTTTTCTACCTATCTATGATGTAACTTACATTTTTAAATTTTGTTTAGCTTGATTTTTATTGTTTTTCTTTGAATTGAATTGATTGTGTGCTAGCTGATGCTTTAATTTAAAAATTTCCACTCATTTTTAACGATAAATACATTGCTGTACTTAATTCATTCTTAAGCCTTTATTTCTCCTCCCACAGATGTTGCAGTGATATCTGATACTGTAGAAGATGAAACTCTAGCAGGAACCAAAGTAAGATACTTGAAATGGTTTATTATTATAAGTTTTGTAGAATGAAGTTTTTCCCACAAAGCATAAGAACACATAATTTCAAAGAAAGCTAAGGAACTTTTGGAATTAAAAATTTATGATTTTTAAGTTACACTTTCGTCACAATCGATTTAGGAAATAAAGATTAATTAATTATAAAATTTTAAAACTGTTTAGAAATAAATTTTATTTATTTATTTTTTAAATTGTATTAGTTGTTTTACAAAAAAAAGTGTTTTTCCATGAGAAAAATGTGCTTTATTAAAAGAAAATTTTGTTAATTTTTTCCAAGAAGTTTTAACATCTTATAGTTAAACTAAGTTTAATGCATTCACAAAATAAATTTGAAATCACTCTTTTTAGTGCATTTTAGTTAAGTTAAAATTGGCAATAAGAATGACATGAAGAATATATTAACTTTATAATGGTAGAATATACATACTTCTATGGAAGGCCAGAGCCACCCTGGACTGTTGAGCCAATGTATATGATATTAAAGTTTGAAGAAAGTAACAAAGCAATGCAGCCTTTTAACATGTGCCTCATAAAGCTGCATGTATGATTAAAAATTCATAATAGGGTATTTGTGCCGGTCCGTTTTGTTAAGGGAAAGCATGATGTGTATTTGATATATGTGTTTATTTATTATTATTTTTTTTGTGGAGTTCTTCAATTTACCTATTGCTTCAATTGTGAATTTATGCATCCAACTCTCTTATAATGAATAATTTTTATTTTCAGGAAGAAACACCCTCTGCGAATAAGCCTAAAGCTAATGAAAATCGAACGTATGGCCGTGTGTATTCCAATAGACGTTTTGGACGATTCAATCCTCATTTCCAGTCTAATCGTGGCTATAGAGGCAACAGAGGTGGGAGTGGCTACTCACGACCCAATTACAACAACAGAAATAATTATCAAGGGCCTCACAGATACTACGATGATCATCGTAACTATTCACACCAAGATAACAGAGATGGAAGAATTAACGAAAATCAAGCGTATTCTAGTAACGAAAGAAACATGAACAACAATTATAAAGATAACAAAAGTGATAGAAATCCAGGAAGAGGACAGCATTCAAATATGAGATATCAACAGCATAATCGATTCAGGGATCAGCATCAAGGTCATCGACAAAATGTCGATAATACTTTTGCCGATCCACCTGCAAAGTCTTCAGAAGCTAGCGTATCTGCTAAACCGGCTGCCCTAAACGGAATTGACAACAATTAAATATATTTTTCTTCATTCTACCCTTTTTGATTTCTCTTCCCCTCCCTCAACTCTGGTTAAGGTTACACCTTCAATAGTTAACTACTTTATTTTGGTTAAGTTAGGAACTGCTGATGTTCTTGGAAGTTCTTCTGAAAAATAAGTTCTGCAGAGCAGGTAGCTTATGTATCGGATTTTTACCAAACTTTCCCATTATTTATTCTTTGAATATTTTCATTTCCTTTTCAAATTAGAAAAGGTAATAATTTACTTTAAGTTTTTTTGTGTACTGATTCAAGTATTCACCAGCATTAATTATATCCTTAGAGGTGCAATTTAAATTTTGTTAGTCTGTATCTACATACATTAAGTAGATAGTTTTGTCTAATAATTGTGACTTTTTTACTATGTTAAAAAGTCCATTATAAAGTTCGTCTCTTATTATAATATAGCTAATTCTGTTTTTTTTTTAAAAGAAAATTAAATAGTATGAGTTGAATGGTTGTTGATTTATTATCTTTATAGTTTGAAGCAGTTCTGACTGGAATTTACGTGTTCCTTTGAGTCAAAGTGCCAAAGGCCAAAAAGTGGCTTTTATTTTGGAACTTGTGTAATAAAAAGTTTCAATGTTGTGCCTTATTGTATATGCATTACTCATTAATGATGCACATTTTTAGAAGTTTTCCTTTCTTCTGCTATTTGTTATTAGCCATTTAAACCTTGTCAAAATGTATTGAACCAGTTAAGATTGAATTCCTAAGTGTAAATTTCAACTAATTTTTGTTCAGGTTGAATAATCTAGTCTAGATTTAAGTTTGTGCTTTTTTTATTTTTGTGTTGCTGTTAGCCATTTTAGAAAATATTTTCATAAATTTTGAGATTTATATGTTCATAGAAGTACGCAAGAATAAAATTAAAAACAATGATATGTGGAACTTAAATCTAAGTGAAACATTTATTACTTATAATCCTAATAGCAAATATCTTCCTGCACATCATCGAACTGCAGTTTATTAAAACATCTGCACTTTATTTCTTTTTTATCTCAGATTTAAATATAATAATAATCATAGCACCTGATTTTTTTATTTATTTGGGAAGAAAAACAAAGCCTTAAAATAATGAGAAAAACAGTAATTATTTTTAATTCCTAAACTTACTCAAATTACTAAGTGTTTCAGGTCTTTATCAAATTTTGTTTGTCAATCTGTAGATATCTAAACAAAAGAAAAGTGATATCTTTCACAAATTCCAACTAATAATCTTTTAACTAGAATTTTAAAAAATAGAAAATTCAGAAAATAAATTTTTAGTTTCTGTAAACTCTTAATTGCTTGTATATTGAGTGTACAGGGAGTTAGTACTATTTTCTAAATTTTCATTTGTTTGAAATTTAATAATTTTTTTTTATAACTAAAATAATAATTTGTGTACATTTTTACGCATGTTAGATTAAACCTTATTTTTACTATAATACTATGTCTGACTGTGCTAAGTTTTTTTTGCAACTAGGTTTGCTCTGTAAATTCTGCTAACGGTTGCATGGTTAAAATATTGATCCTATTATTTCTTATCCAAACAATTGTTTTAAATGTATTAATTCCTAATTTAAACTTCAATTATTCAGGTTGAATATTCTAGTCCAAGATTAAGTTTAAGAGATTTGATTTTTGTATTCTTATTAGCTAGTTTAAAAAAAAATTATTTTTTGAAATTATTATGAACGTTCCTTAAATTATGCATGGAATGAAATCAAAAGCAAAATATGATATGTGGAACCTACAAAACATTTACCATGTATTTAATTTATTAAATACAAAATTTATTAAAATTATGAATTATTTAAAATCTCAATTTCTTGTTTTTATACCAATCACATGCTTAAGATAAAATGTTTATAATTGTATTATAATATTTTGTTATTTGTTTTTAAAAGTTTAAGAAAACATTTTATTAAATCTTAATCTGGTTCTTTCTTTCTGCTTGCATGCTTAGTTTTCGGTTATTTGGAGCACTTCGATATCTACGTAAATGTGAGGATTATCTTTTATTTTGTACATTTGTGCCTTCAAATCAAAGAGCTCTTCTGTATGTTGCGTTTGTCAAGCCTTAGACGGCCATATATAATAAAACATTAATCTATTCGTAGTATTGCCAGAAAAATAGCTGACATTCATGTATTTCAATGCTTATAACCTCCAAAACATCGCTGTAATCTAACTTATAATCCCACTTGTAAAATGTATATATTGTACTTTTTTTTCCCTTTCAATTATTAGCTGTGCAATATGTAGTGCATGTTGTGTGCTTTAGTGTTTTTTGCAGCCTTTGATTAATGGGACCATTTTTTTCCGTGCCCTTCAAACTTTGGCATGTTTTTTGAGATCCTCATGTATGTTTAACTAGTTGTGAAATTATTCTTCAGAAATCACTCCTCTTTTGTGAATAGTGCTTTTTTTCTCCTGTGATTTGCCTCTGTGTAATTCCTGTATCATACCGTTAGAATTTCATGTGTATATATAATTGTATATATATAGTACACGTGCTTGTTAATAAAGGCATTTTTCATATCTTGAAAATTTGTTTTATTTATTTGAAGAAAAAAAAATCTGAAAAGCAAAATAAATATGGTAAAGCTTCTCTCTACCATGGACAAGCTAATTGCTATTTTCTCTTGCATCAATTAGGGGTTAGGATACTATGGCACAAAATTAAACTTGCCAGCAGCCACTTTTTCCAAAATCGAAAATGTTGAATTGTTTATTAAAAATGTAAGGCATTTCTCAAAATATGATAAACTTTACAAAATTTATTTCTAAAGTGTTGAAAAAATAATAATCTTTTGAACCTTAGAAAGTATTTATAATTAATATAAGAAGAAATGAAATCGGCATTTGCGACGAAAAAAGTAGCGATTGGCCGACAATTTTTTAATCGCCATTTTGTTGTAGTTGGCCGATGAGGACCCTTAATTTTTTTCCCTTGCCACTTGGTTACCTTCTATATCATAAATCTAATCTGTGTGATCAGGGGATAGAGTGTTTGTCTCCCAATGAAGTGGACTGGGTTCGAATACCACATCCGGCTTGCACTGACCACAATGATGACATAAAATATTCTCGGTGGTGTCAGACTAATCGTGGGAGGTTTTCTTAATGTAATGCAAATTTGTGTTAATTCCAAGAAAGAGTCCTCCATGAAGGCTAATTTCTCCCAATACTTGATCCAGGAGTTCCTTGGATTGGATGTTAAAATTTCGAGGCTATGGAGTTGAACATTAGTAGTTGTAAACCCAAAAAAATTTAGTCAGTTGTCTAAGGACGGTTATAAAATATATCATAAATGTTCCTTGAAAAGTCTTATCTCCCTCTCTGCTGACCTTACAAGTGGTCTTCTTGCCTCCACCGTCCCGCAGTGGACTGATCGTTAAGACGCGGTTCCCAGCAGATCACCGAAGTCAGTGTGCTGGTGGATGACCCACTTAGATCAGTCTGTGTAGGGACCGAGGGTGTGCAGTATTGGTCCACGTTAAATTGTGCTACCGTAAAGTGCTCGACTTCGCGTGCAGGTCGTTGGGCTACCAAAGCGGGGGTGCCATCCCCTCTGCAGAGGATCGAAATTGCGATGTCTTCGGATTCTCCTCAGTCTTCGGATCATCCTCAGAGATGTTTCCCAGACCGTCACCAATAGCCCATTGTGCAGCTCTAGTGCGACGTAAATGAACTACAACAACAACTTCTTGCCTCCACCATGAAGTTTCAACTATTAATTGAAACTAATCTCACCCTTAATTTATGAAGAAAAAAAATTGTTAGGGAGAAGTCTAAATGAGCAACTGTTCAATCTATTCCTTCAAAGTTGAATTATGCAATATGAAAGGCATTAAAAATAAAATAACTTAAGTATTAGAAATAAAATAACGCAAGCATTAGAAATGAAATAACACGAGATAAAAGATTGCAAGTGTGAGACATGGGTTAAATGCTGAGTAATGACAGCGGGAAGACGAGTTCTTTTTTCCTATGCTGTTGTGAGATAAGAAATAGGATTGAAAATGAAATCCAAAATAGATTCTTTTTATCGCGCGTGTAATATGAGTGAATTGTTATTGACTGTGTTGCGTCGCTACTGAAACCAAAACTAGTTGCTTATCTTAAGAAAAGATTATAATTCGTAGCCCTCATTGTTTTATTTTTTTTATGTATTTTTATCGACGTAAATTTTCCCCCCATCCTTATAAGCACAAACTACAGCAGTGGAGGTTCAGGGAATAGAGCGTTCGCTGTCCAATCATTTGTGAATCGGGTTAGAGTCTCAGTGATGGCTGGTGAATTCCGCATCCGGCTTGCACCGACCACAGTGCTGACCTGAAATATCCTAAGTGGTAGACGGAGGTTCTAGTGGTTTTCTTCTCCGTGTAACGCAAATGCGGGCTCGTTTCAATGATAAATGCGGTCATTATCGACTTCGACAAATATCGAATAGAGTAATTTCCGTGAGTATTGCCGATAAAGATAATTATCGAATATGAGAAAATCGTTAGTATTTTCGAATCCGATATTTACCCTGTTTATTAATAAATTTTATTTGGATAACCAAAATGTAAACTAAAGTAAAAAGGATGTAAATGAGTTAAAGCTAAAAAATTGGAGAAATATCGTAAAAGGTCGTTATTTTCTGACGATATATCGAGATTTTAGAATTGCGATAACGCCCGATAATAGTTTTTTTTCTCTAATATATTTAATACAGTCTGGTTTTTTTTTCCCTCACCAAGTTTTTCCTTAAAAATTGGCGTTAAGCTCACATTTATGCAAATGAATATGACTTGAAGATTTTAAAAAACAACCTAAGACCAAAAAAGAAGGAATAGAAAATATTTTGTATCATGACGAGCTTAGATATTAATCTGAAATTCCATATAGTCATTTCTCAATACTCAGTTATGAAATACTACGGTGAAATATTCAATATTTAAGATTCCTAATAAGATAAGTTACCTTCAAAAACATCAACAACAAAAAAAAGGAAAACTATCCTGTTTCTTGCGGTTGGGTTCAACGTTTTCTTCCTCTATTCTCTCTAACAAAGAAAACCGCGCGTTTATTTTTAGAGATATACAGTCAAAACAAATATTGAGCCCTCTAGTTCTCATTTAAAGCTATCAGTCGCAAAAGTTTGATCTTACTCCAAATAATGAAAACTTCGAAATAGTAATGAAAACGGCATGTATAAAGGTAACTCTTGATTTATTTATTTTCATAAAATATTCTTAAGAAACAGTGCCATTATCATTTTGTTTTTACTTCTCGATTTTACTCTTCGGATGAGCAAAATTTATATTAAAATCATTTGCAACCTATAACCATGTCAAATTTGGAAACTTTTGCATCAAAAAGCTATTACACTATTTGAATTTGCATGTTCTTGAATTGCAGAGAACTAGGCTTGTTGCTAGCATAGAGGATTATACAAATGTACTATAGAGGATTTGAACGCAATATCACTTATAGTCTTTGCCTAAAAAGCTAGGGAATATGTTTATTAATTCTCACTGTAAACTACGAAAGTTATTTTCAATATCAATCATCTGCAATATGTCTGACATCGAACTTTTATATATTCTTGAAAAATCGAGAACTATATACCTATATACGACCTATATAGAACTATATACGAACAATAAAAATATACAAATGCATTTTTAGTGAGTTTGAATGCAATCTCTGTTATAGATTTTAACCGAAGAGCCCGGTAATACTCACTGTAAACTATAGAAGCTGTTTTCAGTAATCATCTGTAATATGTCTGACATCGAACTTATAGAATTTACATATTCTTGGACAATCGAGAACTATTCTATGTGTTACCAACGTCCTGGAAAAAGCATTTGTAGCCCTGATTTCGAGATTGCAACTTTAAATAAGAGTAGATGGTCACTGCATCTCTATCCTCGAGGGTTTTCTGAAGATTACAAAGAATTCGTATCTTGTTTTTTATGCTCAGAAAGGAGCAACATTTCAGAATACGATCAAGAAGATGGCGTTGTCGACTTTGAAATCAAAATGGTTGATACGAATGGAGAAACTTTACGAATTCTGCGGACTGAAAATTGCTTGTTTCAGTGCGGATATGATTGCTGTGGTTGGCGTGACTACATAAAAAGAAGTTACATTAAAGAAAGAATTAAAGCTTGGCCCAAAGATAATTTAGTTCTTATTTGTTACATAGCTACAAAGAAGATCAAATCAAAACACCTTGCTACGGAAGGACTTACTAGAATAATGGTGGATAAATGTTCTTTTGACTGGAAGATATCTGTGACCCATTCTTCTAATTGGTCTCTCAGCAAGCAGTTTACCTTGTTTTCGACACTAATATTAGAAATCATTCTATCTGCATCAGAGGAAAACATAAAAATTAGCATTCTGAAGAAAAATTCTAGTGTTTTGGATACATTAATAAGGTTTAGACTTACGTTGTTAAATTTTGAAGGATTCGAAATAGATTCAAAAAATGCTTCCCATATTTTTGAATCAGATCCCATTGAAAATACATGGAATTTTCCACTTTTAATTACAAAAGAACAGTTGGAGTTGCACAAAAGTTCAACGGTATTTTCATTGGTTTTTATGTGTTCTGTGTCAGATGGGATGACGATTACCCACCCGATTATGAAATCGAGAAATGAATTAAATTCACGTGAGGTAAACTGCTTTCCAACTTTGCAAGAAGATTTACAAGCTCTGTTTAAAAGCAAAAAATTTTGCGACGTTAAGTTAAGAGTTGGCGACGAACTTCTACTTGCTCATAAGTCATTTCTCGCGGCGCGATCACCAGTGTTTGCCGCTATGTTCGATCAAGAAATGATCGAATCCCAGACTGGAATAGTAGATATTTGTGATGTGAGTGTGGATACATTAAACAAGTTTTTAGAGTTTGTGTATACGGGAACTGTGAGTGAACTGGATACTGAAAGTTCGATCAAGTTATTAGTGGTCGCCGATAAATATCAGGTTTTGTCTCTCAAGGAGAAATGCTGTTCTAATTTAATGAGAGATTTATCAGAGGATAACGCAGGAGACATTTTTGATATTGCTGATTGTATGGGTCTAAAATTATTAAGTTCAGCTGCTTTAGATTTTGTAAAAGCGTATGAAAAACCAACTTTGTATTCTTATACAAACATACACGAATATTAAGTTTACCCAGTCTGTTATTAATAATTGAATGCTAGGGTGTTAGAACATTTTTTGAAATTTTTTTCTTGAATTAATAGCTAAATAAATATTTTAAACATATTTAGTTGTTGTTTTATTATGACCAGAACCTTGTCTGTAGCTTAAATTACGCAAAATTGAAAGAAAAAAAAAACATTTACAGCTTAGTATTTTACACATCGGGTTATTTTCCTTGCTCATCCTTCGAGTTAACATTTTTTTTTTTTTAAATCCAGATGTTCATTCGCCATATGTTTAAATAAATCGAAATATTAAATAAGTAATGTATTATTGATTGGATATAAATAAAATTACAGGTTTCTGAAATAATTAAAAAGTCTAAACTCTTGGAACTCCAGTGGTCCTTCAACGGAACCCTAGAACTCTACAGAACACCTTTTGTGAACCATTGATCTAGTGTTCTGATTTATCTTGTGCTGGCTGCATTTTTTTCAGGGACCAACGAAAAGAATTCGTAGTTCTGGAATTGCATTTATAATAGTTCAGAATTTGTTTTTGGTGAGTGCAAAAGCTGAAAACGAATACAATTTGAAAAAAAAAAAGAACTGTTATAAACGTTAAGAATGTTTATAAGGGAAATATAGTTCTTTATTTTAGGATTTGATCATTTTATATTGAACTGAAAAGTTCGATGAGAAATAATATTGCATTTTTTTTTTTATAAATGCTCACCCTTTTTCTTAATTTATTCAATATATTATTATTAAAAACATTTTTTGCAAAAAAAAAAAAAAAAATGCCTGTTCTTTTTTTTTCCAAATAATTTCATAAAACCAAACAAAATATCAAATAAATGATGGTTTGCTGTTTGGATATAAATGTAATGTCAGGTTACAAAAATCCTTAGTGGTTTAAAAAAAATTAATACTGGTTTAAAAAATTTAAACTATTGAAACACCTATGAACCGTCCACAAAACCCAAGGGTTCTGCGAAGCATCATTTGAGAACCACTGCTTTAATACCACTACTTTTATTCATAAGCAGTGTTGAGAGAATTAAAGATTAAAAAGTAGCGAATGGGAGCTCCAAAATTAGCGGATTCGAGCATTTTGTAGCCCCCCCCCCAAAAAAAATACGCTATACATCTTTACGATTTCACGAATCTAAGATTTGAAATATAGATATAGAAAAATTCTAGAATCAGAGCAGCAAAACTAATCAAGAATCCAAAACTAAAACAAACATGTTTTCAAGAAGAAAAAAAAATAGTAGAAAACAAAAGAAAAAAAAATGTTCTTTTTAAAAAAAGATAAAGAAAGTGCAGACTTTTCAGCATCATTTTATAATGGGAACGGAAAAAATTGTAAAAAATATTTCAGTCAGTAAGAAAAAAAGTAGCCCATTTTTAAGATTTGCAGCGTTCGAAAAATAATGAATAACTCAAGAAGTAGCGGGGTCTTTTATAAGTAGCCCAATCCGCTACTTGTAGCAAGACACACAAGTGAATTTACAAGTGAGTTTCTTGTATGTTCATTGTTAAAAAAATGAAATTTCAAGAATAAATAGGTTCAAAACTTACGTTTTTTATTTCTCTGAGAGTAATTACTGATAAAAAAATAAGCATAACCTTGTAAAAATGTATATCAGATTACAGTGTAGGAGAGGAGAAGAATGAAAGAAGTGATAGGATGAAATAAACTAAACGAATATTTAAAGTACGTCAGCTTTCAAGGTTACTATGTGTTTAATAACAGCTTCATTTAATTTCACCACTGTTTATCATTCGTTGCGGAAGGAAGGGGAACTCCCTCCTGATTTAAGTTCAGTTTCAGTTCGCAATTTCTTCTTCAAGGAAATGAACATTTTATGACTGTAAACAAAAGTATATCTTTCTCTGCGTAAGTGAAGTTGAAATCAGGACAACGAAGAGTATGTGTGACGAAAATCGTGTAGAGTATTGTTTTACTTGGATAAATACAAATTTTTCCTTGGGCTTGCGTCATGGGAAACATTTTAAAAGTCCTCTTTTTACACCCGATAATTTTCATGGAAGTAAATGGTACTTATCGTTTAAACCTCTATACAGAAATAAATCGTGTTTTTTATGTAGATGCAAAGACGATTTGGCCGGAGAAGAAATACTGATCTCTTTCGCCATTGAATTAATAGATGGGAATGGTAAGATCATAATTACGCAAGGAAGTAATACGCCTCTTCAGAAATTTTTTAGAGGAACGAGACGAGGCTATAATACGTCAGCCACAGCTGAAAGCTTGGTAAGCAAATGTTTGACCTGGGAAAAAGACATTTTAACTCTTCGTTGCCGAATGTTTACCACTTTAAAACCACGCGCATCTGCAGTCCTCACTGAAGTTGGAATCGACAAATGCTCGTTTCAGTGGAAATTAAAGCTTCCCGATTGTGTTGCAGCTTCTCAAACTAAGGCATTTTCGCTTTCAGAAACAACTGAATATGTAATATCTATAGCTGCCCTTAACTATGTCCTTGAAATTAAAGTGACGAGAGCAGTCGAAGATCAATCATCGGCTAGGCTTTTGCGTGGAAATATATTTTTCTTGAATCAGGAGGAAGTCAAAGTTCCTTCTTTGAGCATAAATCGATTATTTGATTTGACAGGTGTGAATACTAGTAAATTTACGTCTTGCATTACCAAGGAACGATTGGAAGATAATAAAAAATATTTGACGAACGGCTGTTTCACTTTGCTTTGCGAATTTTCAACAGCCAATGGAAAATAATCAAACGAAGTTTTAAAGTATTCTAGCAGTTATGCCAGCGAATGTAAAAATGTTCAAACTTTGCACCAGGATCTTTCAAACCTCTTTACGAGCATGAAACATTCTGATGTGAAATTGCAATGTGGTGATGCAGTCTTATCTGCACATAAATCACTTCTTGCAGCCCGATCACCCGTATTTTCCGCCATGTTTGACCACGACATGATTGAGAAGCAAACAGGAGTCGTGAATATTCCAGAAAAAGACCCAGAAACATTAAAATCTTTTCTCGATTTTATATACACAGGAAGAGTGGATATGAAAGACTATAAAAGTGCATCGAAGTTGATAATGGTCGCCGATGAGTATCAGGTAGCTTCTTTGAAAGAGACATGTTCAATGTTTCTCATGTCAGCACTGACTCCGGAAAATGCTTGTGAGATCTTGGAACTAGCTGATATGTTTAACATAAAACTGCTGAAGAACTGTGCGTTGAATTACTTTGCCAAACACATGCAGGACATTTCGAATTCATCTCAATGGTCCAAATTCATGCAGAAAGAAAAGAACCCGAAATTATGGATGGAAATAATTCAGCATCTTGCAAAAAACTTCGAAATTTCTCCCCAAGGAAATAAGAAGTAAGTAATTGTAAATTTCTCACCAACTATTAGTAATCATGTAATCAATATTATTTAAAAAAGAAACGGAGCATAATACGGTATAATTGAACCATGTCTTTAGCCAGAAAATTATTTAAAATACATTTAATGGAAAATTACAATTTAAAAGTTTCATATCGCATTAAATCTATTTCGAAACATGATAATTTACATGCATGTCCCTTTCAATATATCTTAATAAAAAAATCCTCATTATCAATAAAATCAGACTTAAATAACATCACTCCCGAAGGAATGTGTTTAATAATTCTATCATATAAAAATATTTTATGTTTTAATAATATTTTTTTTCAATTATTAATTTTTTTAATCAGATTGTTTAATTTATTTATTAATTTATTTCAAAATTACAATTGATTTAAATCAATACATTTTATAATGAAAGGGATGCTATAGTAATTTCAATGCATGTGCCTTTTATTATTTCATAGTAAAAAAAAAAATCACTCCCTTTAAAAAATATTCATTGCCGATATAAAATCCGACTTTTAAAAATCACACCATTAAAAATATATTTATTAATTATACTATATGAAAATATTTTAAACTTAAGTTAGTAATTTTTGTTACTAAGTTTGTTTATATTAAATGTTATGGAAATTATGTTTGTTTAAGAAAATGTTTTTTTTCCTTTTAAAAAAAATAACAGCTTATTTAAATTAATGGTTCCTTTAATAAAATCAAATTATTTAAATCTCATCACGATTATATTCGAAATGCTTTATATTCTAGTTGTAAATCTAATCCTGAATGCAATATATAAAATTTAATCTCGAAATAACTTGGCATAATATATTTCTTGCCCAGCTAGAAGTATATCGCCAAGATAAATCCCAAATTTTCCTACATTGCATCCCTCGCATGTCAAGGAGTAGAGATACTAACCTAGAAGCGCAACTAACTAGAAGCGCAATCTGCATACAGTTAGGAGTGGGAGTTATAATTGAGGTAATTACAGAGCGCAGTCCACCACTGTCCCTTATAGACTGCAATTGATTATTACTTTTTTTAAGTAAAATAAGTTTGAAAGAAATTTACGCTATTGGGGGTTTGCGCTTTAACGCTACAGGGAAACTTAAGCGCAGAGGGTGGAACAAATGTTGCGTCGTTGCCACCATTAAATAGTAAAGGGGGCAAGTTGCCCGCCATAGTCATTTTAAAAGAAAGCACTTTAAAAAAGAAAAATACTTGTTTGAAGTTTTATAACTGGAAAATAGTAATGAAAGATTTTTTGAGCCGCGATGGCTCAGGGGATAGAGCGTTCGAATCCCAGTCGATACGAATTCCACATCTGGCTTGCACCGACCACAGTGACGTGAAATATCCTCAGTAGTAGACGTATTATGGGTTTTGACGAGTTAAAATTCCAAAAACGCGTTTTACTCTTTAATGCTACGTTATCAAGATACGAGACAAACTATAATAACGAAGAATTACAATTACCATAGCTCAATTAATTGTTTCGATATATGGTTTTTAGTTTTGTACAGTGTGACATAAAAAATAAATCAGACCACCTTGAATAGTTTTTTATTTTTACTCTCTAGGACTCTTATCTTAATGGCTCCAGGGAGTGACCTCAAATATGCTAATTAATAAATACAGACGATATTAATTTACAAAATCCGACACAAAAACCTACTTTCTCTGAATTAACGTAATTTTTTTTTATTTCATGTCCATAGTTGAACAGCCGACCCAGTTTTTGGGTCTGCGACAACTAATGTAAAACTCCGTAGCCTTGTAATTTTGAACCCAATCAGGAAGACAAAGGAATTCCTGGAACAAGTATTGGGATAAATTTGCCTTCGTGGAGGATTTTTTGATGGAAATAACCCACATTTGCGTTACTTGGGGAGGAAAACAGCGAAAACCTCTCACGGTTAGCCCGATGGCAAGGGGACTCTAAACAGTGATTCATCTACCACTGAGGATATTTTCCGTCAGCCCCGTGGTTGGTGCGAGCCGGGTGCGGAATTCATATCGACCAGCCATCGCTGGGATTCGAAACCGGTCAACTTAATTGGAAGGCGAACGGCTCTATCCCCTAAGCCAGTGTTTCCCAAACTTATGAATTTTGCTTACCCTTTCTAAATTTTTCGTAACGCTGTGTACCCCTAATAAAAAAATTAATGTATTTTTTACTATAAAAAATTCACAAAAGTTGAAAATCACAACTGGCTGTTGACACCATTTATTATTAACTGTTAACTCTTCTAAAAATAGCCAATAGAAAAATACGTAATCGTAAATTTTCATGGCTAGTTTTGTTTTTAAATAAAAAATTTCGAAATTTTCATATGTTGCAAGATATTTCGCATAAGAACACGTACCCCCGCTAAACTGTTCCCGTACCCCTTGGGGTACGCGTACCACACTTTGGGAAACACTGCCCTAAGCCAACATGGCTTATACCTATTTTTCATTTTCATTTTTTTTTTTTTTTTGACGATTCAAAATTTAGAGTGTAGCCACAATCTGGGAAATATGGTCCTATCTCAAAAACTTAAAACCGAATTGAAAAATTTTGCCTGCAATTAAAAAATTCATTTGTCCAGAAATATTAGCATGCAAAAATAACTTCTGGTAAATATTTATTACTTTATTTAATAATAGTTGAAAAATTTTGAATTGTAGGGTATATAATTTTTTTGCATGATTTTAAAGAACATAATTTTTACTTCACGAAATAAAAATTTTGAGCGAAATCGGTCGAATAGCTTCCTGAAAAACCGATTTTCAAATATTAGACTTTTTAAAATTTGATTGGTTTTTTTTATTGGATTGATATTTTTTATTAGAAAGTAAGTCTTTGTGTCTGATTTCTTAAATTAAAATATCGTCTGCACTTATTCATTAGAATATATTTTAGGTCATGCCATCGAGACATTAAGATCGAGTCTTAGAATGTGAAGATCCGATCATTAGATCAAAAGTTATTCTGGGTGGTCCGTTTTTTTGGGCACTGCACACTAAGGGCGGTAATTATAGATTATCCTGTATATTTATAAAACATGTCTACTATATAAACGTTTTTTATAAATTATAATAATAAATATTTATTTTTTCTAGAAGAAATTTATGATAACAAGTGATTACTTTTTTTTCAGGGAATTAAAAAATGCTGCTACCAAGATTACTGCACCAGGAAGAAATGCAAAAACTGTATTTTCAAAATGAAATATGTAATATAGAAACAGTTTTTAAAGTAGTTTAAAATTTCAATCTACTTTAAATAATGATATTAATATCCAAGCTATTTAATATATCAATTTCAAATAAGTGAAAACTACGAAAAGAAAAAGAATTTTAATAAATCTTTTAAAAATTAAAATAATTGTTCTTCTTTAATATTTTTATTATGTCGATGAATATTTTAAAACTTAATTTTATAATTATGCAAAGAATTCTTAAAATATCATAACCAAATTTGAATTAATATTTTTATTATGTCGATGAATATTTTAAAACTTAATTTTATAATTATGCAAAGAATTCTTAAAATATCATAACCAAATTTGATTAATTGATACTACTTAATTAACCAATGGCATACTAAACATACGTACTACTTACTACTACTAATCACATATTGAATTCCTAATTAGAAATAGTGTATAAATATTTATAATCAAATAGTGTAACTAATAACTCTAAGTGACTAGTAGAAAAAAGATAAAGAGAGTTTAAAATTCTGCATGAAATTAAAATAAATAATATGAAAACAGTTATTTTATTAAAAAAGTGGATGCGAAAAACTTTTAACCTACATATACTATACTAAATTTAGTTTCTTTAAATTTTTGTTTTGCAAATAATACTATTGTATTGGTCATTTTTAGTTTCTTCTGTTTTGTCTAGTTTCTACAATTTTGCTAAGTTTCTCCCAGTGTCGTCGAAGAAATTGATGGACTAAATGCCACTTTGTTTAGTTCTCGAATGTTCTATTATAATAATAAAGTTTAATTATTTGGCATTCGATGAATTGTTCAATTATTTAGTTTAATGAATTAGCACTTTTTCAAGACGGGCTCAGTCCGAGGCCTGATACGGGTTCGAACCCGTTTACTCTAAAAAGTATTCGAGCACGGACCAGCTTATAAATATCATAGAAAATTTATTAATAATTTACTGTTTTTAAACAAACGTTGGTTAATTTATTAAGTATAAAAAATGTCATATTTATAAGGTGTAAACAATTACAGCAATTTGTTACTTCTGTTCGGTGCTTTTGCTTTGTGAGGCTAACACTGATTGTCAAAAGTCTTTTATTTACCCCAAGATTTTGTTTTTCCTGTTTTAATTTTATTTTAGTCATTTTGGAGTTTCAGTCTCTAAAAGTAATCCTATGTGTATCTCTGGTTGAAATGGGTCCTCTTTATAATTCTTTGGACTCGGAACTCATTTGTAACATCTCTTAGAGTCTGGGAATACGTTTCTTCTATGATTTGTTTTAAGTGTTTATTTACTGATTAGAGTTTGAATAAAAAGAGAACAAAACCGTATTTAGTTGAAGAAAAGTATAAATTTCAGTTATTGATATATAAGAAGACTTTGCGAACCACAAACAGAGTGTTAGCTACCTGCGTCTTGTTCACGGGCCGTATGTTGTACAGGCTTGTTCTAGAGCAATAATTGCTTCGAAAAATCTTTATTGCTTCAAATAACCTTATACTTCAAATAACCTTATACACCCTTGAATGTAACATTGGACAATATTTCCTTCATGGATACCTTTTCGCTAACATGACCAGGAAAAATCATTAAAAAGTCCACCATGGTTAGCCCGACGGCGAGAAGAATGATTTTTAGATTTTAGTGTTATTTAAATTATTCCCAAAAATATTTTATATCTCATTTAAAAAGAACATTCGATTTATTTTAACAAAAAGGGGAACCGAAGAAATCACGAGCAATCTCTTACAAAAAAAAAATAAGGCAACGATACAAAATAGACGTTACCCCTAAATTTATTATTATTTTTTTTATGTTCTCATATATCACTGAATTATTCTATTAGTATGTAATTTTGTAAATTACACAAACGCCATGAATATCAAACTTATGTAAAGTACGAGGTGTTCCGTAATATCCACATTAATACAGGCATTTTGAATTCTTGTAGCTGAATACCCGTTTTTCATCGGGGGTGAAAAATATAATCTATATATCAGTGTTTGACAACACTAAGAAATCATGCATAAACTGCAAGACATATACCAGTACAATTAAAAACGCTAAAATAATTCCATTTTTTTTAAAAATTTATCATCAATTTTTGTCCTTTCCGGTTGCTTTACGTTATTAGATTAAGCTTAACACGTTTTTAGTAGTTAATTCCACCAGAATGAAGATTAATGACATTCATTATGGATGATGTTTGAGATCAACTCAGGACTTTACCGCTATCAAGCGATTTTTTCCGGTTGGTATCCCTTTCGAAGGACCGTGAAAAAACCTCTTTCCACTGTATCTATATATTAAAACTGTGTTGTTTTGATGCAGGTTTAGTAAGTGAAATATATTATTTGTATCTATATTAGGATAATTGTAGCCTATTTAAACTGCACCAATTACTGTAATATCAGTAGCGATTATATAACCAATATTAATTTAAAGATCTTATTTTTTACGCTTCTCTTAATTTACTTGCGCCTCTTCTACATTAATTTTGCTTTTTAGAGCATAGTTTATTTTTTTTAAGTAGTACCTATTACCTGAACTAGTCAAGACTCATTAGCGTCAATAACAGTATGACAAATTTTTATGTTATTTCTAAACGAATTAGCATTATTTATCCATTAATTTTGCTTTTCAGTACATCACTTACTTGTTTTAATTTCACAATTAGGTTACTGAATAATTTAGTTTATTAAAAGATTATGTTTATATCTATAAAAAATTATTTTTAAAAATATGACTATAAACAAAATAAATGCCTAATTTCATATAACTTTAGGAATATTAATTTGATGACCTAGTCTGTTTATGTCTTCATGTTCACGTAAACCAATGAGTTCATTAAACATAACGAATAAAAGCGAAACAAATGAACGATGAATATAACGAATGAGCGATTAAAGAGTGTGCAAAAAACTTTTTTTTTTATTCATGAGAGCCATAAGCTAGCAAGCATCACTACAGTTATCATTAAAATATGTGCAATTAAAAAACAGAATCATCTGCAGTTTAATTTATATAAATGGTGAGTTCTAAGCCCCTGAGAAAGCTGAATTTTTCAAACGTCTTTCAAGACCAATCTAATTTAAATTAGTAAATGATTTTCAGTATCGGGGCTAAATTTGTCCCTTCTGTACGAATTTCAAGACGCTATCATAAATGGTTTAGAAGTTGAAAGACAAGCGTTTCCTTTATAGATTAGAGGCCACAAATCAATATTTCAGTGGCGATGAAACAAAAACGTTATCAAAATCTAACGAATCATGATGGAGGAGAAAGAAATTAAAATCATCAAAACCATTCTGTTTGTCGGAAGAAATTTAAAGGTGTTTCTGATACTAAATTTTCTTCCACATCTTCTTAATTTCCTCTGGCAATCATACTTGGTTTAAATATTAAATTATGACTCTTAATGGTATATGAATTTGAATCATCCTTTGTTAAGGATTCTGTTGTTGCTAATGCCACTTGTCAGTTAGCCTGCTTAAAATCAAGCCAATCTTTAATGCTGATGGTATGTTTCTTGTATTTTCAGTGCCATCTTCTATGACCAAGCTACATGCACATCACAGCCCGTTTTACAGGGAAGACCCGATCATACTCCATTCATTCAGGCTCAGATCGTAATTTTGACCTGAACCAGAGAGAACTATCTCTAATTCCCCAGAGGTATTGATTTATTATAGAAACTTGGTGGACTTAGTGACTAAGACAGATTTAACGTGCACCAGTCACCATTAAATGCACGGGATTTGAACTAAAGTACTTACGAACACAAGACCAACGTCCTACCAACCAGACTATCCTGGTCTGTTAAGGATTCTAAAAATATAAAATTGAAATGCGATGTTCAGGGAGCATTATCGCATGTTTTAATAATTTAGGGTAGCTAAATGATTTTTTTTGTTTGATTTAATAATTATTTTGACAAGTTTTGAGCATTGAAGCAAACAAGGGCCGGAATAGCCTGGTTTGTAGGACACTGGGCCCATGTCTAAGAGATCGTGGGGTGGCCGGCTGAAGACTCCTCGTGTAGTAACTGGTGACTGATGCACGTTAAATCTGTCGAGTCACAAACTCCTCCATGTTCCCATGACAAATCATACCTTTGGTGGTACTGATACAGAAGTTTCCTTGTCTTCTGGATTGGGTTCAAAATTACAAAGCTACGGAGTTAAACATTAGTAGTCGTAAACCCAAAACTGGGTCGGCTGTTCAACGACGGGTATAAAATTAAGTAAATATGCATAAAAATACTAATAATTTTTCTGTGTTATAAAGAGAGAGATATTTTGAAAATAGAAATAAATCTTTTTTGACATTTTTAAACTTTTGGTAGAGACGAAGCCTATTAACGGATAAATATTAATTTTCCTTTTTATATATACATTAATTAAAATGTTCCTATAGAATTATATTGAATTTATGATACCTCATTAGAGAAGAAAAAAATAAACATCAGATAATGATGCTATTGAAATTTCGTCACTTATCGGTTTATTTTATCTTTTTTTTGACTGATAAAAGGGAAACTCCCGTATGATAGATATCGTTAAGATAACGTTCACAACTCTTACTGAAAGAAATCATTTACTGGCTGTTGGTTTAAGAGCTGAGTAACTAAACATGTCTGAACCAATTAAAGTGGAATATTCTTTTACTTGGAAAATTGAAAATTATTCCTTTTGCTTTGATAAACCTGAAGAAACTTTGAAAAGTCCCATTTTCACTGCTAATAATTTAAATGGAAGCAAATGGTTTTTGACATTTCGCCCTTATAAAGAAAAGGGTACACATGTTATAGCATGTTACCTGAATCGATGCAAAGAGGACCTGTGTAGCGAAGAAATACGCATTTATTTCGCTATTGCGTTGATAAATGGAAATGGTTTTAGCGCGGTGGAACAGGAAAATAGCATCGCGACATTTCATCGAGGAACAATGAACGGTTGGGACAAGTTCTCTGATATATCAGGCTGGGCTAGTGTGGATAATCGGGATTCGAGTTGGAAAAAAGATGTTTTGACCATCCGTTGTAAAATAATGAACCACTTAAACCGGCCCGAATCTGTAGCTGTCACTGAAATTGGAATCGACAAGTACTCATTTCAGTGGAAATTAAAGCTTTCCGACTGTGTCGCGGCTTCTCAAAAAAAGAACTTTTCACTTTCAGAAACATCGCAGTATGAAATCTCTGTAAGTGCACCAAGCGATCTAATTGATATCAAAGTTGAAGCAGCTGCAGAATATTTATCATCTCAGCAATTTTTACGGGGTAAAATAATTTTATTGAACCAGGAGGATGTTGAAGTTATATCAAAAAATGACAAGCATTTATTTAATTTGGAAGATGACAATGCTATTTGGAACTTCCCGTCTTTTATTTCCAAGGAAAAACTGAGCAGTTATTTAAAGAATGATATTTTTTCATTACTTTGCGAATTTTCAGTGGTTAATGGTAAAGAATCGTCAGAGATTTCAAGTTCTGCTATCTCTTTTCAAATCAACTGCAACAATGTTCTAACTTTGAGTGAGGATCTTTTGAATCTCTTTACGAGCTCCAAACATTCGGATGTAGAGCTACGATCCGGAAGCGCAACCTTTTCAGTACATAAATCTCTTCTTGCTATTCGATCCCCTGTGTTTTCCGCCATGTTCGACCAAGACATGATCGAGAAACACTCGGGTGTCGTAGATATTTCAGACATAGATCCTGAGACATTAAAAACTTTTCTCACATTCATATACACGGGAGCTGTTGACATAGAGGATTCTGATAACGCTTTAAAGTTGATGATGGTCGCTGAAAAGTACCAAATGCCATCATTGAAAGAAGCATGTTCATTCTTTCTCATGTCAGCCATTTCACCCAGAAATTTGTGCGACATACTGGATTTGGCAGAAATGTTAAACTTGAAACAGCTGAAGAAATGCGCACTGGATTACTTTGCAAAACACACGAAGAAAATTATGGTTTTGCCTCAGTGGAAAGCATTCTCCAAGAAGAACCCAGAATTATCGATGGAAACATTTTCATATGTTGTTGAAAACTTTGAAATTCCTTCAAAAAAGAATTAGAAGTAAGTAAATGAATATTTTCTAACACTATTGACTAAATGATGATTATCCTAAATAATCCATAGCAACAACTATATGGTTATGTCATGGTTACAAAAACCACAAAGAACTTTTTTTTTACGATTCATTGTCATAGATAATCTACGTTATATGTGTTTTTTTTAGCTTCATTTTTAGAAAATTTTAAAGCTTTCAAAATTTACTATTTTTTTAATGCTTTAATTAACATGAACTATAATCGTGTTCCATATTTCAATACACATCCTTTTTTGTAGTTTTTATAGCATTTTTTAAATGTCCCCAAAATATTCTAATTGATTTAAGGAATCTGTGGATTTTGACAATGCTGTTTTGTGATCTTGACTTGAACGGCGAGAGTTAATTTACGTGAACAATTGCGTAGAAATCGCTTAACCAATTAATTGAGCCAATATTGGACCTTTGCTCCACGAGGCTGAGACCTAAATATTCTTGAATTGAATGCAAGAATCTGAAGCATTCAGTCCAAAAAACTATTTCTTCCTCTATTATGAAACATCTGAAGCGAGGCTGAAAGTATGACAGAAAAGAAGAAAAACTGGAAGGAAAGTCTAATGACTAGTTTTTGTGAGGAGTAAAAGAATCTAGTACTATTTGTTTTTATTACAAGCAATCCATCACGATTTATACTATATTATGCAAAAATATTTTATATCTCATTTAAAAAGAACATTCAATTTAAGTTAACAAAAAAGAGAACACAGAGGAAATCAAGAGCAATCTCTTAAGAAAAAAAAGCAACGGTATAAAATCGATGTTACCTCAAAATTTGTTTTTTTTTTAGTGTTCTCGTAGATTACTGAATTATTCTCGCATATTATGAATTAGCTATGTAATTTTTTAAAATTACACAAACGCTATAAATATCAAGCTAATGTAAAGTACAGGGTGTTCCATAATATCCACATTAATACATGCATTTAGAATTCTTGCCCCAGTAGCTGAATACCCGGTTTTCGTACGGGGGTGAAAAAAATAATCAATATATCAGTGCTTAACAACACTAAGAAATCATGCATGAACTGCAAGACAATTAAGAAAGCTAAAATAATTCAATTTCTTTAAAATTCAATATCATATTTTGTCCGTACCGGTTGCTTTACATTTTTAGATTGAGCTAAACACATTTTTTAGTAGTTTATTCCATCAAAATAAAGATTAACGACATTCATTAGAGATGATGCTCGAGGTCAACTCAGGAATTTACCGCAATCAAGCAATTTTCTCCGGTTGGTAGGTATTCCTTTCGAAGGACCGTCAGAAACCTCTTTCCACTGTATCTATGTATTAAAACCGTTTTGATGCAGTTTTAGTACTTGAAATATATTATTTGTACCTATATTAAGATAATTGGTACCTATTAAAACTACACCAATTACTGCAATATATCATCAGTGCCTATATAACCAAAATTTAATTTAAGGATCAATTTTTTAAGCTTCTCTTAATTTATTTGTGCCATTTCTTCATTAATTTCGATTTTTAGAACATAGTTAATTATTTTAAGTAGTACCTATTACCTGAATTAGTCAAGACTCACTAGCGTCAATAATAGTATGACAAATTGTTATGTTTTTTATAAACGAATTAGCATTATTTATTCATTATTTTTGCTTTTCAGTACATCACTTGTTTTTATTTCAAAACTAGTTGATTAAACATCAAAATGTTTTACTTCTCTCCAAATTTACTTAATTTTGATTTTTAATTTTGCTTTGCTTAATTTCGCCCTTAATTTTGCTTTTTAAAGCATGGTTTATTTTTTTTTCTAGTAGTACCTATTACCGGAATTCATCAAAATTCCTTCCCGTCAATAAGTTTTTGTGAAAACGAATTATCATTTTCATCCATTAATTTTGCCTTACAGTAAAAACTTATATGTTTTTATTTCAAAATCTGTTGATTAAATTATTTAGTTTATTAAACAATTTTGTTTATAGTTATAAACAATATAAACAAAATATTTATAGTTATAAACAAAATCTTTTTTTGTTTATAAACAAAATAAGCACTTATAATACATATACAAAACTTACTTACTATACTTATACTTACATAAACAAAAATAAAATAAACACTTGATATCATATAATTTAGAAATGCAACTTTGGTGTCTTTTAGTCTGTTATGTCACTACGTTCACCTTAATAATTGAGTTTATATACGTAACGAATAAAAAATAATTAGATATTAAAGAGCGTGTGAAAAAGTATATTTTTTTATAAGTGAGAGCTATACACTAGCAAAAATTGTTATCATTAAAAAAAAAATCAGAATCATCCGCAGTTTAATTTTTATCAAATCGAGTTCTCAGCCACTGAGACAATTCCATGTTTCTAATAGAAGTTTTTGAATGATTCTTAGGATCGAGTACTAAAAACGTCCTTTTCAAACACGCTCTGAAATTCAGGAAGCATAAACTATACTGCAGGTAGAAGAGAGACGTACACACAGGCAGACAAACTTTTCTGATTTTAATCATTATTGCTTAGAGGCCACAATCTACTATCTCAAGGAGTAAAAAACAAAAATGTTGTCAAAATCTGATGAAATATCATTGAGAAAGAAGAAAGTAAAATCATTAAATCCATTATGTTTGACGGAAGAAATTTAAAGGTGTTTCTGATTATTTATTTTCTTCCAATTTAATCGGGCAATCAAAATTGGTTAAAATATTTACTTATAACTTTCAATGATATATGAATTTGAATCCTATGTTAAGGATTTTGTGTTGTTGTTACTAATTCAACTTTCCAATACCAACAAACCTTCTTGAAATCACGCCAATAAAAAGCAGAGTGTACTTTTTTTCAGTGGCACCATCTATGACCAAGAACATGACTTTAACTTTATAAGCACACCACAGCCGTTTTACACAGAAGACACAAACATGCTTCATTCATCCACAGATCGTAACTTCGACCTGAACCAGAGAGCGATCAATTTCCTATTTAATACCCCAGAAATATTGATTGGCTATTGCGTTTTGAAGGACTCTGGGACTCCGACAGATTTAACGTGTACCAGTCACCATTTAATATACGGCCATTCCTCGGCCGGCGGGACTCGAACTCACGTTCACACAAACAAGAGTCCAACGTCCTACCAAACAGGATATCCCGGCTTGTTAAGGATTCTAAAAATATGCATTTGGAAGGCAATGTTTAGGAAACATTTCGTGTGTTTTAGTTATTTATGTTTGCTAAAAAAATTTCTAACTCATTTTCGAGATATACACAGAAATACTAAGTATCACACTTATTTTTTTATGTCATAAAGAGAGAGATATTTTGTAAAATAAATATTCTTTTTTTGTAAAATAAAGTCTTTTTTGACATTCTTAAACTTTTGGTAGAAGCAAAACCTATTAACGGATAAATAGTAATTTTCTTTTTTATATATTCATTTATTAAAATGTTCATTTAGAATTATATTGAAATTATAATTTATTTAGACAAGACAATTTAGAGAAGGAATAATAAATAATTTAAAAATTATTAATCTAGTTTAGATAAGGAAAAATAACATGACATATTGATAGCTATTGAAATTTCATCACTTTTCGATTAATTTTATCTCTTTTGACTGATAAGAGGGAAACTCCCATATGATAACTTTAAGACAATGTTCACAACTCCTACAGAAATAAATCAGTTATTGGCTGTTGGTCTTAAAAGCTGAACAACTGATCATGTCTGACACAATTAAAGAGGAATATTCCTTTATTTGGAATATTGAAAATTATTCCTTTTGCTTTGATAAACCCAGAGAAACTTTTAAAAGCCCCATTTTCACTGCCAGTAATTTAAATGGAAGCAAATGGTTTTTAACATTTCGCCTTTATGAAGAGGGTGGTAGATATAATGTAGCATGTTACCTGAATCGATGCAAAGAGGACCTGTGTAGTGAAAAAATAAACATTTTTTTCGCTATTGGGTTGATAAATGGAGATGGTTCAAAAGCTGGTAATTTTGACCGGGAGACATTTCATCGAGGAACAATGCACGGTTGGGACAAGTTTGATATAAGAAACTGGTCTAGTGTGGACAATCGGAATTCGATTTGGAAAAAAGATGTTTTGACCATCCGTTGCCAAATAACAAGCGATTTAAACCGGCCCGAATCTGTAGCTGTCACTGAATTTGGAATCGACAAGTACTCATTTCAGTGGAAATTAAAGCTTACCGATTGTGTCGCGGCTTCTCAGAAAAAGAACTTTTCACTTTCAGAAACATCGCAGTATGAAATCTCTGTAAGTGCACCAGGCGATCTAATTGATATCAAAGTTGAAACAGCTGCAGATTCATCGCAACAATTTTTGCATGGCAAAATAACTTTACTGAACCAGGAGGATGTTGAGGTTTCATCAAAAGGTGACAAACATTTATTTAATTTGGAAGATGACAATGCTATTTGGATCTTCCCGTCTTTTATATCCAAGGAAATACTGAGCAGTTATTTAAAGAATGATATTTTTTCATTACTTTGCGAATTTTCAGTGGTCAATGATAAAGAATCGTCAGAGATTTCCTGTTCTGCTATCTCTTTCCGAATCAACTGCAACAATGCTCTAACTTTGCGTGAGGATCTTTCGAATCTCTTTACGAGCTCCAAACATTCGGATGTAGAGATACGATCCGGAAGCGCGACCTTTTCAGTACACAAATCTCTTCTTGCTATTCGATCCCCTGTGTTTTCTGCCATGTTCGACCAAGACATGATCGAGAAACACTCGGGTATCGTAGATATTTCAGACATAGATCCTGAAACATTAAAAACTTTTCTAGCATTCATATACACGGGAGCTGTTGACATAGAGGATTCTGATAGCGCTTTAAAGTTGATGATGGTCGCTGAAAAGTACCAAATGCCATCTTTGAAAGAAACATGTTCAGTATTTCTCATGTCAGCCATTTCACCCAGAAATTTGTGCGAGATACTGGATTTGGCAGAAATGTTAAACTTAAAACAGCTGAAGAAATGCGCACTGGATTACTTTGCAAAACACATGAAGGAAATTTTGATTTTGCCTCAGTGGGTAACATTCTCCAAGAAGAACACAGAATTATCGATGGAAATACTTTCATATGTTGCTAAAAACTTCGAAATTTCCACGAAAGAGAATTAAAAGTAAGTAAATGAATATTTTCTAACAATATTGACTAAATGATGATTATCCTAAATAAGCCATAGCAACAATTGTATGCATTTAGGGTTTATGTCATGGTTACAAAAACCAAAAAGAACTTTTTTTTTTTTAAGATTCATCGTCATAGATAATCTACGTTATATGCGTTTTTTTATCTTACATTTTTAGAAACTTTTAAAGCTCTCAAAATTTTCTATTTTTTAATGCCATATTTCAATACACATCCTTTATGTAATTCTTTTAGCATTATTTAAATGTCCCCAGAATATTCTAATTATTGGTTTAAGGAGTCGACGTATTTTGGCAAAATGTGTTTTTTTGTGTGACTAAGACTTGAACGGCGAGAATTGATTTACATAAACAATTGCGTAGAAATCGCGCAAGCAATTAGTTTGGCCAATATTGAACCTTTTCTCCGCGAGGCAAATCTCTTCATTTATGACTAGTTCTTGTGATAAGTAAAAGAATCTATAACTATTTTTTTATTGTTAACTATCCATCACTATTTACTATATTTTGGATAAAAAAGAACAGTCTTATGTATCCTAATGTTGTTATTGTTAAAAAAATATTAGTATCTAATCAGAAAATGAATACAATTTACAAATACAGAAAAATTCAAAAAGGTAAATTAATAATTAAAATAATAAATCAAAATAGAAAATACCCTAACTAAAACCCTATTTGCTTTATTTTAATTTAGATATTCAGACAAATAATTAAAGCAGAAAAAGTAATAAAAAGCAAAAAAATAAATAAATAAAATAACAGATATGTGTGTTGGAAAGACTGCACTTCTTCAGGGGACACACTGCCTACCAGCACATTGGAGCCTTTCTGTTGTCAGTGGAAAAACCAAATGCACCCTTAGGGGCACTGTCAGTTTTGGTTTTTCCACTGACAACAGAAAGGCTCCAATGTGTTGGTAGTCAGTGTGTCCCCTGAAGAAGTGCAGTCTTGCCAACACACATATCTTTTTTTTTTGTTGCCTATTATTACTTTTTCCTGCGTTAATTGTTTGTTTGAATATCTAAAATAAAAAATATTAGTATTCAGTTTTTATAAAATTTATAATAGGATCGTTTTCCTTGCGTTCGATGCGTATACGCGTCATTGCTAAATTTTAATCCCGTACCCTGTGAGTGTTTTCTGTAATCAAATTCCTCTCTTAATTCGTTAATATTAGAAACACTGAACATTGTTGTATACCTAGAAAGGCTGAATGGGCCAGTCGAGCCCCTCCTAGATTGCTTGCGTGTAGATCAAACGACATCCAAGACATAATTAATTTTATAAAAACTTATTAATATAAACTTAGTCATAGAAATTTTATGGTGCTTTATCCGATTTGGTTTACGAAAATATTTGAATAAACAGAACTCTGACTTTTTAATTATAGGTGTACATTAGTTTCTTAGATAATTAAGTTTCCTTTTCTCTACAAATAATAATAATATTTTTTATCACTGGCGTGTTGAACCCCCTTTTCAGTAAAAAATAAATAGATCACAAATCTCCCACTTAACATAAGGAAGTAAATAAGTAGGTAACCCCCTTACGTAAAGAAGTTTCAATATCCCCTTTGACTTTAACTATAACAACATAGGAATAAATTCAACTAAGCGATGTAACTTTGTATAAACAAAATTTACGTTTAATTTATTTTATTATACAGCTATGAATAAATTATTCCTTGTCCCGCAGTGGACTGATCGTTAAGACACGGTTCCCAGCAGATCACCGAAGTCAAGCATCACTGGCTGCGGTCAGTGTGCGGGTGGGTGACCACTTGGATCAGTCTGCGTAGTGACCGAGTGTGTGCGGTATGGGTCCTCGCTAAACTGTGCTACCGTAAAGTGCTCGACTTCACGTGCAGGTCGTTGGGCTACCGAAGCGGGGGTGCCATCCCTTCTGCAGAGGATCAAAATTGTGATGGCATGTCTTCGGATCATCCTCAGCGATGTTTCCCAGACCGTCGCCAATAGCCCATTGTGCAGCTCTAGTGCGACGTAAATGAACTACAACAACAACAAAATTATTCCTTAGAAATATTTCATGTTCTATTGTCCGATTAAAACTCTTGACCTCTGAAGAAAGATTTCTTTCAGCAAATTCAACTTTTATTTCAGATTTAAAATTTTCAAAGTGCAATTTTTTTCTTTCAAAATTTGTTTTATTATTTGCATATATAAAAAAAGAGAATTTTAGGGTTGTAGGCATTGCTTAAAGTGTTTGTAACTATTTTTCATACCCCTCCTCATCTCTTTGTCAGCAAAATTGAGCAAAACCACAAAAACGCTTCCTAACGTGCCTATCTAAATATTTATCAGACCATTGGTATCTGGTTTTTTTGGAAAAGTGTTTTTCGACCATGTTGCTATCGAATGTCATAGTTTCTTACCCACTGTTCTATTGTGAAAAGTAGTGATGGCGGCCATCATAGGCCAATACAAAAAGTTCTATTTAGGTAATCATTATAACATTTTCTACAATGTAAGGTGGACTAAAGTTTCTCTCGTACAATGGAACAGTATGTTGTAGAAGTGATAAATATAAAAGAATAAAAAATATCTAACATTAATTTCATTTTATTACTTACCACGAAAGATGTCACATTTAGGATATTTTACTTTAACTTAATATTAAACGGAAATATTTTTAAAATACTCTTTATTCAATTTTTATATAAAGCGAAGTTAATAACTGAAAGGAAATCTTATCTGGCACACTGATGGGTAAAATTTTCGCCATTTCTATTCTAATCTAACAATTTAGCAGAAATGAGTCATTTTAAAACTATTCATAACTTTACACAACATGCTTGTGTATGACCGCGTTAAATATGAAAGAATCCAATTGTTTTTTTAAAAATGTAAACATTCGAGGTACAATTTTATGTTTAAAAATCATGAAAAACTAGAAAACAATATCGAATCTAATGATGGAGGAAAGACTGAAAACATCAAAGCTTGTATTTTTCCCTAAGTAAACAGAGAAGAAATAAAAGGAGATTATTATGGAACCACATTTATGAGTATCCCTACAGCAAAACTGGCTTCTATTTCACCTTTTTTCTGGTAATACGCCAGATTTCGATAAGCGTTTTTGTTTTTTATTTGGCTTGGATATTAACTTGCTTATGCCTATATTTCGACTTTGTTTTTAATGTACAATGCGCAAAGAAGAGGAAAAAAAAAAACGGACCGCATTTAATTAATTAGGTATAATATGAAAAAAGCACAACTACTTCCACTTACTAGGAATAACATTTACCTTTTATTTTAATTAATAAACTGAGTTTTAAATATGCTTACTAAATTCATAAACTTCGGTAAAACAACAATATAAATTATTTCCAAAGGAACTAGACTAATACAATTCCAACCTGGCGAGTAGCGACTTATAACAAGACATTTCGTTTGATGCTTTTACTTGTTGCTAGAAATCAGGTTCGCAGAAAATGCTGTTTACTAGTTAAATTTAGTAGGAATAACACGATCTGTGACGTAGGTTATAGTATACCCAATTACATTTGATCTAAAGATCAGATCTTCACGTTCTAAGACTCAAACACACTAATTTGAAGGAGTGACCTCAAATATGCTGAAAAACAAGTACAGGCGATATTTTAAGTTACGAAATCGGATATAAAACGTACTTTTTCTGCATAAAAATGTTTTTGTTGTTGATGGATTTCTAACCCCCAATGGGAAATATGGTTTGGTCAGAAGAGCGATCCAAAGTTTTGACTCGGTAGAATAGTTCCTGAGAAATTGAATTTCAAATTCGATTTCTCAGGAACTATTTGACCGATTTTGCTCAAATTTCGTATTTTGCTATGAAAAATCATTCTCTTTAAAATGATGTAAAAAATTTCATACCTTACTCTTCAAGTTTTTTTTCAGCCATTATTAAATAAAAATCAGAAATAAATAAATAAATATTCACAAAATTTTTTTTTTTGCATGGAATTATCGTTGGACAAGCAAATTTTTTAATTGCGTGCATAGATGTTTCAATTGGCTTGAAAAGTTTTGATATATAGCGAAATACGCAAAAAGCAAAACTAACATTAAGGGTTTAAACTTTGGAGCACTCTCCTATCCAAACTATTGGAACCATATTTCCCAGATTGGGGCTACCCCCTATATTTTGGGGGTCAGAAATGACTTTTTGAGACTGATTTCGTAACTTAGAATATCGTCTGCACGTATTAATTAGCATGTTTGAGGTCACCCCTTTGAGAACGTCCTAGAACGTAAGGATCCGATCATTAGATCAAAAGTTATTCAGGGTTTTCTGTTCTTTTTGGGCACTGTATATTAAGGGTGGTAATTATAGATTTTCCTGTATATTTATAAAACATAACTTCTTCATGAAAGTTCTTTTCAAATTATAATGATAAATATTTATTTTTTTCTGAAGGAAATTTAGGATAATAAGTGATTATTTTTGTTTCAGGGATAGAAAAGATGATGCTACCAGGATTACTTGAAAGAGATGTGTAGGACCACGTGATTCCGAAACTTAAGGATTTTTCATTTTTTTTAATTATAAATTTAAATGTGAAGACCATTAATTAAATTTAAATGATGAAATTCAGTCGCTAAATGTTTGTGAAATAGCGAATTAATTCTATACTATTTATATTTCTGATGTTTGCATGTAAATAAATTAAATCTTTGCATGAGGACCGAGTTTCTACTTTTTTAACATAGAGAAAAGATTCCTAATACGAGATACTCTTTTTAGAATTAGAAGGAGAACAATGATGTTTAATTTTGTTTTATATATATTTTTATTGGAATATGCATAATTGTATAATTAAGAAAGGAATCACCCTCATAATTTTCAAACTATTAGTTGGATTTTCATTTTGTAAGTAGCTGTGGATTTACCTCAACAAAAATGTAAGCCTGAAAGAAGCTATGGAATTACCTCAAAATGTTCTAAAATATGTCTTACAGTCGACTGTAACAGTGGCGGAATATGTTTTCTGACGCAAAAGCCTATTCTTTCTGAAGAACATTTAAATTTTTTTTAATTACAATCAATTTAGCGTTCAGAAATATCCCCTGCAATTAAATAAAAAAAAATCTGAAAATTAAGGTTTTTGTAGAAAGAAATGAACATTCGGTATAAAATTGCTAAGTCGCTTTGATATAAACTCATAAGTTAAAGCTGCGTAAGCCAGCGTCTTCCCCAAACTAAACAAAAACAAGTAGCAACATTTCTAGAAGAACATTCGAAAACGGAACTCTTTACCCTTTCAATTAAATTATTTTTGTTAGAGAACCTCCGCGAGAGTAGTAACAAGGCACTACAGTAACAAAGTTTATAATTCACCATCTTGCATTGTGAGAAATTTTCTTCTATCTGAACTTAAATGGTGGCAACAATTTTACACTGAAGTAGTGTTCCACTACACCAAAAACGAGCGATGTTTCTGGTGCTGTGAGATCACCTGAATGTTTTTTACACTACTTGGTGAAAAGTAGCCGTCACCAACCACCATGTTTGTTATTAAATAACACTAAAATTTATTATCACAGTAAGGTATGTTACACATAAGAAAAAGTTATTTTTGCACGATAGTATAAAGTGAAAATCAGGATTACATACATACACTAGTTCTTAAAATGAAATTAGTTTGTAAATCAAATATACGCGTAGCAGAGAGAATAGTAACTTAAAATTCGAACTAAGTGAACGAACGAATTCGAAGTGGGCTTAGCAAAGTAGGACTTTGTTGTAAAGTTCGTTGTAAAATTATTAATTACTGTTTGATGAGAGTTGAAAACTTAGGTAATCTTTCAATTATCCTTATTATAACCGTCGTTGAACAGCCAACGACCACTAATGTTCAACTCCGTAGCCTTGTGATTTTGAACACAATCCTGAAGACAAGGAAATTCCTGGATCAGGTATTGGGTGAAATTATGACTTTGGGGAGGACTTTTTGATGGAACTAACCCGCATTTGTGTTACATGGAGAGAAAAACTAGGAAAAGCTCCCATGGTTAGCCCGACGTCAAGGAGACTCTAACCCATGATCCGTCTACCACTGACGATGTTGAGGAGCCGGGTGCGGAATTCGTTTCGGCCCGTCATGCCTGGGATTCGAACCGGGTTCACCTCATTGAGAAGCAAACGCTCTATCCCCATAGCTACTAACTATAAATATACATATTTTTAGCTACGAACTTAAGTTTCTGCAAATGAAAAGCAACATTGAAGATAGCCGCGAACACTAGCCAAGTGTTAATGGATTGTAAACAATATTACAGATGAAATCAAAACGAGCCAGGGTTGTTGTTTTTGGAAGCTAAAATATTTAACACGTGACGTAAAGACGAGCTATCTATCTTGCTGTAAACTTGCATTTTCGGTGTTTCTAGCTTTCATACTCCTTTTAAATTGTGTATGAACACTCATGATGTGTTACTTGAAAAAAAATGCTCTTTCAGACAACTTTTTAGAATAGTTCAACATCTAATTCGGAGAGAGATTACTCCACATTTTTACGGTGTGGTTTACCTTTTGTAGAACAGCAAATTTGAGACAAGCAACGCATCATTAACTGCAATGATGTGTTGCTTGTCTGTGATGATGTGCACCTTAGTCAGTAAAGTCTAGGTCATGAAGTGCGACTTTAGTTATTGAAAAGTCATACTTTATCTCTTTGTCGCTTGTAGAACAGTGGTCTATAAAAATTTTCGAACGTTTAAAAACAATTAATTTTACATTTTAGTGGTTTGTAACATTTTTGGAATGCCTGTTTTTGGCAAAATGTAGTCAGTTTGGTCATGCTAATTGAACAAATATTGCTAACCATTAAAAATCTAAAGCTAATTGTTTTAAGTGTTAAGCAACTGTTATTCAAACAGCAAAGAGCTTAAATATGTCTCTTTACTTAGTCTGCCCATGGTCTCATTCGTTAATGTTTGACCTATTGTTGGTTATAATGTCACTTGCAAATATCAACAAGCCTGTTTGGTGGAACCAAGTGAATTTAAGGCAGAGTTTGCGTTTTTTTTTCAGTAGCGCCATCTATGGCCAAGAATACGACTTCAGCCACGCATACACGTCAAAACTTTTTTAATGGGCGGGTCCATTCATTCATTCATAGATCGTAATTTTAACCTGAACCAGAAATCGATCAACCTCCAAATGAATACCCTAAAGGTATGATTTTTTTATGGGAAGTTGGAGGACTTTGTGACCAGTCAGCATTATTTACTACATGTCTTCGGCTAGTGGGATCGAACTCACGAACTCTTGAACATGGGCGCAACGCTCTACCAGGCTATCCCTAGTAGACTACCTGACTAAAATTTTCAATCGAAATTTTCTGTGCCGGAAAGTATTGCAGGACTAGCAAAAGCGCACCGAAAGGGCATCATCAAAAAATGTTATTAATAAATTGCTATAGAATGAGAAGCTATGAGAACTTTTAAATCAAAGTGGCTGCTAAGGTTGGTTTAGTTTAAATGTCAACATATAACATCTTTCTAAATTGCAGCATTTTTTACCTGATTTTATGGTTGAAATTTGGAGGGGGGCTTACGTGTGAAACTCAATTGGAATTTATTTCTTTTTATTTTAAACTATATAATTTGAAAAAAAAAATTATCCTAGATGCTAATTTTTTTTTCATAAAAGATTTAGTATCATTATTTTATTACTGTTTGTCTTTATCGGTGCATTTCTTACTTTTATCTTCAATCATTTTAATGCCTTTAAAAAAAAAAAGATCTTAAGCTCTGATTTTTTTTTACGTGCGTTACTTCATTTTGCTACCCAAACGCTAAAATTTAGAGATTCGAAATTACGAAGATGTAATAAAAAATGCGCACGGAGTACGAGGAAAAAAAACTAACATTTGATAATTTGTTCAAAATTTTTTAATTGTCAAACTTGGAGTAAAAAAATACGTAACTCTGCAACTACAAAATTGTAAACTGGTGTGCTAAAAGATGATTTTAACTATGAATTTAACGTAACTTTTTTTTCGAACTTTAATTTGTTCGAAACTTATTGCATTTTTAATTGCTTATTTTTGTGAAATTTTTGAATAGATGTTTTATTAACGCCGAAAATAACTGCGTTTTATTAAATTTCAGACTGATGCTTTTAATACATTTAAAGTGCTTATGTTACAATAAAGAAATGTCGTATTTCCAAAGTACTGAAATCTACAATGATATCTAAATAATTTAAAAATGAGTGAAAGCAGGTTGTGACCCACCATGTGTGTACTTTTTTTCCATTTTTGATAAGGAATCTGGAAAATATATATGAAGGGTGGTCTTTACGAAACACCTTGTATCTGCAGTAAAGTTATTATTTGAAACAAAGTTTGAATTAATTTTTTTAAAGTTTCTGTGGCGAAAAAATAGACAATTTATCAATTTTTTTTAAAAATTAAATTTATTTTATCCATTGCCAAACGAATAACTTTCATTCTTTGGTCACGTCAAACAAATTTCTTACACTTTCTATTAAAATAAAAGTAACTCAATGAGTTATTTTCAATCTGAAGTACGTGGGAAAATATAATGATAAGCCACATTTTCAAATTGCTCAGGAGGGTGATTTTCAAGAAAATTTCTAGTATGATAGAAGCACTATTTTCTGGTAAGATGTCTCTCTGTATAATCCTGTTATCTGGAGTAAATTTCAGAAAATACAGAAGTACTTATCTCAATGTTTTCTAAAAAATATTTTGATGCAAAAATATTTTATGACTGGTTTTTAAGCATGGTATTAAATATGGTTTTTCCCTTTATTGTCCCAAGTTTTTCGTTTGTCCAGGCAACTTCATCGATTTATTCTGGTAACTTTATTCAGTCTACTCTTCTCTTCTTCTGTTGATGCTCGGAGTTAGAAGTCGATGCTGTAAGAAAATAAAAGCTATCACTGTTAGAAATACCTTCGAAAAAATAAACAATAAAAAGAACTTATAAAAGTAGTTTTTGCTTCAGTTTTAATTGCAGAATTACTTCTTTACATAAGTAAGAACAACGATTATTTTAGAAGAAATTGTTTTCGAAGGAATGGAAAACTGAAAAGAGCTTTTTCTATTTGTAAGTAGTTTTTAATAGTGAAATACCCATTTTGAACTCAATCGGTTGAACAATTTCGTTAGTGTTCTTTTGTTAGCATTCGCTGCTAAAAGTTGGTGCTTTAAGAAAACAAGAGCTTTCATTTCTAGAGAATCGATCTAAAAAAATAAATAACTAAACAATAAAAAAGAATGTAAGAAAATGGTTTTTGCTTCAGTTTTCAAAAAGATATTGTATTTTAAGAATTACTTCTTAAATAAGTAAGTACAGTAAATATTTTAGCAGAATTTGTTTGGAATAAATAGAAAACTGAAAAGAGTTTTTTCTATTTGTAAGTAATTTTAAATAGCAAAAATTTTTTTAAGCGCAATTGGTTGAAAAATTTCGCTGGTGTTCTTTTATTAGTATTCGTTGTTAGAAGGTTGTGCTGTAAGAAAACAAGAGATTTCATTTCTAGAGAATCGTTCTAAAAAATTAAATAAATAAACAATAAAAAAATAATGCAGGAAAATGGTTTTTGTTTCAGTTTTCAAAAAGATATTTCACTTGAAGAATTACTTCTTAAATAAGTAAGTACGATAAATATTTTAGCAAAAATTGTTTGGAATAAATAGAAAATTGAATAGAGCTTTTTTTTATTTATCTGAAACTAATTTTAAATAGCAAAATACCAATTTTGAGCGCAATCGGTTGAACAATTTTGTTCGTGTTCTTTTGTTAACATTCGCTGTTAGAAGTTGGTGCAGTAAGAAAGCAAGTGCTTAAATTACTAGAGAATCATTCTTAAGATAAATAAACAATAAAAAAGAACTTAAGAAACTTGTTTTTGTTTCCATTTTCAGTGAAAGATTATACGCAGAAGTACTTCTTAAATAAGTAAATACAATAAATATTTTAGTAAAATTTGTTTGGATTGAACGGAAAACTGAAAAGAGCTTTTTCCATCTGTAAGTATATTTAAAATAGCAAAATACTAAATTTAAGTGCAATCGGTTGAACAATTTTTCAGTTATCAAATTTTAAAAAAGTCGAATATTTAAAATTTAATTTTCTAGAGATCTATTCGACCGATTTCGTTTATATTGCATAATTTGATATATTAAAATATCTTCTGTGATATAATGTAAAAAATTGTATTGCAATTCAAAGTTTTCAGACCATAGTAAAATTTTAAAAAATAGTGAATAATTAAAACTTTTTTTAATAAAATTATCTTTAGATAAATTAATTTTATAATTGCGTGCAAAATGAGCAAAAAAGTAAAATTAACACTGAGGGTTCTAATTTTTGTCCACTGTTCTGCCCATACTATTGGGACCATATTTTCCAAATTTCGACCGATTCCCGTATTTTGAAACTGCGTTTTGTGTCCGATTTCTTAAATTAAACTATTGTCTGCCCTAATACATTAACATATTTAAGGGGAGGCCCTTGAAGCATTAGTAATGATTCTTAAAATTCCGATTAAATTCAGGGTGTTTTTCAGGATGCTCCGTTTTATATCTTGCTCATTACACTTAGTCTAGATAAGCTACTGATTAACTAGAGGGATCCTTCAAAGTGTGGAATCAAGAGTTTTCTGCAATTCTCCTAAGTAATAAGCATATAAATGGTCTATGTATCGTTAAAAATAGATTTTTTTAATCATTCTACGAATTGATTTGTTCATTGCTTCATTGTATTGGGTTGGTACTTTAGATATTATTTATTTCCTTAATTGTAATAATATTTTAAACTGTATAATTCTTCGGATTGACCTCTTAGCTGGGGGTGAGTTACCAGACCTGGTTGATGGTATATCTTATAGGACTACCAGTAGTCAAGGAGAGGAGACTGGTTTGCCTACTCTTGGTGAGATTGAACAGGCAATTAAGAAGTTGAACAACAATAGATCTGCTGGACCAGATGGAATAAAAGCTGAACTTTTGAAAATTAAGGAACCAGCATGATCAGGGCAATCCAAGATATTATATGCAGAATATGGGAATTGGAACAGATGCCCATTGAATGGGATCTGCCCTATCTTCAAAATGGGAGACAAGACGGATTGTAAAAATTATAGGGGGATCACCTTATTGAATACAGCATACAAGATTTTCTCCAATATAAAAGACTTTTGTCACCACGAGTGGTAAATACGTGGAGAAGGTGGTTGGAAGTTACCAGTGTGGCTTTCAAAGAGAAAAATCTACAATTGATCAAATACAAGTTTTGAGACAAATTATTGAGAAGACAAAAGAATTTAATATTGAGACTTACCATCTTTTTTATTGACTTTAAGGCAGCATATCACAGTATCAAAAGAAATAGGTTGTATGAAGCAATGGAGGAATTTGGTTATTCCCCTGAAGCATATTAACTTCAGAAGAGTCAAGTGCAGAGTTAAGTTGCAAAACGAATTCTCCGAGCCCTTCTACACTGATAGAGGCCTGAGGCAGGAAGATGCACTTGCCTGCCTTCTGTTTAATATCACACTTGAAAAAGTAATCAGTGCGTCTGGAATCAATGTAAAAAGCACTATTTTTCAAAGATCTACACAAATTTTTGCTTATGCAGATGATCTTGATATTATAGCAGCTAGTGAAAGGGGACTAACCATTAATACTGACAAAACTAAATATATGGAGATAAACAGAGGGCTCACGAAGGCAATGTGTATGATTATGAATGATGGCCCTTACATGTGTATGATTATGAATTTGAAGCTGTTGAGGAATTTAAATATCTTGGGAATACTGTAACCTGCAAAAATGATATAAATACTGAATCGATAGCCGTTTAGCAATGGCAAACAAGTGCTACTTTGGTTTGAAAGCCAACTAGAAAGTAAATTACTTAAACAAGAGACAAAAATTAACATATACAAAACACTCCTACGGCCTGTCATCTTATACGGTAGTGAGTGTTAGACTCTTAATAAAAAAGAGGAGAACAAATTTCTGATTTTTGAGAGAGGGATACTTAGAAGAATTTTTGGGTGCAGTCTGTGAGAATAACCTCTTACAATCATGAGTTATATAAAAAATATAAACAACCAGACATAGTTCATGTTATTAAAGCCAATCGCACTTGATGGCTGGGACACCCTTATAGATCTGAAGACCAAAACTCCGCAAAAAAGTAACTTTTTTTAAATCGGAAGGTACAAGAAAAAGGGGTCGTCCACCGACTAGATGGCTGGACACAGTTGAGAGGGGCCTAAAGATAATAGGAATAACTAACTGGAAGGCCATGGCACAGAATAGATCAAGTTGGCAAAAACTTATTGCGACGGCCTTGGCCTGTCATAGGTTGTAGTGCCCAAGAAGAAGAATTCTTCGGATTATTTGATTGTTGATTGTTTGATGGTAGTAGCTTGAGTTTTAAATAGCGGGAAATAACTTATTCCTACTTGACGAATGCCTAATGGGTAGTGCTACTCTATAATAAACAACTTAATAAACAATAATGAATATTTACTGAAAATTATTTTTGCTTCGTTTTATCACGAGAATTTTTTTACGATTGTATTATATTATGTATTACAATTGTAATAGTCTGCAAATTTGCAATATTTTTTAAAATTCTTTTAAAGAACTAAAGAGGCTTGGGAGATAATGCAAAAAACATTAAGGTGATCTGTTATCTTAACTGACTATATTTTTTGTAAATAGCATAGGTGTCTCGAGATTACGCGATTTTCCCACTTACATGTAGGCGTAGGAGAAAAACAAAGATTTACGAACAGCACGCTAACCGAGAGAGGGAAAGCATAGAGAATGGGGAAATCACGTTATTTTGAGATGCCTATTCTATTTACAAAAATTATAATGTGAAGCGAAATATATCCAAAAAAGGGATGTTAATGCATAGACATTACGGTCATTTTTATATTAAAAAAGAGGACTCACCGCATTCTGTGGTTTGCGAAGTAGATAACCTGGTAGATATTTTGGACAAAACAACAGAAGCTAACTGCATATTGTCCTTAATCCATTCAAGCCATTGTGGTTTGGACAAAAATTTGTCGGAATTAGCAACTAAAAAATCCACTACTAGATCTTTAAGCTCATTACAATGAGAAACACCAGCTAGACTTAATATTTCACAAGCATTCTTTTCCGATATAGCTGATTTTAAGAGGGCCAAACTCTTTTCCTTTAGGTATGATAAGTGTTTAGAGTATTTTTCGGCATTTAGTATCACAAGCTTTGCACGTTCATAATCCATTTTTGCTATACGATCAGTATTCAGACAATCCGAAAACAAATTCACCGTACTTATCTCTCCAGAAAAATCTTCGGCTATTCTCACTGATTGGTCTTCAGGTCCGTTTTGGTCGAAAATAGATGGCGATTGAGTATCTAAGACAGTCCTGTTAGCTTCAAGAACCTCTCCTGTTTCAAAACTGACACCGCAGTTGTTTCTGTTCGAAAATATGTTCCGCAAGTCTTCTTCTTGGATGTCTAAAGTGTGCAATTTTTTCCCATCCGAAAATGCGAACTCACATAGTAACGTGAATTCTTTTTCTTTCCCAGAAGTTAGGAGGTTTCGTAGTGGAAGGGAAAAGGCATTTAAAATAAATTCCCAAAAAGGCTTAGAAGAATCGAAGCGACCTCGTTTCCTTTCTGAGCAAATTTTGCAACTTCCGTTCAGCAGAGTGATATTGCAATCGATGATAAACCCATGATATTTGTTCACTTTTGGTCTTACAAAATGAATTCTCATCTTTAAATTCTCATTCTTGAGGAAAGATATTCCAGATATGCCAAAAGATCCGTCTTTCACTGGAATTTTTTGCTCAGTATCAATCAACTGACTAGAGTTAAATTTGTAACCCCATGTCAATTTATCAACCAATACACTAGTTTTAGCTACATAATTATCTCGTATTTCTACTATTCTGGCAATTCTCTCGTATTTTCTCTTATTATAGCATGAATACATATTGCAACAAACAGTAATAGTATCCGAATGAAGAGTATCGTTCTCTATTTTCTCCTTCGAAATAAAACGATATGATCCACATTGAAGCGAAAGTCCTCCTTCAGAGTTAACTCGAAGATCATCATGAAACTCAACTCCTATCACACCCCTTGCACCAATAACTACCAACTTTACATTAAACATATCCATTTCATCTTCTGAATTTTCTGAATCCGAAGATGATGATGATGACGATCTATCCTTATTCGAAGAGGGTGCGTCATCATCTTTCGAAAAAGAAGTTTCACCCATACAATTTGTTGCTAGATGAACCCCCATATAGTTTGATTCCTGTGATAGACGGAGACACCATTCTGTGTTGGGTATGCTTCTAACTACGAAAATCGGGCTACTCAAAAATGAGCTCGTCTCATCAAAACAAAAGGTATAATTCCGAATAATCCAATTGTATGAGCAGATTAAGGAGGTACTACCATGAGAAAAACAATAACCTCCGATAGAGGGTAACCGAGGAGCTTTACCGCCGATACTTTTACGAGCGGTTGTTTTAGTACGTCTCATAGCTATAAGCAATTAGATCTGTTAATAACTAAATATCGGATGGAAATGAAATCCATCTGGTCTTTTCAGTTAAGTATGTAAAGAAAAACCGTTTCGTTTCTGAAGTACTTTACTCTGGTATTATCTAATCTCTAGCGTTTCCTGCGAATTACACGCACTATTCGATTATCACAAAAGTTCTTTTTCATCTTTTCTTTCAAAATAAATAAAAAGAAGAAGTCGGAATGTCGTTCAAAGTTATCATGGTACCACAGTAGATATCAGAAATTTTCGATTTACTTTCTACGGTTTTCGATTTACTTTCTACGATTTTTGATTTGCGTTCTACGATTTTTGATTTACTTTCTACGATTTTTGATTTACGTTCTACGATTTTTGATTTACGTTCTACGATATTTGATTTCAGTTCTACGACTTTTGATTTACTTTCGACGATTTTTGATTTACGTTCTACGATTTTTGATTTACTTTCTACGATTTTTGAAAAACCTCTTTGTTCAATGTTATCTCCTTTTTTGTAATATCAATAAAATAAAAACCACTACTTAATCGCTTCGGAGCTGAATTGGACAGATAAAAAGATTGGTTGAATACATTGCACTCTAAGTATCTTAAGCATGAAAAATTATAGCATTCTTTTAATTACCAATCTTCTTAAAAATGTTCTACTAGTAGGACACCAGGCTATAATTAAGGAAATTACGAACTTTTTTCAGTTAAAATTACTGAATTTTCAGTTAAGAGTAATGAATTAGGCAAAGAGTGTTTTATTAAATAATTTTTAAGGTGTAAGGAACTATGCATAATAAGAAGTTGCGTCCTAACACCAGGACGCCGGGGCCAAAGAGGTTAGGTCATGTACCAGGGTAAAGAAAGGCTACGATAATCATTACTATTATTATTATTTTTTTTAAAAATAAGCTTTTCTGGATTGGAACTATAAATTTTTTTTTACAAAATTTCATTTCAATTGAAAACGGGTGTGTAACAAAAGAGAGAGATACGGAGGTCATAAATCTTTGAAGAGTTAAAAGAAAAGAATTCTCAGAAATTTCAGCAATTAATTTTTTAAAAATATTTGTTTTAAGTTCATTCTTTTATTAGATGTCCGTATCTTTCAAGATATTAGAAATTGTTCTTAATAAAGTGATAAAGAAGTCAAAAATTATCTCCCAAGTTTGAATGTTACTCCAAATAAAAGAAAAACTGCAAATTCTTATATTAAGTATAAGTATGTAAACTTTATTGATTCGTTTAAAATTTTATATTAATGTAACGTTTATCAAGTAAAAAATTGACAAATAGAAATGAATTTGTATCATGTCTTTGTATTTTCCTACAACGAGCAATCTTTAAAACGGTTGAATTAAGTAGAAAATGGAAGATATTTTTTTTAAAAATAAGTCTGCCACTCCTAAAGTAAAAATGCTAGTGCATTATTCTTACAGAAGATATGAAGAGATTTCAGTTAGAAATGAAGATTTTTATGAAAATGGTACAGTCTTATGCTTTTTCTTTTAAGACGTGACAGAGATCGAATTATTATTTCTTTTTTTGTCCTCTTGAAAAACATGTTTTTAATTTTTTTAAATTTTATTCTTTCTATATTTATACCTTTTAGTTTGCTTACGTTTAAAAGTGATCGGAATTTCAATTGGTGATAAAAGATGGAAAGACTGTGTGACTGAAGATTTTGCCATACTAAAAGTAAAGAACTGGAAATCAATTGCTGGGAGAAGGGCAGAATGGGAAAAGCTTCTGAGGAAGGCCCAGGCTCACAAAGGGCTGTCGTGCCAATGCTGCTGCTGATGATGATGATAAAAGGAAGACACGTTTTTCTTTCAGTATTTTAGAAACAATTCTTAATTGTATTGACATCAAGCATGGACACCCAATTGAAATTCAGCTTTCTAGCAAGACATGAAGTGGTTGAAATGCTAATTGACAAAAAACTATCTTTTATTTTTGACGATAATAATAATACAAGAACTGTTTTTAACGGTCAAAAACGATTAAAACTTCTATTTTCATCCAATACAAAAATCTAGTTGAAATGTGAGCATTGTAGCTATCAAAAAAGCTTTCAAAAATTTTGATTGACCGATAAGTTCCTTTTCGGGAAAATTTTCAAATAAATACGGCTTGTCAAGTTCAGAAAACAATTGCGACTTGCATTGTTATCAAACACTAGAGCTTCTAGTTGATATTTAATTACTCTAGTTAGTAAAAAATATTTTGTAGCAGCTATAAATATAGCGGGAGAATTTTTACGCCATGCATTCGAAATTTGTGAGTATCATACTCCACGTCACGCTGTTGCGTTTTTTTTTTTTATATCCTGTACTTGTTAGGAGGTAAGGATGGAGTCTCCTTCGCCATTGTTTGTGTTTAGTCTCTTTTTCGAGAGGTGAACTGTTTTTCATCATTTAAAAATAAATTGCACTGACGGCCTTATTGCTAATATGGAAGCATTCGAGATTTGTGATCCCCCCTGCACTCCGCTCCCGTGTTGAGCGATTTATATATTTTTCTCCCCGTTCTCCTTTTTTGAGAGACGGAGCTTTCACCTTTTTGATGGTGCTGTCTTTACTCGCTATTACATACCAAAATGAAGCAGCAAAATTGACTCCCTATATGGTTCTTTGGATACAACCAAGTCTCCGGAACGCCTTTAAGAATCTGCAAAATTTCCTTCTAAGATGCTTGTATGCTTGTTCCCCACCACTAATGCCTCTATTCCTTGCCAATCATGCACCAGCTGTGTAATGATGATGTAGTTTTTGATGGTGCTCCTCGATGCTTTTCAAATAAATAAACAAGGATTTTATAGCGCTTTTCCAAGAATTTGATGTCATTGACTTAAACTCCTACTTTAGGTACATGTTCAGCTTCATTTTGATAAACTGCTATTTAGATCCTGGTTGGTCAAGAAAGGGTATGTAAAAAAAAATCAGTCTTTGTTATTGTTTTTTAAAAATTGTACCTCACCAGTTGTATTCTAAGGGATATTGCGGCATATCGTTTTTTTTGGTACTAACCATTTTTTTTAAAAATTTTATTTCCTATCAATTTTTTTGTACCCGGCTCCAATATAACATATTTATTGCAAGATTTCGTCGTCACAAACACGAAAGAGTGTTAATAAAATTATTGTAAAATAAGTAAATACATATAAGTAATAATTATAATAAAGCAAAGGTGAGTTTGTAGTTGAATAAGATTCGAATTCTTTTTTTTTGCAAAATTTCGTATTGCAAGATTCCGGCTTCACAAACACGAAAGTGTGTTAATAAAATTATTGTAAAATAAATAAATACATATTAGTAGTAATTATAATAAAGCAAAGGTGAGTTAGTAGTTGAATAAGATTCGAGTTATTTTTGCAAAAAACAAAAACGAAAAAAACAAAGATAACTAAAAGAGGGGATCGTGTTTGGAAATCTCATCACCCAGGTGACGACGGAGATAAGATAATATACTTTAGTTTTGAGGATTATTCAAATATTGATTTTAAAAATATTTCCCTTTGGTTTTTTGAAAGATTAGAGAGAGTTTAGTTAGAGAAATCTCTAAATGTTTAGCTATGGCACGTTTAATTAGTGGAAATACTGGTTCCAAATCTCTTCAACCTTCTCATAATGTGTTCCGATTTAAATGGATTATTCAAAACTATTCCTTTTGCTTCAGGAACACTAACTCAGCTTTGATCAGTCCCAGTTTTAAAGTTTCTGGGATAAATGGTATGAAATGGAACCTTAATTTGTATCCAAAGCAGGAAGATGAAAGTGCAAAATTTGTGGGACTTTATTTACAAGAAGACAGGAAGGACGAAACAATAAAAGATAGGACGGAGTTTTCGGAATGGAAAAGAGAGTTTAAATTTGACGTGAAACTAGATCTTATTGCTACAAGTGGTATCTTAATAAAAACACGTATATATCATGATCTAGAATTTAAAAACCAATGGGATTTTTTTGTATGGGGATCTTCTCATTTTGCCAAAATAGAAGACATAGAAAAAGATGCAAAGTCTAGTTCTGAAGATGTTTTAACCATTTGTTGTTACGTAAGTAGTAAAAATTTTGTTACCCCAATTTTGACCGGATATCTATGCCGCACTACGATATGCGTTGACCGATTAACTTCCAGATTCAATTTGCAATTCACTCTCGGCAGGTTGAATATCACGAGGCAAAAGTTAAACTTTCCAAAAATTGCAAATTTTGAAATGGTTATATATGAAACTATGTTCAGTGATGAAACTGATCTACGAATCGATATTTATTACGATAAATCGAAGTTGGAAGATTGCAAAGGATATATCGTTGATTGCAAGCTTACTATGCAAGATGGAACTTCTGTCATATGTTTTGAAAGAGCTAAGCATTGCTTCGATCATTTCCCGAGTACATGGTCATTTCCATCCGGAGTATTTTCTCGCGAATTACAAAACTTTAGAGGCAATTATGTCGAAGATAAAAAGTTCGTTTTGTTCTGTGAAGTCATGTGTTCGACTAACAAAGAGACGCACTTTACTACAACTGAATCGATTTCAAATGATATTAACAATTCTACAGCAAATGATACAAATAATCACCCAGCCTTAAAAGGAGACTTACGGAAGTCAATACGCAAATTATTAAACAAAAACTGCTATGATACAAAATTAATGGTTAATAACCAAGTTGATGAAGATCATGAAGCTTTATCGTTTACTCAATCATCAGCTTTTCAAGCAAAGTTTAAACAGGAAAAGCTTGAATCTAAAACAAAACTTAAAAAAATTGAGGCAAGCGATTTAAATTTAAAGAAAGACTACGAAAGTGTAGAAGACCACGAGTCTGAATTGTCTTCTCAATCACCAGCTTTTCAAGCTAAGTTTGAACGAAACACCCATGAAGTTATTGCTGGAATTGGCGATACTTTGAATTTGGACGAAAGCACAACGAACTTATTTTTGGAATATCTCTGTACTAATACTGTAAAAAAAATTGAATGCGAGCAAGCTATAGCTCTTGCTACAGCTGCTGACAAGTGCTGTAAACTATCATTATCTCTTAAACAAAAGTGTCTAGTTTCTTTAAAGTCTGAAATATGTGAGGAAAATGTCTGCGAGCTATTAAGTCTAGCTCAAGCAGTTGATGATATTGAACTAAAATCAACCGCAATGAATTTTATACTTGCTAATTCGGATAAAATTTTATCTTCGCCGCAATGGCTATTGTGGTTAAAAAACAATATGGAATTAGCGTCCTATGTTATGTTAGAAATATCTGCAAACTTGCGTAATTCGCAAATCGCAGGACGAGGTGAGTAATTTTTGAAAAATACTATTATATATTCCGTTAAAAATTATAAAAACTTTTGAACTGAATCTTTTTAACTATTTCTTTTTAAATTAATTATAAGTTAGTTATGAAATTTATAAGAATTACGAATGAATTAGTTTGTGAAATATCATATAGTACCATAAAATATAGTTAATTTTCATATTTTCAATACATATATCGCGCCTTTAAACGCATATTGTAGTAGTTTTTGAAGTGCATAATTTTTCTACTATTTTTCAGTATTTAATTAGAAGGAAGTAATAAAGTTTATAAGAATTACAGATGAACTATTTGGCAAAAGTATTATAAGCATCTCAAAACAAGGATGCTTCCGAGGATGATGGAAACACCCCTCCCCCTAAATATGAAAAATCTGCAACCGATTTCCGCAAAAAATTAAAATGCATAAAAAGTTTTCATCTAAAGCATGTAACTAGTACAAAAATATGATTTTGGACAAACTTTTCGAAATTCAATTAATTATGAATTTAAAGTCCCTGTATTTTTAGCTTTCTAAAAATACTTCACTTTATTTTGTACTCTAATTATTTACAAAGTTATAGCGGTTTTTGTGTAAGGTAATAACAGTGGATAGACTAATGATTTTAAGTCTTTAAATGCATTAATCTCAAAATAAGATTTTTTCACATCTTACACCACTTAAACATGATATCTCACGTTGTTTTTTTAAAATAATTGTCTACAATTTTTTATGAATATTTATGATAATAGAAGACATGTTTTAAACTATAGACTAAGAGAAAAAAGTAGAATTTCATTTTTATGCATGTTTTTTGGTTAGACAAGCGCGGAAATTTGAATGTTTTTTTAAAACTACATTGATCTTTAAATTAGTAGTATATGCACTTTCTTAAGATAAAAGTTCAAAACATATAGTTGATAGCTTTCAAAATAAAATCCTCTATGGAATTTTTGTTTCACTTATATACATAAAACTGTTTTATTTTCTCCTAAAAATGATCTAATTCACCTAAAATATAAAAAATAAAATAATAATAATATTTTTTTGCTAGTTTTATAAGTTTTTACATATAATAAAACAAATAGACTCCTTTTTCGAAATTTTATATTAATATTTAAAAAAAAAACTGTACAAACTAGTCGGATACCTAAAACAGCAGCAATATTTTTGTTATATCTCATCTATCTGAATTAGATTTATTGCTAGAAATATATTTTAAAATATTATTTTCAGAAGATAAAATTACCTTTGGGTATAAAAGTGGGGAAAAAATACTGAAAAAATTGCTATGTTAAACTAACTCACAAAGTGCTTTTTCTTTTAAAAATTAAATCAGTGTTACGACAATTTGAATTCGAGCCCGTTGTGCCTATATTTAATGTAACTAAACATTTTTTCACATGTAACTAGGTAATTTTTAAAAACTAATTTAAATACAAGAAATAATTTGAGTTAGGTTGAAAAAAATTTGTGAACATTTATATTCTTTAAATTATATTTTTTAAATTATATATCTTTTATGATCGCATATTTTCAAATGAGGGCAAAGTCGAGGGGGGGGGAGTATGTTTTATGACTATCGCAACGGTTTTAAACTAGCAAGACTTGTCTTTACTGTATGATAACTCTCGGATAGAACCGATTTACCCACGTTATTGATATCTCAGAACTTAATTAGCCTTGCAAAGAAACATAGGGGGATTCAATTGTCGTTTTTGAGAAAAATAGAACCCGCGATCTTCAACATAGATTATGCTTCAACTTACAAATTTTGTTTTCTTGTGTTTTTTTCCCCATTCACCTGTTATAACACCTACTGTTATACTACCACTGTTATAATACCACGATTCTCAAATATGACGGATTTTATAAGCTTTATTTTAAGTTTAACTTTTCTATAAGTCTAACTTTTTAACAAGTTTAACTTTTTTTTATAAATTTAACCTTGCTTTGAGTTCTGCTGAGTATTTGGTAACAGTTATGTTAGCAGTTGATAAAATCCGAAGAAAAAAAATGTAGGGAAACGAAAATTGGTTGATAAAGTAAAATGAATAAATAAAACTTTCTAAAATCAACAGGTCTCTCTTACTATTGCGTCTAACTTCCTTCATTATATATGGGAAAATATTTTTCTACGGTCCCTGTACGGCACTCTTAAAATTTTTACTTTAAAATTAAGCTAAAATAACCGGTAGCAGTCTGTTAATCCGAATTACCGTAAAGGGTATGGTAAATAAAATTTTTATATTTTTATGGTTTGGCAACCGTTTACAAATAGAATGATTGTAAAACAACAAATACAAAACCTATAAATTTTTTTAAACATTTACAACTAGCATGGTTTCAAAACCTTAAAAGCGAAACTTAACTGGACATAGGATCATGGCGTTTCGTTAAGTAATGGGTATTAAAGAGTGCAGGACACAAATTGGGAAGTGCACTGGAAGCTCTTCAAGTGTTGAAGGGATAGGAAGAATTATTGTGTTGTCAAAGCTAGGACTCGAACCCCAGTTTTGTCGAACTTGAGACTATCAGATTAGCCCTCTCTACTCTAATATGTACTCAGTAACGAGAAACTAAGTGGCTGCATTAGGTGAGCTTAGTTGGTTTGATAAAATTGTGTTAGTTTAGCCCAATTAGGTGAAAGCAGTTAATAAACGGTTTTCTCACAGTTAACAGTTTGATTATCACCTTATTTATAGTTTAGTTGACTGTTTTGTTTGAATATGGTAACTTAATTCAATTTAATTCCGCTCCGCCAAAATAGCTTTAACCCATCCGGCGGGGAATACTGAAGTTTCGAAATGCATGTCTGTGTCCTATCAGTAGCAGAAAACGAATAGATTGTGATATAGTTACAAAGGAGGTCTTCAAATGAAACAACCCCAAGAGTGACTCTGAGTTGCACGGGTGTTAAGGTACAGATGCAAGCTGTGCTGTTTACAGAGCTCCAAGTTACAACTGAAGAATGTTCCGCATTATAAACTTACAGATGTTACATGCTTTATTGACCAGGGCAAAAAATTTGGAATATAATGTATGAACATGAATTGTAAATGATGGTGTCCAGATGTGCATCATTAACAAAGCGGTAAACAGTAAAGTTCCCAAAGTAGCAAGAAAACAATTGTAAAGGTGACTGTCTTTAACATAGCAAAAACACTGTAAGTGGGAAAGTTGTCAACGTAAATGTACAGATATAAAAATGTGCTGTTTAGAGAGCTCCAAGTTAAAGCTAAAGAAAGTCCCGTAATATAAATTTACAGACGTAAAATTATATTGTGAAAGTCAGTATACTGGAATCAAAATGTTCGTTCTTGGGAAAAAAATATTTGTCACTGATTCATGTTTTCTAGAAGTAAAGATTAATCGATTCACGTTAAAGAAATTTGTTACTAGTTAAAGACATAGTGCATGGGAATTGCAAACAGTTTCACTGAGTTTCGAAATATGTATCAGAATCAGCCGGAAGGCAGGTCACACTCCAATAAACTGAAATCGGGCAGGTTGTACTTTAAAATGAAAGATGCATAAATATTTGTGGTTAAGTTATAGAAGTATTCATATCATTTCTCGAAAACAAATCTAGTCTTCAAAATCCGATATTTTGAAACGAGTGTATCATTGTTTTGATTTGTTTTTGTAAATTTTTTGCAAAAGATTCTAGAAAGAGATAGATGTTACAATACAAAAAAGGTAATTTATATTGAAATAATGTATATATACAAATGAAACAGTAGATGAAACTGAAAAATTAATGTTCCATATTAAATGAGTTTGATTTACCAATGAATCCTTTTTCTTTTCCCTTGAACATTTCTTCACTAATAATTTTGTAAGCTCTCTGAAATTCTACTTGTTCTCCAATGCTGTATTAAGTTGTTAAATTTGTTAAGTTGTTGAATATGGTAAAGAAACAATTAAATAAATTGTTATTTAACCATTTTTTCGAAACAATTCTAACAGTGTGTTTAGATTCTTTACATCAACAGTTTTGACATTACTTTCCAATTCTTCGTAAACTGGTACCAAAGAATTTAAAGAATTTACCTTCAATAAAATCTTATAAAAGAGACTTGCTAACATCTGGAATCACAAAAAATAATGATATGTCGCGTAAAAACTTTGATTTATTTTAAAACACCAAAATTTTTTTTTAAAAATGCAATAAAGAGGTAATGAAAAAGATAAAATAATAACACCTCAAGAAAATATCCCTCCCCCCAAAAAATTTAAAACTAATCTAACTTCAAGAAAGTTCAGGAAATGCCCTGATTATAAATGTGCTTCGTTTACCAAGTAAATTTTGAGTTGAAGATAACAAAAATTTCCTAATACAGTGCTCCAAAAAAAAAAAAAAAAATTGACCACCCTGAATAATTTTTGATTTCATGATCGCATCTTCACATTCTTGGACTCATTCTTAATAGTTCGAGGAGGTCACCTTAAACGCTAATTGATTAGGGCAGAGGGTATTTTAAGTTACGAAATCATACAAAAAATCGTACTTTCTCTAAATAAATAATTTTTTTTCTCAACGGATTAGGATTTCTGACCCCCAAAATATAGGGGTAGCATCAATCTGGGAAATATGGTTCCTATAGTTTGGTCAGGAGAGCAATCCAAAGCTCGGACATGGTCATTGGTAAACGGTAATGGGTAACATAGGTCATGAGCGGTGCCTCTTAGTCTAATTAAATACGAATGAATTATTTTTTCATTAATTAAATTCAGGATTATAGTATAATTAATAATTTATATCGTTATGCTCTTAATTACTTTGCTGAAGGCAGTAAAAAATATCCGTGATTCAAGTAATTTTAATATTTTTGAGGTATATTTTGAATATTTTAACGCATACTGTTACAAATTTTGAAACACTTTTTTTGCGTTTTTTTGTTTTCAATTAGAAGTCGGTATATTTAAAATTATCAATTTTGTAATGGCTCAAAAATAGAACCTCGAAAAAGATGATCATTTTAATAACTTTCGTATTTTCAATACTTTTATTTATTATAACAGCTTTTCGATAGCATCATCATTGCTTCTTTTTCGAATCCAATTAAAAGTCAGTATATAGCATGATGGTTACATCAGTATGTAATAGTGCTTGAGGAAATGTCGCAAAATATCGGTCGCTGTACTTTAAATTTTTCGCTGCATTTATTGCATATTTTAATGCATATCATTTTAACTCTTGAAATGACGTTTTAGTATTGTTTTGAGTTTAATTAAAAGTTAGAAATCACGTTTATAAGAATACCAACTGTGTTTTATTCATTATATAGGTAAGAATCATTGTATTTATAATACATTATAGTATTGATATTAATTATATTTGTGGAGGTATTATTAAAAAATATCGCTCCATTGGTAATTTTTATATTTCCAATGCGTATATTGCATGCATTAATGCATCATATTTTGATATTAATTTTGCTATAATATTTGCACTTGGATTGCGATATCTTGATATCAGTTTGTATTTAAAAATAAAACGGCAATCTAGCTTAGAAGAATTGTTTATTCAACATTGAACAAATACAAACATTATACAAATGAACTATTTTCTTATTAATTATATTTGTAGTAATTATTGTATTAAATAGTATAATAATACAATTTTGTTGTAAATTATATTGCTAATTAATATCAACTTCTTGCTAAGTAGCAGAATTGCTAGGCAGCTTTTATGTTTTCAATGCATGTATTGTACATATGCATGTATAGTATAATACATATTATAAGTATGATTTAATTACTTTATTGCACCAATTTTTATTTAATTAAAAATCTGTAATTTAGTTCATAAGAATTGATTGTGCAGTATTCTTTAATTAATTATAGAAATGAACCATTTTTCTTCTGATTAAATTGTTAATAATTATTGATTATTAGTAATATTTTTCCAAATTTGTTGCTAATTATATTATTAGAGGAAGTATTACAAAGAATCGTTCATGTGAGCAGTTTTTATATTTTCAATACAATATATTGTATAGTATAATACATATTATAACTGCGCATCAATTACTTTCTTCTATCAATTTCTATTTATTTTGAAATCAGTAATATAGTTCATAAGAATTGATTATAGTATATTCATTAATTAATTAAAGAACTGAACTATTCTGCTTTTGATTACATTGTTATTAATTATTGATTACAAAGTATATTTTTGCAATTTTGTTGCGAATTATGTTACTAGAGATAGCATTACGAAAAATCGGTCATGTGAGTAGTTTTTATATTTTCAATTCCTACATTGTATATTATAATACACTAGTGGGCTGCTCGCTAACGCTCGCCAACCCCCGAAAATTGCTACGCAATCTTATATGGTTTGCTNAATGGTTATTTATGAAACTAATGTACTGATGAGTGATGAAACTGATCTACGAATCGATATTTATTACGATAAATCGAAGGTGGAAGATTGCAAAGGATATATCGTTGATTGCAAGCTTACTATGCAAGATGGAACTTCTGTCATATGTTTTGAAAGAGCTAAGCATTGCTTCGATCATTTCCCGAGTACATGGTCATTTCCATCCGGAGTATTTTCTTGCGAATTGCAAAACTTCAGAGATAATTACGTTGAAGATAAAAAGTTCGTTTTGTTCTGTGACGTCATGTGTTCCACTAACAAACAGACGCACTTTACTACAACTGAATCAATTTCAAATGATATTAATAATTCTATAGCAAATGATGCAAATAATCACCCTACCTTAAAAGGAGAGATACTGAAGTCGGAATGCAAAGTTGAAAACAAAAACTGCTATGATACAAAATTAGTGGTTAATAACCAAGTTGATGAAGATCATAAAGCTCTATCGTTTACTGAATCACCAGTTTCTGAAGTAAAGTTTAAACAAAGAATCCAGGAAGTTATTGCGGGAATAGGCAATTGGAACTCATTTTTGGAAAATCTATGTACTAATGAAATGAAATCTAATGAAAAAAAAATTGAATGCGAGCAAGTTATAGCTCTTTTTACAGCAGCTGACAAGTGCTGTGAACTATCATTATCTCTTAAGCAAAAGTGTCTTGCTTCTTTAAAGTCTGAAATATGTGAGGAAAATGTCTGCGAGCTACTAAGTCTAGTTCAAGAAGATATTGAACTAAAATCAACCGCAATGAATTTTATACTTGCTAATTCGGATAAAATTTTATCTTCGCCGCAATGGCTATTGTGGTTAAAAAACAATATGGAATTAGCTTCCGATGTTGTGTCAAAAATATCTGCAAACTTGCGTGCTTCGCAAATCGCAGGACAGGGTGAGTAATTTTTGAAAATTACTATTATATATTCCGTTAAAAATTATAACAGCTTTTGAACTGAATCTTTTAAACCATTTCTTTTTAAATTAATTATAAGTTGAAATTTATAAGATTTACGAATGAATTAGTTTGTGAAATACCATTTATCACCATAAAATATAGTTAATTTTCATATTTTTAATACATATATATATCGCGCCTTTAAATACATGCTGTAGTGGTTTTTGAAGTGCATCTTTTTTCTACTATTTTTTCGTATTTAATTAGAAGTCAATAATGAAGTTTATAAGAATTACCGAAGAACTATTTTGCAAAACTATTGTAAGCATCTCAAAAAAGGGTACTTTCGAGGATGATGGAAACATCCCCTCCCCCTAAATATGAAAAATCTGCAACCGATTTCCGCAAAAAATTAAAATACATAAAAAGTTTTCATCTAAAGCATGTAACTAGTACAAAAATATGATTTTGGACAAACTTTTCGAAATTCAATTAATTATGAATTTTAAGTCCCTGTATTTTTAGCTTTCTAAAAATACTTCACTTTATTTTGTACTCTAATTATTTACAAAGTTATACCTGTTTTTGTGTAAGGTAATAACAGTGGATAGACTAATGATTTTAAGTCTTTAAATGCATTAATCTCAAAATAAGATTTTTTCACATCTTACACCACTTAAACATGATATCTCACGTTGTTTTTTTAAAATAATTGTCTACAATTTTTTATGAATATTTATGATAATAGAAGACATGTTTTAAACTATAGACTAAGAGAAAAAAGTAGAATTTCATTTTTATGCATGTTTTTTGCTAAGATAAGCTCGGAAATTTGAATTTTTTTTAAAAACTACATTGATCTTTAAATTAGTAGTATATGCACTTGCTTAAGATAAAAGTTCAAAACATATAGTTGACAGCCTTTAAAATAAAATCCTCAATGCAATTTTTGTTTCGGGCTAAAGAATTTTTTTTTCACTTCTAGACATAAAAATGTTTTATTTTCTCCTAAAAATGATCTAATTCACCTAAAATATAAAAAAAAAAATAATGGTAATATATTTTTATCCAAGTTTTATAAGGTTTTACACATAATGAGACAGATAGACTCATTTTTCAAAATTTTATTTTAATATTTAACCAAAAAAAAAAATTGTCCAAATTAGTCGGATATCTAAAACAACAGCAATTCTTTTGCTATACCCATCTATCTGAATTATATTCATTGCTAGAAATATTTTTTTAAATATTATTTTCAGAAGTTAAGATTACCTTTGTGTAAAAAATTGGGTATAAAACACTGAAAAAAATTGCTATGTAAAACTAACTCGCAAAGTGTTGTTTCGTTTAAAAATTAAATCGCTTAAAATTTAAAAATTAAATCAATGAATTTTACGACGAATTGAATTTTAGTACGTTGTGCCCATATTTAATGTGACTAAAAATTTCATTACATGTAACTAGATAATTTTTAAAACCTAATTCAAATAAAAGAATTAATTTGAGTTAGGTTGAAAGGAATTTTCGAATTTTTATCCTTTTTAAATTAAATATTTTTTGTGATAGCATATTTTCAAATGGAGATAAAGGGGGGAGAACGTTTTACGACTGTGAAGGCTAATTCGGAGAAAAAATGGCGCCCGCAAATCGTAACGTTTTTTAATTAGCAAGACCTGTCTTCACTGTGCAATAACTCTCGGATAGAACCGATTTACCCACGTTATTGATTTCTCAGAACTTAGTTAGCCTCACAAGGCCGCAGATGGGGAATCAATTACCATTTTTGTAAAAAATGGCGCCCGCGATCTTCAACATAGATTATGTTTCAATTAGCAAAAATGATAAAATATTTCATCATAACATACAGTTATTTTTTTTAAAAAAATAATTGGATGAAATTGTTTTTTAGTGGTTTATCATATCGTATAATGATAAGTGCAATGTTGATGTTAGAAAATTTTTAAAGCCCATATAAGAGTATAAAATAAAAGTATTAAAAAGTATAAAATGTAAAAAGGTTCCTTTCTCAAATTTCAAACTAATCTTTGTATATTAATTAATTATAAAACAATATTTAGTTAATTTATCAACACTTAAATAATTGAAATACAATTTAGTTAATTCGTAAGATTTAATTAAATCATAATATTTAATTAATTCAGGTTCAATTCTGTCTTGCAATGTTCTTTTTCTGAGATTTTTTCTTATGCTTTAATTTCTGTTCTTTTTTCCGGGATTTTTTTCTTGTGCTTTTTTCCCCATTCACCTGTTATGATTCTTAAACATGACGTATTTTATAAGCTTTATTTTAAGTTTAACTTTTCTATAACTCAAACTTTTTTACAAGTTTAACTTTTTTATAAATTTAACCTTGCTTCTGAGTTCTGCTGAACAATTTGTAACAGTAATGTTAGCAGTTGATAAAATCAAAAAAAAAAAAGAAGAAAAAAAAAGAAAATGGAAACGAATTGGTTGATAAAGTAAAATGGATAGATAAAAATTTTTCAAAATCAACAGGTCTCTCTCACTATTACTTCTAACTTCCTTCATTATATATTGGAAAATATTTTTCTTCAGCCCCTATAAGGCACTGTTAAAATTTTTATTCTAAAATTATGGTAAAGTAACCAGCAGCAGTCTGTTAATCCGAATTACCGTAATATTAATGGTAAAGAACCTTTTTTTATGGTTTGGAAACCGTTTGACAAATAGAATGATTATAAAACAACGAATACAAAACTATGCAGTTTTTTTTTAACTATTTAAAACTAGCATTGTTTCAAAACGGCAAAAGTAAACTTTAACTGGTCATAGGATCTAGGCTTTTCATCAAGTAATGGGTATTGAAGAGTGCAGGACACAAATTGGAAAGTGCAATGGAAGCTCTTCAAGTGTTGAAGGGAATGGAAGAATATTGTGTTGTCAGCTTTAGGACTCGAACCCCAGTTCTGTCGGACATGAGACTAACATATTAGGCCTCTCGACTCTAATATGTAAGCAGTTGCGAGGAACTAAGTGGCTTAATTAGGTGAACTTATTTGGTTTGATAAAATTGTGTTGGTTTAACTGTATTGGTGAAAGCAGTTTATAAACTTCTTACTCACAGTTAACTATTTGATTACAGTTAATTGTTTGACTATTTAGGTAGGAATAATTGTATTATTTATTATACATTATAGTAGGGGAGAGTGGGGTCAATTGTAACATTTTTTACTTAACTATTTTTAACTAACAAAAAATCCAATATATTATTAGTATTAATTGACAGACGAGTAAAGTAGACTATCCTCTACTAGAAAAAAAATAAATACCTTATTTTAAATGTTACTATACTAGTTATTAGTAATTTTTGACAGTCGTGCACTTGTTACAATTGTCCCCACTTACGGGGTCAATTGTAACAGTTCATAAATTGAACTAAAACATAGTTAATTATACATATTATCTTAATTGTGATATATTTTTTTATTGATCAAAATAGTAGTGATATTTTAGGAGTAAAAATAATAATGAGCAGAGACCTAAAGGGTTAAACTTTTAACTTTAAGGGGTTAAAAATTTTAATTTATGCTGTGAAAGGTGACAAATAAAATAATGCACATGCAACATAATATAAATGATATAGGAAACTATTGGTGGTTCTTAAAGAGTTAAGTAATGGTTTGTAAACATAAGAAATGGGACCTAAGGGGTTAAACAATTGCAATTGAAATTACGAATTTTATTTTCAGCTGTTGCAATCGTCCCTTTACTAATTGTTACAATCGTCCCCAAGACGCCATTTAAGCTTCATTTGTTAAAAACAATACTAGTTAATTAGCAAAACTAATATTTTCTTTTTTTAAATGTTAATTAAGGTGTCCACTTGCATATTCGGTTAATAATTTTTATTTTTTTAAGCAAAATTACTTTGTTTCATTATAATATTCTAATACCAAAAAAAGTACTTACATAGCGTGAAAATATCTTTTGTGATGTAACTCTTTCAAAAGTACATAAAAATGGTTGCCAACAGGGGTGTACATATAGATTTATTAAATATACCTTGTACGCCACCCAGGAACCAAATCTAGAACCCGACACTCGAAATTTTTGCTCTATTACAATCGTACCCTGTTACAATTGACCCCACTCTCCCCTACTCATTAATTGATCATAGAAAAGAACTATTTTGCTTATGATTACACTGTTATTAATTGTTGAGTTTTAAAATTATGTTTGCAATTTTATTGTTAATTATTTTACTAAAGGCAGTAATACAAAGTATCATGTTAGTAGCTTTAATATTTTTAATGCTTATATATTATATTATAATCTAATATTATAACTAAGCTTTACGCACTTTCTTGTATCAATTTGTATTTAATCAATTTGTACTTATCAATTTGTTCATACTAATTTATTATTCTGTATTCATTAAATGATTTTGCTTTTGATTAAATTCTTATTACTTATCAATAATATATTAGTTATTATTACAAAGTTATTATTACAAAGTATCGTTCATATTAGTAGCTTTCCTATTTTTGATGCATATATGTATTGTATATTATAATACATATTATAACTAAGCTTTATTTACTTTCTTGCATCAATTTGTATTTAATTAGAAATCAATAATTTAAATTATAAAAATTGGTTATACAGTATTCATTAATTAATTATAGAAATGAACTACTTTGTTTTTGATTACAATACTATTAATTATTGATTATCAATTATATATTACAATTTTGTTGTTAATTATTTTATTAGAGTTATTATTACAAAGTATCTTTCATTTTAGTAGCTTTCCTATTTTTAATGCATATATGTATAGTATATTATAATACATATTATAACTAAGCTTTATTTACTTTCTCGCATCAATTTGTATTTAATTAGAAATCAGTAATTTAAATTATAAGAATTGGTTATACAGTATTCATTAATTAATTATAGAAATGAACTACTTTGCTTTTGACTACAATGCTATTAATTATTGATTATCAATAATATATTACAATTTTGTTGTTAATTATTTTATTAGAGGTAGTATAACAAAGTATCGTCCTTGTTAATATTTCTTATATTTTCAATGCATATATTGTATATTATAATGCATATTATTATTATGCTTTAATTTCTTTCTTGTATCAATTTGAATTTAATTAGAAATCAGCAGTTTAATTTATAAGAATCGATTATACAGAATTCCTTAATATAATATTATATATTTTAGAAACTATTTTGTTTTTGATTACATTGTTATTAATTATTGATTCTTAATAATGTATTGCAATTTCGTTGCTAATTATTTTACTAGATGTAGTATTACAAAGTAATATTCATGTTAGCTAGCAGTTTTTATCTTTCTAATATATGCATTGCATACTCAATGCATGTTATTATAACTCTTGTATTGATTTTTTTCCGTATTATGTTGATTTAAATTAGAATTCAAGTGCTTTCGGTAATAAAAATTGAAAACGAACTGTTCTGATTTTAAATGTATTGTTATCATTTATTTTATTATTAATCATATTGTATCTTATTATTATTTTATTAATTATTTCATTATTATTATTTTGTTAACTATTTCATTATTACCTTATTCGAACGACAACTGAATCGTTTATTTAGTATTATTTTATATTTAATAAAAATCAAATAAATAATAGCAGATATTTAATAATTTTTTATTCAAATAATTTATTGTTTAATGAATTATAAATTTTCTTTTTTAATGTATTATAAATTTTTTTAAAATTTCTATATTTAATAGTTTCATTTTTTAAAATTATAAAAAAAAGTTCCTCAGTAATTTTTATTAAAGAGATTACTACTTCTTATTAAATATGCTGCTCAAAAGGTTAAGCAAGAACAATTTGGTAAATTTTCTTAGTTTTTTTTTTGTTTACTGTAAAAACATATTTCTTTTAATAGCAAATTTTCTTTTCCTTACAGCATTCTCCTCTAAAAGTGATGGCCATGAAAAGAAAAGGAGATTAGCCTAATAAATTGTTCAATTTATACAAATTTTGATTGATGAATTTGTTGGACTACACTAAGGAATTGCTTGAGGCAATAAAGCTACTGCTTTTTTTAAACGAAACCTTTTTAATGAGGCTGAATGCAATGTTTTCGGAGCAACGGATAAATTTCATTGCTGGCCACGATTTTTAATCTAGTGGACTTATGAACTCACTCATCACCTTTGCATTTTTATAAGTAAAAAAAAAATCTTGATTCTTGTCTTTTTTATTTTATTTTAGGTAACAAATTCTAAAAGAAATAAAAGCTTGTATTATAATCTGGACCAATTACATCCAAGAGAAAAATATTCAAAATAAGAGAAAAAAAAGTGGGGAGTTAAAAGCAGCAGGATTGCAGCTTCCGAGCCACTTCATTAATATTATTTTTTTGTCCTCTAACCGCCTTTTAAATGCACCTACAGAAGGTAGCACAAATATACAAGAAAGTAAAGGAATTTACAAGAAAAAAGGTTAGAAAATGTAATAAAAAAATTAAATTTCAAAAGTTATGCAGTTTATGATAAAAAAAGGCGATAAAAAATAAAAAAGTAAGTAAAAAATACACGGGATAAAATGTATATAAATGCAGGGTATTTTTTTTAATTAAAACATATTTTTAATATAAAAAATCAAGCGTTTCATCAGAAATAGAATTTCGCTTATAACAATTGGCCTAGAATTCACAATATTTCTTCACGGGACTTCTTTACTTAAGTACTTCACTCAGTGGCACATGTGAAACTTCCTTTTCTGAAAAACGTAAAATAAAAAATGTAAATTACTGTCAAGTTTTTAATTAGTAATTAATTAGACAAAACGTGCAAAATAAAGATCGAAACAACTTATAGTGTAATTCATCGAAACAACTTAAAGTGTAACTTATATATAACAACTTATAGTGTAATGATTGTATTTTCACATATTGTCGAGTCAATTCGTCGCTCACAATTCGTAGTGGGGTGACACGCAGCGACAATTCGTTGTAGTCACAATTCGTCCCGAATACAATTCGTAGTAACGACATTTCACCGTGAGCTCAATTTCTCACTCTTCCGATGAATTTTCTTCTTCTTCATCTTCCGATGAATATAAAGAAGAAAATCTTGCATTTTCTTAATAATTATTATTTAATTTGTGACCATATAAATATTACAAAACTATCTAAAGGGAAAGAGGGGATTTGCTCATTGTTACATACATCATTTTTATTTTATAACCATCATTGAACAGTCTACCCAATTCTGAGTTTATGACTACCAACGTTCAACTTCGTTGCCTTGGAATTTTGGACTCAATCCAGAAGACAAGAGAACTTCTGGATCAAGTATTGGGAGAAATTTGTTTTCGTGGTGACTTCTTGATAGAACTAACAAGCATTTGCATTACATGGAGAGGAAAACCTCCCATAATTAGTCTGATGGAAAGGGGACTCTGACCGATGATCCGTCTACCACTGAAAATATTTTACGTTAACACTGTAGTCGGTGTGAGCCGGGTGAGGAATTCCTACCAACCAGAAGTCACTGGGATTTGAACACAGGACACATCATTGGGAGGCGAGTGCTCTATCTCCCGAGCCACCATTGCTCAGGAGGGCAGTGGAGGGGTATGAGCAATGCTTGCGTAAAGCAATAAATTCTCCTTAATTCTCACGTTTTCATAAATGCAAATAGGATTATCAAGGTTAGTTTTTAGCACCAACCATAATAATTTCCTGAAAAAGATATAAATTACGTATAAACGATAGATATTGATTGTAAAACATTTTTTAATTAGCTTTTATTTTGCCTAAGAAAAACATATTTATCGCCATAAATATATTTTACTCACTGCTCTTTTTGTTGAGAATATTCTAGATTGCAAAAATAACAATAATTTATTAAGCTTAATAGCTCTAAAACATATTTTATAACTATTTTTCTTCAATTTCAGTTCTTGCTGCTGTATTTTAAATTTAGCTATCACATTTGAAAGAAAATAAAAGTGTTTATAACATATACAACGTTTTCTCGAAGAAACTGCATTTTTTTGGGGCATAGAATTTTTAAAAGTTTCATACGAAAACATTTTTAAAAAGACATTAAAGACAAAAAAAAATAGAACCTTAATGTTTTTGATACTAAGAGAGGATTTTTTTTCTTATTATAGTGCTATGTCAATGATTTACGAAACAGACTTTAAATTAAGCTCGTTAAACGATGCAGGCGATATATAAGTTATGAAATAGTAAAGAAACTTTCTCTAGAAAAATTTAGTATTTCTTTCATTTAATAATTTTTCTTACGTCGGAGACCTAAATTTTCGATCTCAATTATAAGAAGTAGCCACAGTTCGCAAAATTTGGTCCAAATAGTGTAACTAGGATTGCAATTTAGCCTCTTATTGTTAATTTTACTTTTTACAAACATCATCAAATTTGTCTAAGGGTATCAGAAAATGTTAGCACACAATTAAAAAAACTACATATATTTAAAAGTAATTTTTAACAATTATTTAATTTAATAATAATTGAAATTTTTTTTTGTTAGGTAAATAATTATGTACAATGCAATTTTTAAAAGGCGTTTACAACGCAAAATGATTTCTTCCAGGCGTTCCTGCGTTTCTTCCTTTTCTATTAAAAATTTTAGCAAAAATACAAATTAGAAATTTTTACCACATTCAAATTTAACTTTCTTATGTATTGTGAGCAAAACGACTATTTCGAACACTAATTGCTTACTAATTAATTTCGAAATTTCATACAACGTTTTTCTAACATTTCGAAGCTACTTCGTAACATTCATTAGATTTTCTGAACCCAGAGGAAATTGTTCTAAAATAATATTATGATGGATATTATGATAAAAATTATGTTAAAAGAATTATGATAGTTTTGGATGAAATGAGATATTTTAAGTACTGCGACATGTTAACAATTTATGTATAAATGACTAGTTCGGTTTTATAATGGACTAGTTCGGTTATATAAATGACTAGTTCGGTTATTAAAGCCGAACATAGAAAGAGGCAGCTTTGGGCAAGTACAAACCCCTTCTAATACTCTCCCCTAATTATTAATTTTTTTTACTTTGACTTTTGCAGTAGGAATCTAATTTAAGAAATAAATTTAATACTTTGTGATTAATGATTAAATTTGTGTAACTTTGCATAAGACTAAATTTACGTTTCAATTTATTTTATAAAATTTTAGAGAATATTCTTTAGGAATTTTTTGTGTTTTCCTTCGGTTGTTATAAGTCTTGACTTCTTAAACTAATTAAAGAAATTTTTTTCAAACTGTTCCTTTTTCCAATTTTGACTTTAATTGTAAATATCAAACTCTCTTAGGTTAACATATTTCTAAATCTTTTTTAACATCTTTTTCCATTAAAAAAATTAAAATAAGGGGATTTAATTATATAATTAAAATAATAACAATAATTATGAGAATGATATAAATATAAGGGTTATAAGAATTGGAGGATTTTATTATATACCTCTCCACTAAGTAACGATAAGCAAATCAGAATTCCCTCCCTCGTCAGGTGTTTTCGTAATATTTGAACGGGGCACAAATTAAATTAACAAATTTAGCAAAATTTAAAACAAATTTAGTTAGCTTTTCTACAGGCCCAGCAGTGGACTGATCGTTAAGACACGGTTCCCAGCAGATCACCGAAGTCAAGCATCACTGGCTGCGGTCAGTGTGCGGGTGGGTGACCACTTGGGTCAGTCTGCATAGGGACCGAGAATGTGCATTATGTGTCCTCGTTAAACTGTTCTACCGTAAAGTGCTCGACTTCGCGTGCAGGTCGTCGCACTACCGAAGCGGGGGTGCCATCCCCTCTGCTGAGGATCGAAATTGTGATGGCATGTCTTCGGATCATCCTCAGGAATGTTTCCCAGACCGTCGCCAATAGCCCATTGTGCAGCTCTAGTGCGACGTAAATGAACAAATCAAATCAGCTTTTCTACAGACAATACATGAACTTTGTCTTCATAAATAGATGTAATGCTAACCAAGTTAAATTAGACTCCAGAAAAATTAATACTTAGGGCCTTTTCTTTTATGAAAAGCTTTGTTTTGTTATTGTAAATTATATTTAAAAACTTTCTCTGCACGTTTCCCCTGCTTTTTTTCCCCTTCTTTTTTTAAATGGGGAGATTGAGGGGAGAATTAGTAACGTAAATTCGTAATAACGTAAAATAGTAATTAATCGTTATAACGTAAAATAGTAATTAATCGTAATAATTTAAAATAGTAATTAATTGCTTCGAAACTAATTGTAATAACTTAAAATAGTAATTAATCATTTCGAAATTAATCGTAATAACTTAAAATAGTAATTAATCGTTTCGAAATTAATCGTAATAACAGCAACAGAAACAAGCAATTGAAAATAATAATAACGTTTTGGAAGCAAAAAAAATGGCCCAAAATAAGTGAAATATTCGAAGATTTACAAAATATGAAAAAAAAACTAACTGAACGCGCCTCTCCTCATTTACTCTTATTTCCTTAATTATTTAATTCGATCCGTGACCAACCAATACCTCTTAGAAGAGAGAAGGCCTCAGCACTGGTTACCATAACCAAGAAATTTGATCCCTTAGTGCAAACGTAATGACATTTTCCCCACTACGCAGCTTAGTAGCCCAAACATAGTGACGTCTTTTTCATTTTTCCTCCACTGCGCAGTTTAAGTTCGTTACGTCGGACTGCAAAATTGATTTATGCAAAGGCTTACTGTCTTTTAGGAGGTGTTGGATTAACCCGCTCTCTAGTGGTGAGCCAATCACTACCGAGACCAATTCCGAGACGAGTGGACTAGTAGTTTAGAAGTTATACGTGTTTTTTGTACAACAATTTCAATTTTGTACTTTTGCCTGTTCATGCATCTGACCTGACATTGCTATCGAAACAAATGAAGCACTGTTTCCTACGTATTTTTTCACGCTGAATTAAATGAGATTTTATATAGCTATCCAGAAACTACCTAAACATGTAAGTTATATTTTCCGATGTAATTTTTTATGCCGAATTGAACGATTTAAAAGTGGAATCGATAGGGTAAATAGTTGAGAAGTTATAGGGGTTCTGTGTACAGCAAATAATTTTGTAGTTTTACTTATTTAATCATCTTATGTTGCTATACAGAGAAGAGAGGTATTTTTAACTATGTGGTTTTACTATCTATGTAATACTATCTACCAAATACAAAAGGGAAAAATGACACAGATATATCCACATAAAACAGTAAGCATTCTATTCTTTTTCCTACACCATCAAAATATAAACAAAATCCCAGTGCGTTGTAATTCATGTGCCTAATCCTCTCTCAAATATCCGTATAGATTGTCTAAAAT